GGAGGTTGGTAATCCTACTACGGACGGAGGGGGGGGGAGGACGCGCGGGGCGTGGGCGGCGGGGGGGGCAATGGGAGGGCGACGGTGGCAGCAGTTGCGGCTGTGGTGAGAGGGATGAGAGAGGCTTGTTGTGCTTTGGCGTGCATCCCCTGCGTCCTGCAGCCTCCACCTCGCCACCCCTTGCCACCTCGGACCTGTGCATCTCCCCTCCCCCTCCTCTCCTCCTCTTCCCTCACGCGCATGTTGACGATTGAGCTCTACCCTGAGATCGACTTTTAGGACCTCGACCTTGACTGCGCCCTCCTCTGATCCTCTGCTCCTCCCCTGCATCCCCCTAGGCATCCTCGGTGTTTTGGCCTCTGCGCCGCTGCCATGTGCCATGGCTGACCTCGTGCGAGGCTGTGACCCTTAGTCTTGTGTGGTGAGTTGCCGCCTCCACTTGCCACGATGCCTGCTTCTGATCGGGTTGCCTCTCTCGGCAAGCATGCCTCCATTTGGGCCATGGCCAAATAGCCCCCACTATTACCCTTTAGGTCGGAACACGGCATGGAGGTTTGGGCACATTGCTTCCCCCCTGGGGCCCTGACTCCTGGAGTACCGTCCTTCTCCTCCCTCAACCGCCTCCTCCTGCGCCCTCTGACGACGCGCTTCATCGCTTTCCCTTTTGCCCTCTGCCTTGGCCCGGGCTCCCTTGCCCGAAGCCGGTCGCGACATGAAGTGCAATCAACTGAACCCTGACATTTCGGCGTTATCGTGTCTCGGCGAAACACAACACGCGCATCAGTGGCGCTCTGAACATGAGGCCCCAGGACCCCGGAACTCATCTCGCTCGATCACTTCCATGTGACTCATCTCACTGCACATGCAAGCGCGATGCGGCATGCCCGGCATCACCGGCACGGCGGCGTGGCGGTATGAACCAGCGCCGAGCTCCGGATCCAACTCGAGACTGATCTCCACCTCGCGTCACACAGATCCTGCACTGCGCATGCGCGCGCACACCCTTGGACGCCTTCGAGGCTAACTCCGCCCCGCGTTGCAATCTCCACGCAACGGCGCACCCACACCAAAGGAGTCGTTAGTTTCTCAGCCCACGCCCCTCTCGAGATCTCCAGCTGCCAGACCGTTGGCGTTAGTAACAATGCCTCGCCCCCATGACAGGTCGCCTTACCTCGGCGCGACTCACAGGTGACCTTCCTCCTGACTCTCCCTCACACAGCTTGCAGTCGAGCTTGGAGTCTGCCCGGCGTGGAGCGCGTAGGGGACTGGAGCGCGACTGCACGGCCGATGTTGTCCAAGCTGCGCCCCGTCGAGTAGTCGGGGCGCCCTCTACGGCTGGGATACGCGGGAGGTGACCAAGCTGCCAGAGAGAAGGAGGGTGTTCTCAAAAGCAAAGCAGGAAGGCATTGTCGACGACGCTCCGCTCGGATGTGCAGGCTAAATTGACCCCGCACCAATGACGCATGCTAGACCTCCACCTGTGTCAATCGGTTATGGTCACATATCGACTTTTGAGTCGGCTCGACCCCGGTGTTCACCGACGGGACACTCGGCCGTATGTCGACTCTTTGTTATCGACTCAACTCTTGGAACTTGTTCAAACTCGGTCCCGCTTCCATCTGTTTATACGTTGACTTTCTCCCCCACGCATCCCACGCACATCACCGCCATGCCCGCCGAGCTCAAAGCATCCAACCTCTACTTCTCGCCCATCTCGCCCAGCCACAAGCCGACTCCCGGCAAGGAGGGCTATGGCAGGTAAGTTGAGATCTTCGTGACTTGCTGACGCCCAGATACATGCTTACCGTCCCCGTAAGTAGTACTCGCTGAACGTCGCCGCCGATTCGATACTGATGATAAGTGGAGCCGCACCTCCGGCTGGGGCCAGCCCAAGATTGGACCTCGCCAGGACATCTCGCTCGACCCCCTCGCCGGTGTGCTGCAGTAGTGAGTTGGCGGCGGCGAACTGCTTTGCTGCTGGCATCGCTGACCTCCAGCGCTGTCACTTGCTTCGAGGGCATGAAGGTGAGTGCGACACGGGTCGCATGAATAGCGAGGAATGCCACTAACCTCCGAGTGCTACAAGGACGACCAGGGTGAGTTGCCCGTTGCCGGCACGGACCATGTCCACTAACACGTTCAGGCAAGCTCCGCCTCTTCCGCCCGGCAAAGAACTTTGACCGCCTCAAGCGCTCTGCCGGCCGCATCGGCCTGCCCGTGGGTTGTGGGGTGATGCGCTGCTGACATGGGCAGGACAAGTGGGACAACGATGAGCTCCTCGACCTCCTCAGCAAGCTCTTGGACCTGGGTGAGGATGCACTGACGCTGACCCTGTACGCGACTAACTTCCAGAGTCGGACATTGTGCCTGCCGTTGACGGCGAGAACCTCTACATCCGCCCGACGCTGCTTGAGACCTCGGAGTCGTTCGGCATCAAGGACGACGCCTATGCGTCCGACGCCCTCCTCTACATCGTCACCAGCCTCAACCTCGGCAAGGGTCTTTACCCCTCGTCGGAGGGTAAGGGCATCCGCCTCGACGCGTGCAGCCAGTTCATCCGCGCCTGGCCTGGAGGCCACGGCAGCTTCAAGCTCGGCGCCAACTACGGCACGGTGCAGGTCGCCAAGCGGCCCGGCTACGCCATGTCGCTCTGGCTCCACTCCGTCGACGGCAAGGAGTACCTCTCCGAGGCGGGCGGCATGAACGTCTGGGTCATTAAGGAGGCCAAGGACGGCGTCCTCGAGTTCACCACTATGGGCCTTGACAACGGCATCGTCCTGCCCGGTATTACGCGCGAGAGCATCATCGAGGTCCTCAACAACCACGCCTCGGGCAAGACCCCCTTCCCGATCGACGGCATGCCGAAGAACATCCGTGTTGTCGAACGCGACATCTCTATGGACGAGATCACCGAGGGCGTCAAGGACGGCTCGCTCAAGGGCATGTTCGGATGCGGGTAGGTTGCGGGCGATTTGAGAGAACACGCTGACGCGCAGAACTGGCGTCGTCGTCGTGCAGATCGGAGAGATCACGTACCAGGGCAAGGAGTACACCATCCCCACAAACCCCGCCATCAAGCTCCTCCGCGACGCTGTCACGGGCACCCAGCGTGGCAAGTTTGAGTATGGCGACTGGTCATACGTTATCCCCGAGTGGAACGGCAAGCAGCTCGAGCACAACAACGACGGCCAGATGGTTACCGCCGCTTAGAGCGGCTGTTTCTGAGTAGGAGGGGTAGCTGTGGTCGCGCCGCCGTAATCTCCGAGTTCGTTGGCAGACGGCTCGAGCTCATTACGGCCTTAAGCCGTTTCCTGGACTGGCCTTTTGGCTCAAAATCAATGTAGATGTTTCACGCATGCAGGGACAAATTGGGATTCTCATTAGTGACAGGTAGATGTTGCTGGCAGTGGACGAGTGCAGCCGTACATGCAACTCAGGCAAGCTGTGCACACTGAAACCTCAAACCTCTGTTGCATTGTGATCTGTCGTGAGCCTTCAACACCTGTGGCGACTCACCAGGGATCGCCGGAGGGAGGGCGGGATCAATCCATCAAGTGGAGGCGTCACCCTCATATCGACTGTGATGGCCTTGTTGTGCTCGCCCTCGTTCCAACATCGCACTTTCTCTTGCTCCGCTCTTCATCACATCCCATGACTTAAGGACGACGACTGAATTGATAGCTCTTCAATCCGTACATTTGACTGCCATCTCCGTGACCTCTCGCCGCTGGACACTCTATCACAATGGCTGAGTGAGTCCAGCCCCACTGCAAGCCAACTCGCGAGCTTACCTTCAGACAAGGCGAACTCAAGAAGCTCGGCGTGACCGCGCCCATCAGCATCGAGCCACCCCAGCCAGATGACCTCAAGTCAAGCGAGGGTGAGTACACTCTGTCGGCCGGCGGCGAACAGGCAGCTAATACCAGCGCTCATGGCCGACCTCATTCACCTGAACCAGTTCGAGTCAGAGCAGGAGCGCAAGGTCCGGTGAGCTGCCCGGCCCCCGACTCCATCTGACGACAGTGAGAAGCTTCTTTCGAACATCCAGCAGCTCGTCACCAAGTTCGTCCACGACGTCTCCATCAAGCAGGGCCTGTCTGAGAAGGTTGCGACAGAGGCAGGCGGTCGCATCTACACTTCAGGCTCATACCGGTACGTCGATTGATGATGATCACCTCTTTCATTGTGCGTGAGTGGCTAACGGTTCAGTCTTGGCGTTCACGGCCCCGGCTCGGATATCGATACCATCTGCGTTTGCCCCCGACACATTTACCGCGAGCACTTCTTCAATGAGTTTCAGCAGATGCTGCGGGAGTGGCCCGCTGTCACAGAGATCTCGGTATGTGTCAACTCACATTCGAAGTGCGCTTACCCCAGGCCGTGCCAACGGCATTCGTGCCCGTCATGAAGACGGTCATCTCGGGTGTGGAGGTGGACCTGCTGTTCGCGCGCGTGAACTTACCAGAGGTGAGTAATCAAGAAGAGGTGCAGAGCGCTGACGCCAGGCTGGCGACAAGCTTGACATTGAGAAAGACGAGATTCTGCGCGGCGTCGATGACCCGTCGCAGCGAAGTTTGAACGGTGCGGCTGGCCGTGGCTCCTTTGCTGACCTGCAGGTCCCCGTGTCACAGACATGATCCTCAACCTCGTGCCCAACGTCGCGACGTTCCGCACAGCGCTTCGCACCATTCGTCTCTGGGCGAAGCGTGAGTGAAAGACTCTTAAACTTGACTGACAGCAGGGCGAGGCATCTACTCGAACGTGCTTGGTTTCCCAGGTGGTGTCGCATGGGCGCTGCTCACGGCGCGAATCTGCCAGTTGTACCCCAACGCTGCGCCGTCTACGATTGTGTCTAAATTCTTCCCGATCTACTACCTGTGGGACTGGCCGCAGCCTGTGCTTCTCAAGCGCATGGATCCCGGGCCGCCCAACATGACTCACACCGTGTGGAACCCAAGAACTGACCGCCGCGATATGGCACACCGCATGCCTGTCATCACACCCGCATACCCCTCAATGTGCTCGACACACAACATCACCGCCTCGACAATGACGGTGATCAAGAACGAGATGCTGCGCGGTGAGTCTGTCAGCCGAACCGGACTGACGGACAGCAATGCAGATCACCGACAAAATCGTGTCAGTCCCAGGATCATCATGGGTGGAGCTCTTCGACCAGGTTGACTTCTTCAGCCAGTACAGGATATACGTCCAGGTCATCGCTGCGGCATCCACATCAGGCGGTATAAAGGATTGGTGAGCAGCCGCTTTCTGCGGCCGTGCTGATAGTCAGGAGCGGCATGGTTGAGTCACGTATCCGCGCTCTTGTCCAGGACCTCGAGAACACCGAGACCATACTGCTCGCCCACCCGCAAACTGGCGGCGTGTCCAACACGTTCGTCTGTCTCAATGAGGAGGAGCAGGCAGCCGCCTCGCAGGGCGAGCTGAGCGTCGAGGCAATGAAGCGGAAAGAGGAGGACTTTGCCGGGCAGGACTACAAGTTGGTGTACACGAAGAATTTCTTCATCGGGCTGGAGATTGCGAAGACGCCAAGTGAGTGTGGGCATGGTGTGGTTCTTGGTGTGTCGTTTTGACTAACGCGATGCAGAGGGATCGCAGGGCGGTCGCGTCCTCAACCTCTTCTACCCCAGTAAACGGTTCTGTGCAGCTTGCCAGGGGTGGGACAAGTACGACGAGCAGGAGATGAGCGTCATCCTCCGGCCAGCCAGGCGGTGAGTGCTTCCGCGCGCAGGCTCATCTTAGCTCCGACCTTCCATTCTACGTTTTCCCCGACGGCATCCCTCGACCGAAAAAGAAGGGCAAGCGCGAGAAGGTACGCAGTCCTAAATCCCCGCTGATTGCAGGTCGCAGCCGAGTCTGGCGCCGAGGAGCAGCCCGAGGGCAACGGGCAAGGCCCGGCCAAGCGCTCCAAGTCGGCGGGCGGTATGGAGGAGACGGACGAGGCGCCCGCTGCTGACTCTATACCAGGCCAGACGCTTCCTGACGCGACGGGCGCCGACCCGACGCCTGACGACGCTGCGCGCGCGGTGGATGTGCAGCCGCCTCCGGGCCTTGAGCGCGCCCCCTCCCCTTCCAAAGTTGCGCAGGCGTCGTTCGCCTCGGCCGCCAATGGCGTCGCGACAGACGCACAGGGCAAGGTCGTGCTTAACGGCGCATAACTGACTTTCATTCCATTGACTCTCGAGAGCATCCCGGCATCGCGCACTGCTCTGAGATACCGACCATACTGTCGACTGGCAGAAGATTGCATGCATCCATTAAAACTAGAGCGCGCGAGTAGCGCGGAGGTGACGCGTGTGCACACCTTCCTTGCGATCCTTCGCCGATCGCGCAACGCGAATCTGACCATTCCCCCTCACCTTCCTCTTGCCTTGACTGTATAACTCGTTGACGGGTATCTTCTTCACAACAGCTCATAACACCTCAACACGCCTCAACACTGATCTCAACTTGCTCCGGCTCACCATGCCCAAGCGCCCCGCAGACAGTAACGACGACGAGCACACACGCCGGATGCCAAGCCACAGCATTCGTCGGGAACGCACCTCCACGCCCACCCCTACGCCCACCCCCACGCCCGCGCCGACCTTCCCCCGCGTCCCCCCCGGCTTTGACCCCAACCCCGACCCCGACCCCGACGACGACGCCGAGGACTTTCCGCACCTCAAGGTATCCCCTCTCTCGCGCTGCTCACCCCAGCTCCTCGCAATCCACGCCCCCAACACCTTCAACGTCGCCGCAGCGTTCTACGACTCGCACACCCGCCGCCTCCAGGTCCTCGAGGACACGAAGGATACTTGGGCATGGGACCTCTGCCGGTTCTGTAAGATGCGCCGCGGCGAGGCTGATAATGTGTGCGAGCAGACGCAGCCGCACAAGATCCTCGTGAGCAACCACGCGCCTGACTCGCTCGTGGCGGTCATTGACGAGTTCTGTGAGCCTTCCTTTCCACCACACCACATTGTCGCTCACTCATGCGCAGGTGCCGAACACCCCGACACCACGTCCGTCGGCCTACCACCCCGCGAGTTCCATCATGCCCTCGCGCAATACCAGCTCGCCAACGTCCGCCTCCGGCACGATACGCGTGAGGTCCTCGATGACGAGGGCGAGGTGGTAGGATACGCCGAGCTTGAGGAGGATGATAGTGGCGCGGGGCTTGGACGCGTTCGTCTCAGTCTCCTCAAGATGGGATGTCGGGTAAACGTCGATGCACCGAACGGCGTGAGTCTCTTCCTTCCTTTCTTCTCCGCTCCTGCTGCGCCATTGTAGTCCCCCTCTCCTGCTTACCTCAGGTCTCTGCTGCTGGGGCTCTTATCTCTCACGTTCAGCACCTGCTGGCCAAGACGCAAGACGACGAGATTGATTTTGGCCTCGACACCATCGAGAGCATCGACATGTGCGTCAACACCGGAATATCCTGACGACAGCGAGCAGTATATGCTCATCAACCAAGATGCGCTGACGTACGACGATCGCTTTTCATTACTCAAACCAGGTCGCTCGCCGTGTTCGACATTGAAAGCCACGCGTCGATGTACTCCAAGGACCGGAAGCAAGGAATGTCGCTCAACGGTAAGCTTAGGCACAGACTCGTCAACTCACCCCTGGCGTTCTTGACACCACCATCACGGGACTGGGCAAGAAGCTCTTCCACACATGGCTCCTTCGCCCTCTTGTCAACATCGACAGCATCAATGAGCGGCTCGACGCCGTGGAGGCACTTGCGCGTGGAGATAACGTTGCGTTGCGCAAGGAGCTGCGCAAGCAGCTGGGAGGATTCATGAACATGCTGCTCTTTTGTACCCGCATCAAGACTGGCAAGGGCAAGTGGAAGGACTGGCAGCAGCTCGTACTGGTGCGTTGAACCACTAATTCTAGCTGACTCAGTCGTTAAATGCCGCACGTAACGTAAAAGACACTTTACTTAACATGTTCCGAGCTCAGCTGCCCGTAGCAGCGAAGGTGGGCTCAGACGCGCGACCATTGACCCCAGATTTCACGCTACCTGACCGACGAGGTGCAGACCTTCCTCAGCGACGTCGTTGCTATCGTAGGACAGGGCCATGACGATGCTCACGCAGATTGACTGGTATATGTCGCGCGATGAGAACCGCATCTGCGTGCGGTCCGGCATCGACGACCAAATTGACAAACATCGCGAAGACTACGCTGGTGGGATATTAGACGTCCATCAACTGACGACAGGCCTTGAACCTCTCCTTGTCTGGGCTGCACCAGATGGAGCTGATAGCAGAACCAGATGTCCGTGATTATGGGTCGACACACCCCGCCGGGCATGTGTGAGGACGTCAAGGTCATCTACCTTCCTCAGATGGGCTGTCTACTGGCAGCCAGCAACATTCACCGCCGCGAACTAATCCCTCCTGACTGGGAACAGCAAGTTTGTTCCTGAATACGGCAGGCGTTAACCTTAGTTTGAGGCCAAGGGGCTCACCTACTTCAAGACGCCGCAGATGACCAATCTGGATGAGCACTACGGCGACCTGCAGAATATCATCATCGGTATTTGCCCAAGTTAACCCACCTGACGATCAGACTTGGAGATCGAATGGGTGCAGCGCCTTATCGAGCGGCTTGAGCCTCTCGAATGGCAGCTCATGAATCTTGGAGATGCAATCGCCGAGGTGGACTGGTAGATGGCTGCACATGCCAGTGCTGAATCAGTTTGCTGGCATTTGCCCTGGCTGTCGAGCGTTTCGGTCTCGTGCGCCCGACGATGACAGAACAGCCAACACTGAAAATCAAGAACGGGTGGCATCCACTCTATGCAATGTCTCTAGGCCCAGGCCAATATATCGGGAACGACACGATGCTGGACGCCGGCCCTGACCCGGACATGGCCGCGATGGTCAGTAGATATCAACCATGCATTGACCACAGACCGTCATCACGGGTGCGAACGGCTCCGGCAAGTCTGCATATGGGAAGCAGGTAATGGGTCGCTTAAGCCACACCTCACGACAGGTCGCACTGATCACCTACATGGCTCATATCGGCAGCTTCGTCCCCGCCGATAAGGCCACGATCGGCATCTGTGACAAAAGTAGGAAAGGTCGCCGATCGCGCTTATTCCAGTCTTCACCCGCGTCCAGACACGTGAATCTGCGTCCAAGGTAGTCTGGCTACAGCGCAACGCTCACTCAGATCGCCTCGGCCTTCATGATCGACTTGGGTCAGGTTTCACAGGCTCTCCGTGGCGCAACTTCGCGCTCGCTCATCATTCTCGATGAGTTTGGCAAAGGTGTGTAGGGGAGATCATTTTTGCTGACCGTAGGAACATCGCCCAGCGATGGCGCAGGCCTTCTTGCTGGTGTCTTGACTCACCTCCTCAACGGCGCCAACCCCCGCACAGTCGTCCTCACTCACTTCCAGTGGGTGCATGCTCGATAGACGTCTGACAGCTCTGCGAGCTCCTAGCGCAGGAATTCCTCGACCCGAGCCTGAAGATTCTCAACTGCCACATGAAGAGCATTATTGTTGAGACCTCTAAGCAGCCGACGTTTCTGTACAAGCAAGTGGCTCGCGCTGGTCATCTTCCTAATGCCAGAGTGACGCCAGGGCCTGCCGACTCGTCAAACGCGGCGGAATGTGCTCTGCTCCACGGCATCGATCCGGAGGTCGTCGACCGCGCGCGTGAAGTCAGGTGAGGCAAGCCCCTAAGTAGCTGACAGCAGCCACCTTATCGCGACGAACCAGATCACGACTCTTATCGACCAGCACCTGGATGACGAGGACATTGAGGAGATGGCCCAGCATGAGGAACTGGTCCGTCGGTTCCTAAACTGGGATCTCGAGGACGATGAAATCGACGTGCTTGGTGAGCTTGAGCTGATCGTCCAGGCTGCTGGTATCCAGCAGGACGAGAACGAGGTAGTACCACTGGGGGAGATGGGTGCGGGCATTTCGGCGCTTGAGCGCTCGGTCGCGACTGAGTCGGGACTGGCCGACATCTATTAGGAGAGCGCAACTCAGTCCCGCTAGATCAGTGTCAACTCTCTCAGATGAAAGGCATGCGTGCATTAATCTACTTGCGCTTCCAGACCACGAGGCGCTCGTTGCCGGGCGGGCGGTTCTTGCGCTTCTGCTCCTCGGGCACAGGCTCGTCGTAGATGGCCTCCCAGTGGTCGCCCAGGACGTCGCGGTACACGCTCTCGTCGAGGGCGAAGGGGGGCCCAAACGGCGGGGGGTTGCCCTGCAGAGGGTACTGGAGTGTGATGAGGCGGGAGTTAGGCGAGGCCTTTGAGAGCTCAGTCATGCGCTGTCCCCACTGCGGGCGGAGGGTGGGCGGGAGCGCGCACAGGAAGCTATCATTAGCACGGTCTCGTCCGCTCGCTCACGTGTAGTCGTAGATAAGATCGAACTTCTCCTCCGGCGTCCACTTGAAGAAGTCGCCACACACGACCTCCGCGCGCCCCTTCTGCCCCGTCTGGGCTTTAACCCACGCGTCGGCGCTCTTAGCGCCGGTCGGCGCGACATCCAGGCCCGTGGTATCAAGCCCGCGCCGCGCAAACAGGTCGACGTCGTACCCCTGCCCGCAGCCCGGCACAAACGCGCGCCCCGTCGTGGGAATCCCCGCGTCGACAGCAGCCTGCGATTCGAGGAACGCCGCGAGCGCGGGGTGCACCTTGCCCTGGTCCCACGCCGTGTTCTTGCTGTCCCACCGGTGCTCCCACATCTCTGAGGTCAGGATAGACGGCACGGCGCTCACGTGGGTAGTTCTGCTCGTCGGTCGCTTTGACGTCGGCCATGGTGGATGAGTGAGGATGGTGAATCAAGTGGAGGTGGGCAGCTTATAAGTGACGTCGGCCAGTGCCTGAGCGAGCGGCGTCTGGAATGCTCGGGATCGGATCGGCGTCGGATGCACTCCGAATGCGAAAGCTGACTCACTGAGCGCTGAAGAGCAGTGCATGCGTCGACGCAGTCTCCTCATCAGTTCGGAATCGACGGAGCGGACTGGAGAGCGGCCCCACATCGGAGGCGAACCGACGTCCCGGTGTCGAGGCAGGTCCGGGCACAGCCCCGAGGTATGAGGCCATCATGTCAATGCCAGCATCCCCCACGGGGTCGGCAACATCAGCAGCACGATGTTATCGATAACGATGGCTTCTGCGCCTTACCTGCCATCATGTCAACCACTTGGTTCGATCCTTCAACAACATCTCTAGCTGGCCCCCTGACAGAAATGGACACCGAGTTCTCCCCAACGCTCTCTCCAACCCAATTCTCTCCAACCAAACTCTCTGTACCCAACTCTCTCCGACTCAACTTCTCCCCAGCCCAGCCAGAGTTACACGAACGCGGGCAGCATGCCCGTCCCGGGTTTCAAGTAGCCTCGATCGTAACTGTGGAAAGTATAACTCCACATGTAGTGCCCCATGTAGTGAATTTCGGGCAAGGCGCGGTCAGTGGAAGATTGAAGTTTCTCGGTACCGATTCACGCTACTACTGTCTCACAGGTGAGTGATTATAGACGCAGAAATCCAAGAACTTTCCGTATTCCATCATGAAGAGACCGCCGACCCCGCCGATGCCCGGCAGGTGCCACTGACCTCTCGGCCGGCGCATGCGTCCTCCCCACCAATCACTGATACCCGACGATCATCTTGCAATTGACAAAAGCGCGGCGAACGTGCGGGGCCTCCCCGAGCCCTGTCTTTCGATGCATCACAATTCACGGAGCACGAAGCAGCTTCCGAGTATAGATCATTTAGTGCAGTGCATGCGACCAGGTTGACATCGTGTCTCGGTTATACCGGAAGCATCGACGACGAGCACATGACATTTTGAGGGCCAGTCGTCGTTCCTGGCGCGGCGGACACGATAATCACACGCCGAGACTGATGAAACGCGTACAGCGCGAGCAAATGCCGCGCGATCACGAGCCTAAAGCGTTCCTCGGGCTAGAACTAGACTAGCTGGCGGCAGCTGGCGGGTGCCTCCGCCTTACGAGATCGTGCATCTCCGCGGACGCGGAGTCCATGAAGGCGTGCGCTTGCGCGAACATCGTAGACTTCCCGTCGTGAGCTTGTCAAGATGTCAGCAGGTAAGGGGACTTGGTAGACCGAGGTGGCAGACATATAAGCTCGTCCATGGGCCGTAGTTGTTCTCACTCCAAGCACGATGCGTTTCCTCTCCCTCCTTGTTTTGGCTTACACCGCGTTCGCTGCGCCAACCCCCTCGGCGGAGCAGCGTGACCTCGAGGCCCGCGAGGCATCGGTCGCCTGGGCTCCCAGCTTCAAGAACTACAACGACTGGAACTGCAAGAGCACCGACAAGCCCCCCGTCGTCCTCCTCCACGGTCTTACTGCGCGCAGCACCGTCAACTGGATCAAGATCGGTAGTGCGCTTGCGGCAGATGGCTACTGCGTCTTCACCCCGCAATATGCCACTAAGCTGCTCGTGTTTTTCGGGTAGGTTTTCTGTTTTGTTCCTCGATACCTCACCTCTCTTGTTTCATCTCCCAGACCTTTGGCCTCCTCTATCTGACTCACCCTTATTGGCCTCAGTGGCTCACGCCAGCTTCGACTCCATCAATACCGGGTCCCGCGAGGTCGCCGACTTCGTTCAGCGTGTCCTCCAGTCTACCGGCGCCTCGCAAGTCAACATCGGCGGGCACTCTCTTGGCACCATTACCGCTGCCCACTACATGAAGTTCAACGGTGGCGCGCCCTTCGTCAAGCACTTTGTAGGCTTTGCAGGAGTTTACAAGGGCACAACCCTGTGGGGTATCAACAATTTCGTAACCAAGATCCCGTTCGTCAACGCCCTCGTGCGTAGCGTGTGCCAGTCATGCACAGAACTGGTTACCCCGTCCGACTTCCTCTCGAATCTGAACAACGGCCCGCTTGCGATGCCGGGCGTTGACTACACCAACATCGCGACGCGGACCGACGAGCTTGTCATTCCCCCCAGCTCGGGCCACATCGAAGAGCCCGGCGTCACCAATATTTGGCTGCAGGACAAGTGCCCCACTGATCTCTCGGAGCACATCCTGCTCGCCGTCGACCCCAACGTCCTCCAGATTATTCGCTGGGCCTTCGCGGGGAAGCCGGGGCCTTGGCCAACTGGGTGCAGTCTCACTGGCGCATTCCCGTAAAGTGTGACTCGCGAGAAGATATAGTTAGTAACAGACGAGATGCAGTTCGAAAGAAAGTTGAACCGGAAGCGTCTGGCTGAGGAACTTTTGCAAGGCCCAATGGTGGGTAAGCTTATCGGGCTACAATTCAATCATAATCAGCTCTCCTTGCGAAACGGGGTCTCATCGCCCTGGCTGTTCCACTAGCCGCATCTCCGAGCTATTTAATGCCGATCTCTGGGAAACGGATCCGCATTCCCTTGCCTGTCGTCAGCTGTCCCGTCATGCAGCCATAGACACACCAATGGAGCTCCGCCACCCCTCAACATTCTCAAACCCGTTGCGGCGCGCATTAAAGTCGTCCACAGCAGCATACGCGTCCTTCTTATTCGTCATCACGAATGGCCCACGCGTGTAAACGGCCTGGTCAAGCGGCGGGCCAGCGAACAGCGCCGCCCGCGTGGGGCGACTATCGCCGCTGGGCAAGCGGAGGAGCACGCCGTTTTCTTCAGAGTTTTTAGTTAGGATGGCTGTGTTCTGCTCGTCGATGGGCGCGCCCTCGTGAACCTGAAGATTCCCCTCGACAACTACCATCAGCCTCCAGTTACTGTTTAGCCTGTTGCTGCTCATCTCACTGTAGATAAATGCCGTCCATCCCGCTGGGATGGGCTGCCAGACCTTCGCCCCTGGCTTGGACAGCTTGATGTCCAACCACCACGTCCCGCCTAGCGCCACCTCGCGCTTTTCATTCACGACACCGTGGCTCTCGCCCGAGATGACCCCAATCTCGACGCCTTCGCTCGGGCGCGCAACGGGAATCTCCTCCTTCTTCAGCCCTTGATAGCTCGGAGGAACCATCTTTTTCTCCGCCGGCAGGTCAACCCACAACTGCAGTGCGACCGGATCCACAGCGTTTGGCCCATCATGCACCGGCATCTCACAGTGCATTATGCCCCGCCCCGCTGACATCCACTGCACCTCGCCGGGCTGCAGCGTGCCGCAGTTGCCGAGGAAATCCTCGTGCGCCCACTGCCCCTGCAGAATGTTCGTGACGGTCGTCAGCCCGCGGTGCGGGTGGTCTGGGAAGCCGGTCTCGCGGGGCATCGAGGCGTGGTCAAGCCTTAGGTCAGCTCAGCGGGGAGGGGGGCATGCAGGATGAACGGCGAGCAGTGGTCGCTGGGGCGCAGCGCGGCGTGGATCTTGGGACCATGCGCGCCAACAGGCTCGGCCCAACGCGTGCGCTTGACTGTGCGGCTAATCTGGCCAGCTTTCGTTTCTGCCGCTGTCGCGAAGGTCCGCACAGCCAGACGAGGCGCCATACGCGGCGCCAAAGTGATCCGGAGAGCGGTTAACATGGTGAGTTGTAAGTGGTGCAATGGATGCAGCGCCGTTGGACGACGACGTGGTCTGGCATAATGAAGCGGGGAGGTGCGGAAGACCGAGATCGAGACCGATGCTCAGCGCGCAACAGAAGAGTCCGCTCAGGCACCACCGCCGTGACATCACCGTATTGTGATGTCACCCACTCTGCCACAGGCATCTTCATATCCTGCTCCGTCCTGTGTCGTACTCTCCTTCTCTTCATTGCCACTCACTCCCTCTGACAGCGCACACACAACGAGGTCTTTCAGCATGCCACTCACAACCTATGCGCGCACGCTCGTGTCGGGCAACAAGGCGCGTTACATCGACGAGGAGTCAGACATCAACCTCGACTTGGTCTACGGTAGGAATTTTGCTGAGTAAAGTCTATGCTAACTGACAGTAACCGACCGCATCATCATGTAAGCTCGCATGCGAGTGGCTTTACTGACGGCAGCATGGGCTACCCCGCTACAGGGATAAAGGCGCTGTATCGCAACAAGCGCGACGACGTCCTTCGCTTCCTCAACGCGCGCCACGGCGACAAGTGGTGGATATGGAACCTGTACGCTATTATATTGGTTTCCGCACTATCTGACCCCAGGTGTCCGCTCACAGAAAACGCTTACTCCTCCGAGAGCATGGGCGGGCGCGTGTCACGCTACCCCTTTCCGGATCACAACCCGCCGCCTCTCCCACTCCTGCCCCTTGCAGTGCGCGAGATGACCGCCTGGCTTGAGGGTGACCCCGAGCGCATCGCAATCATCCATTGCAAGGCCGGCAAGGGACGGAGCGGGACTCTTCTTGTCTCGTACCTTCTCTCTCTGCCTGAGCTACCATCCGCGCCGACTGGTGGGCCGCTCCTCGACGAGAGCAAGCTTGGCGGGAACGTGAAGGACACGCTAAAGGAGACAGTGATCCACAAGACCAACGATATAGGAGTGCAAGACACGGATTCAGGGGTAGCTGAAGCCGAGGATTCAAGAGATGAGGAGGACGCACTCAGCGAGCCCGCCGGTGGTTACACAAGCGAGGAGGATGTAGCGGTCCCTAAAGCTCCAACAGCCTCGGGAGGGCAGATGTATCGCCGTGATACGCACGTTGAGCCCGTCGCTGCTCCCGTTCCGGACCAGCCAAAAAACCTATACGTGCCGATTGCGATCGGGGACGAAGAGCCACTGGACTCACCTGGCCAGTGGGATCGACGCGACGGCAAGCTCGATGAAATCCTCACTTTCCACTCCAGCAGACGGATGAAACCGAGCACAGCCAAGGCGCGGCGCGGCGTATCCATTGCTTCCCGTGAGCTCTCGTACATTCGCCTGCTGACCTCAGAACGCCGCTGGTGCCGCTACGTCCACCTCCTCTTCCAGAAGCGTGCTCCGCTATCATACCTCACAAATGCAGGACACGTGCGCCTCGTTTCGATGACGATGGTGCTGAAGCGCCCGCACGGGTGGCAGAAGCCGCTCAGCTCGCTCGTCGTCGGCGGAAACGGCGGACAGGGCAAGGCAGGCGCCAGCGTGGCGCGGTACAAAGATGAATACGTCGCACAGCTGCGCGCGCTGGGCGGTGGAGGCGAGGGCGTCGAAGGTGATATCACGTGGGGCGGCGTCGCAGGCGACGGTGTGTATGATAGCGCGAAGATGTTCAAAGTGTTTGCGCGCTTGGTGCCGAGTGATATCGACGCAGCTACGCAGGCCGCTCTGCTACCAGGCGAAGCGGTAAGCTTATTCCAGCTAGGGTAGCTGATGGTAGGACGAGTACAACGTGCACCACCTTGTGCCACCGAAAGACGTGATAATGGAGCGAGCGCGCGAGTTCCGCATCAAGCTCCACCTCGGCTCGCTGCCTATGGGGTGGGCGTGGTTTATCCCGGCCTTCCACCTCGCTGAGCCCGCCTCGCCGGGCAGCATCACGGCGTTCGACGTACCCCGCTCGCAGCTAGATTTTCCACTCGGCCCCGGTGCCGCCGTCAAGCGCGTGATAATGCGCCTCGAGGAGGTCAATACAGTCGGCCGGTGAGCGGCGACATCCCCCACCTGGCGTTCAAGGCCGAAGTAATGTCAATAATGGCACCCTGACGTCCACAAATAGGTTGTGAAACATTGAGACCGCACAGCTTAAGGTCCGGCCCGAAATGCTGGGAGTGAGACAGATGACGAGTTTACGGGGAATCACTGATCGCACTGAGATATGATCAGGAGAGTGGGGTATGTCTCTGATCCTCGCCTCAGCGCTCAAGCAGTCTCGATCTTGCAATCCTCGCCAAGCAACCGTGCCCGAGACTTTCGGGTCAAGCGCCGCCCTGACTTGGAAGTCCCACACCGTGACGGCGTCCTGAGAACGACGTCCAGCTGTCAAATCACAAAAACGTGCCAGTCCCGTGCCGCGCGACTGAGCGCACGACCCTTGGGCCTGAACCAGTGGCCGTGCATGAGCGTCGGCCTGGCGAAATCGGCGCCGACGTGCCAGGATGCCAGACCGGAGTCAGCCTGACGAGCCTCAGGAGGACAGTCTGAAATCCCTGCTGTGATCTCCGGATCACTGCGAGAGCTCTTATATATGGCTCGTGTCCCGGTGATTCTCCTTGGGCGACAGCAAGAATCAGGACCTTGAACTCTTCGCCACGGATCGGCACAGCTCTACACTGCGCAAACCGGCGCTCAAATGTATCGAAGTATTGTACTAGATACAATAGGCAAGTTACGGCAACCAGTGTCCAGTTTGTGGGTCCTGGCCAAATGCGGCACCACTCCCCGTGCCCTGCCAGTCGTCCCTCGGGAAGTACAGCCTCTTCGCAACAGTAAGAGGGATGCGAACAGACACCCGAAACGCAGGCTGCGCGTGTAGAGGTGTGCACAATAAAAAGCCATGGACGTGCTGACATGATGTGAATCTGAAGGCGCAAGCAAAGGTGTCGACAGGGTGCTGGCTGCACTGGTCGCAGCTCGCGTCATCTCCATGTGAACAGCGGCGTGTTCCTGTGGCGTTCTTGCACGATTTTGGCACAGATGGGCCGCTTCTGGAACGAATTTAGTTCATAAATTCATGGCGTATTTCATGGTATGCAATGAATTAAAGGCACTAGAATGCCCAGGAAGCTGAGCCAGGCCGGCATGCGGGTGACCTCGATGAGGATAAGGTTAGACCTAGACCGGACCCAGGGATGAGTTTAGAGGTGGGGGAGGTTCTTCTCGGCGAGGCACAGAAGCTCTGCACATCTGCATTTCTGCCCTTTGCCCTCGTCTCCACTATCGATGGCGCTCTCCATGCTATCGACCGCGAGACTGGCGATGTCAAGTGGACCCTGCGCGACGGCGTAGAGCCTCTTGTCGGCGGTGGCATAGGAATCCTGGCGGCCGCTGGCAGCCTGCATGAGATTGTCGGAAGGTTTGCAGGGTTCGGCTTCCGCATCAGGAAGCTGCCCCTCGCAGCCCTATCAGTCGCGTCCAGCAGCCCGACAGGCCAGGGCCGGTCTAGTCCTCCATCAGTGGTAGTGGCAGTGGGAGAACGACCCAGGACCTGGAACGCTGAAATCGTAACCTCAGGTGGTGCAATTGACCATTCAGAATCCCTCACGCCCTGTGGTGTAGAGGGCGGGTCCACTCTCCTGCTTACAGCGACTGGCGACCGGGGTAGCGCGCGCGTCTTGCAAGAGCAAGAGCTCCGCGCCACAGAGGTCCACCTCGTGACTAGGGATTGCTCCTCTCGCGACGCCTCCATTGCAGGCCTGGGAGCTTGAAGTTGCCTTGGAGCACTCGTCGCCACAACAACTACAAGTATAGCGTCTCAATCTTGCCCCAGCTCTCACGACCCCATTATTCCTCCCATCTTGCCATCACACCTTATCACCACCCCGACCCACGCCCACCCCGGCCGCACGGGCTCTCCGACTCAACGCCTCGCTCGCTCCACGCCAGAAGGACACACGATGGCATCGCCCATCCACAAGTTCCTCTTCTCGCCTCCCCCCTCGCCGCCCTGTGAGACCGACACGGGAGCAGACTTCGCCCCTCTGAAAGCACTCGTGACGGGCCTCACCGCGCGCGAGTCCGGCAAGCCCCCCACCCCCCGCCTCGGCGAGTCTGACATCCTCCCCCTCTCGCTTCCGGTGCCGCACATGCGTGCGCCGTCGCCACTCGGCCGTTCCTCCTCCCCGCGGCGGGGGCATGATGTCGACATCGAGGCGGGTGAGGGCGTTGCCAAGAGCTTCGCGCAGCGCACCCCGATTCTCGCAAAATTCCGCCTCGTCGTGCAGCGCTTCATGCCCAACCTCCCGCGCCCCGTTGTCCGACTCTTCGCCTTTGTCGCTATCCTTTTCATCCTGGCCTCGTTCGTCTCGAGTGTCATCCTCCCCGCCATTTCTCCCCTTCCGCAGCCTCGCGCAGCCCGTCCAGTCGCCAAGAAGCCCCAGTGGACACCGAAGGCGTATGTGCCCCCACAGGCAAATGCGCACCCATTGGTTGCTCGTGAGTATCGGCTCGGATTGATTCATGTCTCAGGTCGCAAGGCCAAGTGGGCGATCACGGGTGATCTGGAGATGTCACCGTCACGCCAGCGCCAAAGAGCCATTACTCCCTCCCGATCCCTGCTCCCCGCTCTTCCATGCCTCCAGCGATCCGGCGACGATGACTGACCGTGCACAGCCAACCCCCGCGCCATGCGCCCCGACCCCCACACCCTCCCCCCCACCCACGAGCTGCTTGCGCTGCAGAGCTTTGTCCTTGAGTCGCCCGCCAACGCCCTCGGCGATGTCGACGTCTCCAAACCCCTCGACGCCTCCGACCTTCTCGGCACGCATGCTACCCGCCGCCTCGGCAGCCCCGGCTCTCCCCGCGAGAAGCAGTGGTTCCAGGAGATCGTCTCCGAGCACGCCAACTCGGTCGTGCTGTGGTACGGCTCGATCCAGCCGCCACACTACGCGCTCGAGGGGATCTCGGCGCGTCACGGAGAAGGCCGCCGCCCTACTCTCATTGGCACTGCGCAGCGGAAGGACGGCGAGACTATCGAGGGTATCTTCGCGCGCTTGGGGCACGACTTGTCCGCAGCCCCCGTTCTCGTGATTGGTGGGGAGGTGTTTGATGCCACGCCTGAGCGCATGAAGACGTTGCGGGAGAGCGGAGAGCTCACCCAGCGCCTGGAACAAATTGGCTGGACCAAGTAGAGAGGGAGAAGAGTTCATCATCAACGCAGCCGTTTGATGGTTGTATGTCATAGATTATGCCACCTGGGCCACCACAGAGATCACCATACCGCAAACGCACAGAGCTTATTGAGCGTGACGATTTGGCCGCGCAGAGGACTGGTGTAGAATAGGACACGGGGATGCTCAGCAACCTGGGCGTGGCTGACTTCTGACAGCTGTCTTGGGTTATGACGTGTGATTGATAATAGTTGATGAGGCTCCAGACGCGCGACGCGTGAGGGAACTCCACTTGTTGCAATCATTTTGGTTTCTCGAGACTCTCTCCATCACATCATATCCCGCGACTCTCGACAGTAGGACAACAATGTCCAACGTCACCTTTGACAACAGTATGTCAAACGCTCCGTTCGCATGTTGCTCACCTGCAGTCTTTATGGGCGAGTCCTCGGACTTGGGCAGTAAGTTGCATTGACAAACAACATCATCATCGGTGCTAATCCGTTAGAGCTCCGATTCAACTCCGCAGGCTTTGGATGGAAGTCTTTCAAGGACGAGTCGAACACACCCTCTACGTTCAATGGCTCTGACGTGCGCGGCGCGCAGTGGCTCCGGTAAGTGCAGCTCGAAGCTAGGCGTCAACGTCTCACACCAGTGTCGCTCGCCAGTTTCAGCTCCGCCTCTCCATGCGCACGCCGGACCGGCCACGCCTTACGTTTGAGGGCTTCCGCCGCGATGTAGGTTATGCCGTAGTATACGCTTACGCTTCAGGACTTTGAGAAGGTTAAGCGTACGCTGAGCGAATACTTTGGAGTGACAGTCGACCATAGAGACGTTTCCTTGAAGGGCTGGAACTGGGGCAAGGCTACCGTACAGAGTGAGGCGTCCGCCGCATCTATCGACTAAGCTAACCGTAAGACCAGGACATTGTGTTCGAGGTGCAGCACAAGCCCGCCTTCGAGCTTCCTCTCGGCCAGGTCGCCAACTCTAACATTGCAGGCAAGAATGAGGTCGCTATCGAGTTTGCGCCGCCTGCTGCTTCCGGCTCCAACAACAACGCCCGTCAGCCGGACGAGCTGGTTGAGGTGCGCTTCTACGTTCCGGGCAAGAGCAAGAAGAGCAAGGGCAGCGATGCGGGCAGCGACGACGAGGAGGAGACTGAGAAGGACGAGGAAGGGAACGACATCTCTGCCGCCGAGGCCTTTCACAACCTTATCAAGGACAAGGCAGACCTCGGTGCTACCACCGGTGACTCAATCGTTGTCTTCGAGGACGTCCTCGTTCTTACCCCCCGTGGACGTTTCTCTCTGGAGTTTTTCCCGGAAAGTCTTCGTCTTCTCGGCAAGAGTACCGACTACCGCGTCCCCTTTACTTCCATCAACCGCATCTTCCTCCTCCCCAAGCTCGACGACATGCACATCCAGCTCGTGCTGGGTCTTGACCCCGCCATCCGCCAGGGTGCTACTCGCTACCCCTTCCTCGTCGCCCAGTGGCCCAAGGACGAGGAGGTTGACGCCGAGCTCAACCTTGATGACGAGGAGATCGCCAAGTACCCCGACCTGCAAAAGAAGTACGAGGCTCCCACATTCCAGGTCATCTCGCGTGTTCTCAAGTCGTTGACCGGAAAGAAGGTGACGCCTCCCGGCAGCTTCAGGAAGTGAGTTTATTCAACTTGAAGTGGGACGCAGCTGACATTCAGTGCGCAGGGTGTCAACGGCATCAAGGCCAACGTCAAGGCTGTTCAGGGCGAGCTGTACTTCCTCGAGCGTGGCCTCATCTTCATTGCTAAGCAGCCCATCCTCATTGACTTTACCAAGACTGAGAGCATCTCGTTCTCTCGTGTCGGTGGCGGTATCGCTTCGGCGCGTACCTTCGACATGCGCGTGTTGGCCAACGAGGGCCCTGACCATGTCTTCTCCGCCATCTCGAAGGAGGAGGCTGGTCCCATTTCGCAGTTCCTCGCGAGCAAGAACGTGCGCCTGAAGAACGAGATGGACGAGCTGGAGGCAGCCGACGCTATGGACATTGACGACCTTTCCGACGACGACGACGATGATGTCAGCATCATGTCCGAGGACGAGGGTCGCAAGAAGAAGAAGAAGCAGCAGCAGCAGGCGCAGCCGGCTCGCCGCGCCGCCGACGATGAGGATGAGTCCGGTGAGTAGCTTCCCAATACCTGTGCCCAGCTAATTTTGCAGAGGACGAGGACTTCATGGACGAGGATTCGTCCGACGGCGGCTCTGTGAGCGACAGCGACTCAGAAGCAAGCGGAATGGAGTCGGACGCCTCCGACCCCATGATGGAGGAGCTGCGCAAGAAGTCCGAGGCTCGGGCGAAGAAGAAGGCGAGCGGGGAGGCTGACGGCGCGCCCAAAAAGAAGAAGGCCAAGAAGGACTAGACGTAGAGGTCGGTCGCTGGGTTTCTGTAGATACGTGCACGCTGGGCTCCAGGCCGGCTTGCCGTTGTAGCTTCTATCAATATGGCTTACCAATGCTGACAGGAGAAGGAGTGATGCTTTCATTGTCCCGAAATACCAAGAAGAGCTACAATACAAGTATGATTATGATGCTGGGAGATTAATTGCTGTTCTAATAGCTGTTCTGTCGGGTCTGCCGTCCCCGCCGCTCAGCCTCAACCTTCTCACTCGTGGCACCGTCCAATGGCCCATTCGCCTCTTGTATGACGGCGGCGCGCATACGCGCTTCCATCTCCTCGAGCTTACGCCCGCAAGCGCACAGTGCCCACCCAGGATCACCCAGGGGCCCGGCGCCCTTCATCCCGCGCTGCAGCATCTCGATTGAGTCTTCGTCCGGAGCGATTGCATCGTGGTGGTGCTCCTCGTAAGCCGGCAGGTCGATGACCTCAGGAATGAGAGCGCACTGGCGTCAGCGACACTTAGGAATTTGGATTTACGGATGGGAGAGTGATTGGGCGCGATACGCGCAGCATGCGCAGGCCGCCGGGTCCTGGTAGCTTCATGGCCTCGCCCCGATCATCCTCGCCCCACACGGAGAAGAAGACCTCGAGAACAAGATTATGCGTAACAGTGATGGGCGTGACGACGCCGGGGAGGGTGGTGGGCCGCACATGCTCGTCGGTGGGCAGGCGCACCGTCGCGGAGAGCTTGATCTCGCCGCCGTCCTCGGACGTCGCCTTGTCTTTGCCCCCGGCGCCTGTGCCGCGCCAAACTGCGGCGTAGTGCTTGTCCGGATAGTGGTGCCCGACAGGGGGCCGCTTGCCGCTCTCGAAGATGGCGAAGGAGCGCGTGCCCGTGAGGCGGTTGGCGCCCTCCTCGTCGCGGGGGCTGATGATGGCCCAGCTCTGCGCGAGGGCGAGGCGCACGGCGAAGATCGTTGTGCTCGGCTGAATGCCCGTCACGACGAACTTGAGGTTCATGAGGGCGCAGATCGTCCACACGTCTGACACCATCGTCATCTCCCACTTGCCAAGGCCGGGGACCTGGCCATCCGCGCGGTCGTGCAGCTCGTTTGTCGTCCCAAGGGGGTTGGGGTTGTACACGATCATGATGTGTTTCTTGGACCTGTGGGTCCCCGTCACCCAGGGTGTTTGGGACGCGTGGTCGGTGAAGTTCGTATCTTCGTAGCTTGGGATGCGAGGGAGGTAGGGGACTTCCTGTCGCGTCACTGTGAACGAGTACTCAGAGGCCAGGAGGGCGGGGTTGATCGGCTGCTGGGCGCCATCGATACCTGGCGCGGGAGAGACGGCGCCGGAGCTGGGACCAGAGCCGGGGTGCGCACTCGCTACGGTCGGCGCCGCGTGTCCGTTCTCTAGCGACAGGTTGGCTAGCGCACCAGCAAGGGCGAGGGGCGCCGCCGGCGCTGATCCTCCGATTGGTGTGGCGGCACCTGAGGGCGGCACCGAAGGGATGTCCCACAGACCGCGGCGAGGTGCACGGCTCGGTGATGGCGCGCGCGAAGCGGACGCAGAGCGTGCGCTCGACGGTGATCGCTTGCCGCTCCGCCGCATGCCAAAGAGGGAGGAGGAGGAGGCGGGGCGCGGCAGGTCCTCTGGCATTCCTTCGAGCTCTGCGTAGAGCTCATGCGAGATCTTGCCATTTGAGTGTGTGTCGTGCACGGCCAGGTTTGAGGGAATAATAATAGTGAACGCGAAGCGCTGAGATCCCGGCGCGAGCCAGATGCCGTCGGTGCTCGCACCGATGATTTCGACCTTGCGCTCGAACAACACGTCTTCTTCAATCTTGCGGCCGCCTCCCATGTCCAGGCGGATGATGGAGCGGAGACCGACGCGGATACGCTTACACCGCCGCGGACCACTGACGCGCACGTCGAGCTCGCCGTGTAAGAGCGTGTCATCGCGCGGGTCTTCGCCGACGTTCTCGGGCGCGGGGAGGATGAGGACGCCCCAATTGGTCACATGCAGCTTGAGGACTGGAGCGTCGGAAGGGAGCGGGGAGAGCGCGCCTTCCCGCCCCTTTCCTGGCGAGAGGTAGCGGAGCATTGACATGGTGGGTGATGTGAGGGGGGGAGGTAAAAGGGGGAGCGCCAGACTCGTTATGAGACTGGGCTCAGCAGGTGATGCGGAACAGCAGTTGCAAGGGGGTCGATCAGGCCTGCGGCGCGGTTGCTGATGCTAAGATGATCTGAGCGTCAGATTAGGGCGATAGTGAGTGTGTGAGCAGCGATGAGGAAGAGACTCGAGACGACGACACGGGTAGCTGTAGATGCTGCAGACTTGTTGCAGGATGTCGGGCACACAAACGCAAAGTCGATCATGACGGCGCGTCGGCACGTGGCGTGCCTGGAAATCACTCCACTAATCGCCCACTATCCCCGCCGCTCATTGGCGCGCGTCGCCGATCATCATGTTCCGAGCCATGCTCCGGCTCTCTCACTCCGCTCGCCATGCAACGCCATCAACACGACTCCAGACGGAGTAACTGTTGGCCCGTGCGCGGCCGTGCGGGCGGAGTCTGGCCAAGGCCGAGGCGCGCGGGTTAGCGGATGAAGGGTGGAGGTGGCGGATAGCTGAGAGATGACTTCCGCATTTGGAAGATACATACAGCAGAACACTTCCAATCCGGGGGCGAAGTGGGCCTCCTCAAGAGTGCGATTCTACGGTTTAGCCCAGAGCTTACTGCATTTCCGTTTGAACGCGGTGTCTTGGGCCCAGAGGCCGCGAGAGCGATTGGAATGTCAAGCTCAATTGATTTTCAGGTGATTTCTCAGGTATCCACGGGGCACGGCTCCGCGCACGGTCGCGTCCGCACACCAGTAACACACTGCCCACCGGAAGCTCTCACAGTGCGGCAAGGCTCATTACACAGGTGCCGGAGCGTAGGGTGTACGCGCGTACATGTACGGTCCGTGGATGTCAAGTCAAACGCGGTCGCCGAGTCGGGTGTCAGTCGCTCGGGATCATTGATCGCGGCTCACCCAACCGGGTGTCTTCCGCTCCCGGATCCTGGTCCGAAGAAGCAGAGGACGATGCCGGCGGCATTGGCGGCATTGGCGACACGTCTCTGGCTTATGGCCCGAAGCTGGAATGCCCGGAGGTGAGGCATGTGATGAGCCTGAGCATGTGTCCAGATCCGACGCGTTGAGCAAGGACACAACGTGCCCGTAAATCCGCGGTAGGACTCTCACTGACATCGGCTTGTCGCGCGCCGCCCGGCATGCCCGGGATGGCGCGTACCGCGTGCCTATCAGTACCACCTTTGATCCGAGTGATACATGTTTGCATTATGTAGCGTCTACACGACTTCTCCGCCCTTGAACGGTGGGGTCCAGGCGCGAATGGGCTTGGCGCAGACTGTGAACGACCTCAACGACCTCAAGGCAACCTTATTAGCGGTGGCACTTCGAATTTGAGGAGGAACCATGGACTGCGCGTGCCGACTAATATGCCCACCAAGAGTCGTTGCAGGCCGCCATCATCACGCCACATAAACAATTGCGGGCGCCGTCGTAGCGACGAGCGCCGAGCCAGGGTTAGGTTAGGCAGGGACAGTCTTACTGTGGCGCAGTCAGGGTTGATGACACGACTAGTTGAGAGGGACCAGGGAGGGCGAACAAGCACGTTTGATAACGATTTGTTGTCCAAATCGCAGTCATTGTCGAGCGCTGACTGTGCTGTGGATTTTCGTTTCGTGCGTTCAGAAACGTGTTTATGGGCAATAACGTGACCAGTATTGGGTTTGTAGCACGTCTGAGAAGGAGCTGCGACGTCCCCGATGAGAGAGCTCACACTCTAACTTGCAGTGCAAACATTTTCATACTCAGACACTACTACAACTGCGCCAAGCTCGCAACACAACTCTAGGCCGTCTAAGCTCTAAAGCCGCCAGTTCGCCAGGCTGCAGCAATGCGATGTACAACGATGCGGTATATGCGATTGATGTTTCCAAATGCCAAAACTAGGTGGTAGAGATATAGTATTTAAGTTGATGACGATGGGGGTATTGTCCTCGGTGCGGCGCGGCGTGGGCGCGCGAGGCAGTGGTGCCCATGTGCGCGCGAGTGCGCGATGCGGTGGGGCCGGCGAGCCGACGCCCACGATGCGGAGTGGTGGGGGTAGATTAGACCGTAGGGTCCATGGTGCGCTCGATGCGGAGCGACTTGTCGTGCTCCGGGAAGTGCTTGTTGGGGCGCACGCGGTGGGCCTCCTTGCGGCGGAAATAGATACGCTTGCACCACTTGTAGGCCTCGGTCGCGGCGAGGTAGACGAAGATCATGCCGAAGACAATGCCCCACTCCCACTTGAGACCGTCGATCATGAAGACCTTGTCGTTGATGACGGGGATGTAGACGATGGGGAAGGTCGAGAGGGCGAGAACGACAACGCACCACAGAAGGACCTTGTTGTCCATGAGGTTGATCTGGAACATGCCGCGCATCATGTGCTTGCACTCGAGGGCGTGGATCATGAGGATAATAACAAGAGTTGAGAAGCAGGTCGCACGGGCGAGGTAAACGTGGTCACACTGGGTCCCGTTGGCCGACGACTTCTCGTTGCAGTCGTAGCCCAGGTCGCCAGGGAAGTAGCCCCAAAGGACGATCACGAAGTTGACGAGCGAGAGCGCACCGATGAGGAAACCGTAGAAGAAGAGGTCGGTGTAGAACTCGAGAGTGAAAATCTGGTGGAAGGCCTCGGGCTGCTGCTCCATGGCGTCGGGGGCGGTGGGCTCAAGACCAAGGGCGAGAGCGGGGGGACCGGCGGCAAGGGTGTTGATCCAGAGGGCGGCGACAGGCGAAAGCGGGAAGACGGAACGGTTCTGCTCATCCTTGAAGGCGAGACCGATCATCAAGACGATGATTTCAGCAACGTTACCCGAAAGGAGGTACAGCAGGAACTTGGTAAGGTTCTTGAAGACCGAGCGGCCCTTGCGAATAGCACGAATGCACGAGGCGAAGTTGTCGTCGGTAAGAACGATACGGGCGGCCTGCTTGGCGACATCGGAACCGGTACCCATGGCAACACCGACGTCGGCACGCTTGAGGGCGGGCGAGTCGTTGACACCGTCACCAGTCATGACCGTAGACTCTTTGCGGCGGTGGATGGCGTCGACCATGCGGACCTTGGTCTCGGGAGCGCAGCGAGCGACAACAAGCGGAAGGTCCTCGAGAGCATCAACCTCGGCATTGCTGAGAGCGTCGAACTGCTGGCCGGTCATGACGTCGGTCTTGGCGTAGGCGCGGTCAAGAATACCAATCTGGAGAGCAATAGCGGTGGCGGTAGCGGGGTGGTCACCGGTAAGCATACGGGGAGTGATACCAGCACGGTGGCAGTCGGCGACGGCACCAGCCGACTCCTTGCGGGGAGGGTCGAAGATACCGACGAGACCAAGGAACGAGAAGCCGCCCTCGAACTCCTCGCGGGGCATCGTGGTGAGGCGGTCGAGGTTCTCGATGGGCTCAAACTTGCCGCAGAGAGCGAGGACACGGAGACCGTACGAGGCAAGAGCGTCGACCTTCTTCATAATGTCGGCCACGCGCTCCTCGGTGAGGGGCTGGTCGCGGACCTTGGTGCAGCGGTCGAGAACACGCTCGACGGCGCCCTTCATGAGGCAGACGACCTTGGGCTTGAGGTTCGAGGTAGCGGGAGTGAAACGGTAAGCGATGGACATGCGCTTGACGGTCGAGTCGAAGGGGTGCTCAACGATCTGGGTGAACTGGCCGTGGGCGAGGTTGCCGCCGGGGAAGAGCGAGGAGCGGCGAGCAGTGCCGCCCGACGCGACGGGGTGGAGCTTGTGCATACCGGTGAGGACGGGCTTGCCATAGCCGAGCTTGTGGGCGGATACCTGGAGAGCGATCTCAGTGGGGTCACCGTTGGCCTCCCAGCCAGAGTTGTCGTCAGGCGGGCGGGAAAGAGTAGCCTGGTTGCAGAGAGCAGCGCACAGAGCCATGTCGCGGAGACCGTGCTCCATCTCGGCAACGTCGATCTTGTCCATGTCCTCACCGTCGTGGACCTCAGTGCGGTTGATAGCGTAAGTGCCAGAGGGGACGAGGGGCTCGTCGTCGGGAATAATGTCACCACGGGGATAGAAGGGGTCCGAGCCAGTCTCGAACGAGTAGGTCTGGCCCTTGGCAGTGTCGGTGGGAGCGGCGTCGTTGTCACGAGCGTCGGCAGCGGGGACCCACATCTTGCGCACGACCATACGGCCAACAGTCAGGGTACCGGTCTTGTCCGAGCAGACGTTGGAGACACCAGCGAGAGCCTCGATGGCATCCATGCGGCGCACGAGAGCGTTACGCTTGGCAAGGTCAGTCGAAGCACGGGCGAGGGTGAGGGAGACGACGGCGATCAGGGACGCGGGAAGAATCGAGACGGCAGCAGCCACAGCGTAAGTCGCGATCGACATCGGGACGTCGCGGAAGCCGGTCGAGGCGACGACAACGATGGCAATGACAACAGCTCCGCCGAGGAGGATGTAGGCGATCTGGTTGAGCTTGATCTGGAGTGGGGTCGTGTCGCGGAGACCGAGGAGGACCAAAAACTTGTGCCAGTGACGAGCAAAGCCGGTCTCAGTGCGCTCGGCCTTGTTCTGGAGAGCGGAAGCGATCTTGCCGATCTCGGTGTCCATAGCAGTGGCGGTGATCACGCAGAACGCACGGCCTTTAGTAACCTGAGATCCAGAGAAGACCATAGAAACACGGTCGCCCACGGGGCAGTTCTCATCGTCGACGGGCTCGGACTGCTTGGCAACTGGAAGCGACTCGCCGGTGAGGAACGCCTCGTCGCACTCCAGGTTGGAGACGCCATCGAGGACGCGGCCGTCGGCGGGGATGATGTCGCCGTTCTTCACGAGGATAATGTCTCCGGGAACGACCTCCTCGACCGCGATGGTCTTGGTAACGGTCTGCGTGGACGAGTGACGAACGACAGTGGCCTGGGGAGCGCCAACGCTCTCGAGCGAGGCGACAGTCTTCTCGGCCTCCCACTCAGTGTAGGTGCCGACCGTGACGTTGAGAATAACCAGGGCGGCAATGACGCCACCAGAGATCCAGTCGAGGGTGCCAAAAGAAACTGCCATTGCGGCGACTGGGAGCTGTCAGGGACGATTCTCAACGGGGGATTGTGGAGGGTCACATGGCCTGGGGAGGACGGGAGAGGGAATGGTGGAGCAAAGCGACTGACGGCGCTATTGCAGCCACCAGTGACGTTACTATCACCATCACCACCGCCATGACCTCCGCACGGGATGGGGGCGTGTGATGCGGATCTGAACAAGATATCGAAGAATTTTTGTACTTACTGAGAACCAGAGTCATGGCATTTCCGACCTGTCGGAGACAGATGCCCCAGATAGAGGGCTTCTTAGGAGGCTTGATACGGTTGGGGCCGTACTCGAGAAGACGCTTCGCAGCCTCGTCGTCGCTGAGACCATTGTTCTGGTTGGACTCGAGCGCTGAGAGGACCTTGGAGGGCTCGGCAGTGTGTGGTGCGAAGGAGAGGGGGCCGAAGGCTTTGGCGGCGCCGTTGCCGGCTGAGCCATTGGCTACTGCCTCTTGCTTGTTGAAACCATCTTCGGCTTTGGGAGGGTGGGTTGTGTATGCTGTTGAGGAAGTGGCGTGCTTCTCCAATGTCATGATACAAAGTTGTGGAGAAGAAGAAGGAACGTGGGGAAAGTCTGCGTCCATTTATATAATACCTTGGCTGGGGCAGCGGGCCACCTTCGGCGTCGGCGGAGGGGCTCGCGGCGGAATACCTAGCGCCAAGACTCAGCTGCTGCGCAGACAGTCGTCGGGCCATCATCAACGTGGGTGGACTTCCACCTTACAAGTGGCTATCTGTCCTTGGCGCCACATTTTCCCCGCTCATAGCCAGGGGCACTCATCGGCCCCCCTGCGCGCCTACCTTGCCTGGACAAGCTCTGGCGCCCTATCGATGTCGTACCCTGTCCTCATGTTCTCCACATGACCGGTCTGCCGGTGGAGTGGGAGGAGGAGGTACGCAAAATACGTACGTGGGGAAAGGTGAGAGGGAGGGAGCAGAGGTGCAGGAGGAGAGCACCACAACGGTCCGGACACGAAAAGTGGCCGCTGCCCCGACGTCATCTGCCCATCTGTCCGAAAAAGGCATAACAACAGAGGCTGAGCGCTCATCATCCACCTGCCAAGGCGTCCACCTTGATGCGCCAAGCCTTGTCCCTGACCTCGGTGCTCGGCAAACGCCAGGCACGCCGCCGGGCCCTTCCGGCACGACTGCTCTGTTCGAGCTCGCGACCACCGTCGCTTGGCGCCTCGGGCAGCTCGGGGCCCGGCACCGAGATTTCACTTATCTCAGCGTGAACGGCACATCGTCGGACGGCACTCCGCGCTGTCGCCGAACCCTGAGCGCTCGCAGTTGCTCCGCTGTGCCCCCAGCACCGCAACTGGTTTGCGTCGCGCAATCGCGACCGAGGGTGACGAGGGCCCGCCGGCCTCCGGGCCGTGCGTATGCGGTGGGCCGATGGGTAATCGCCGTCGGTAGCATAAACCCCATTATCACGTCGCGACGGAAGCGAGCGAGGCGAGAATGATGTCGCGCTGTGCGTTGCTGCTGGCGTCTCAAACTCGAACTCACAACCACAGCCTCTGTGCACAACGCCCGCCCGGATCGCCGATGGCGCTGATCAGCGATGACCGTGCCCGCTTACCGTAGCCCACCTGGAGGCGCGTGCAGTGCCTCGAGTGGAGAAGCTTGTTTCCCCCACGTTGGTGTGTTGGTCCCCGCGTTCCGTGTGACGTCCCGTTACGTTGGGCCATCCGCGGTTACTGCACTGTGTATGTGAATGGAGGTGGGGGAGGTGCCTTGAGTCTGGGGCCGGCGGCATTGGTGACAATGCGGGGTACGCTGGATGGTTGTCCGAGACCAGAGCATGACAAGCCAGGCAGAGAGCTGATTTCTTGGCGTTCTAGCGGAATGCCAAGAAGTGCTCGCCTCGCGAACGAATGTCCCCATGAGGAAAGAATCGCGCATCGTTACGGCCCGGACCGGATCTTGCGATCTAACGGGTGATCTGCACTCGCTAAAGATAACGCTTGTGGCCGGCCGTTGCGTGGTTGCGCCATCGCGGGTTTGGTTCAGATGATAGCGAGCACAGAGAGGACACCCGCGATAAGAGACATCATGACCGTCTTTCGACTCGTTTCGGCATCAGTGAATGCCTCCGTGATCTGTGTAACACCATTTGTGTAGGAATGGGCGCCAAGGAAATCACACGAGGGCAGTCAGTTCCTTGCTAACCGAGACACATTTTGTCGTCGCTGCTTCGAGTGATCTCGTGGCCAACGCCGTGTCTTGCCGGCCGGTGAATTGGTGCGCGCCCCTCTCAGGCGACAGGATGACTCTAGGCCGCGATCTGCCGGCGGTCCTTACGTCAGCGCGTTGGGCATTTGCTCTGCTGTCTCATGGACATTCTGCGCCTTCCAGGAGCTCGGTTGGATTCCAGAATCCAAAGGACGCGTTTCATGACAGAGCGTGATGTGATGTGATGGGTGTGGCGCGTGGCGGCGATCATTGAGGCACAGGTGTTGCGCGATCGGCATGGCAGAAGGGTCGCCCAAGGTCACACGACCAACGCGGACCCGAGTCAGTCCGCAGAGGCAGGGGCAGGGATGGAGGGATGGCTGGTAGTGCACTGTTCGCATCATATCTTCTGCGTTGAAATCGTAGTGTCCAACCGGGTCAAGAGCACCACTGCACCAGCATCTACTGGCTGTCCATGAATGCGTGTATCGCAGTCATGTGGTATCCGGCGCGTGCGCACGTGAAGAGGAGGGGAAGCGTACCTGGGAAAGCGGGACAGTGGGATATTTGGGGGGGGGGAGGAATTGTGCGTAAGGGGAAGGAACAGAACTCTCCTCTCGGGAGAGGTTTTGTTGTCGCTGTGAAACGACGACGGAGGACGGACGAACCAGTAGCTCTTAGGAGAAGGAGAAACTTGTACAGTAATGCGCGACAGGAGTGCTCGCGGTCGAGAGCGTGCAGCACTGCTACCTTAAGGGGATTCAGCTGGGAGAAGCGCCAGCGCTCAGCACGAGCCATGGGCATGCCGGTAGACTTGGAATCGAGAGAGGAGAACAAGCAATTGGAAGCAACGAGGAGGGTGCTGATGCAGGTGAGACGGAATCGCAGAAGTGCAAGCGAGAGAAGGCTGCTTTGCTGCGTTGCGTTTTGAGAACGCAGAAGTCATGTCCAACCTGGTGGCCAGTGGAGGGTCGGTCGACACGCCGTACCCCATATGCAGATCCTTCGGGCTTGTGCGCAGCTGAACTTCCCAAAAAGCCAGTGCCCCCACTCAGAATCGAACTGAGGGCTAGAGATTATGAGACTCACGTGTTACCATTACACCATAGGGGCTGGGCGAGAGCTCGGCTTCAGGCACAACTATCACGTGATTAATGCTTTTACGTAACATTACGCGAGTTGGCCGCCTGTGGCGACGGCCGACTGTCCGAGGCCAAGGCTCGTGAACGTCACTCTCCAATGCGAGGGGACCGACCGACACGCCACCATCCTGCATCTATTCCTAGGCTTGTGCTCAACATCTCTCTCGTTCTCCCTCCCCGCAAGCACGCAGCCGACCATGGACCCACTGGCGCAGGACGTCAACCAAGGCTGGGCATCAGAAGCTCCAGCACCCATATCGCCTCCCATCTCCTCCCCTTCCCGCGCCCCCCAGGCTTCACCATCCACCTTCATACGCGATCCCCAGGTCTACGGCGACCCAGGTCAGGCCCTCATGAGCCCCTCCGCCGAGCTCAGCAAGAAGGAGAAGCCCCCTCCCTACCTCCGTGTCCGCATCGCCGCTCTTGAACGAAACCGGAAAGATCTTCTCATTCGCTTCGATGCCAGCGTGGGTGCAAGTGCGAGGGCGTAGTTGACATCTAGACCAACCTTCCCAACTTTCGCACGTCGCTGTATCGCAACATGCAGCGATCGTACGTCGAGTTTCAACGCTTTGCAGAGCAGCTCCAGCTCTGTTGTCCACAAAGTCCGTTGGTCGTGCACCGAAGCTGACCCCAGCGATCATCCCTGCCCTCCCTCTTCCCCACACGTCGGCGGCAACAGACGAGGAAGGTGAGGCACTCACAAAGCGACACAGCTAACCCTAGACGACCGTCTTGTGAGGATAGTCCTCCAGCGCTGGTTCAGTCGCGTTGCAGACGACCCTCAGCTGCAGAAGGAGGACGAGCTGCGTAGCTTCATCGAGTCCGACTTTGGGTACAATCCAATTCCACCGCCGTCAGCGCGGAAGCAGACGACAGGCGCAGCGGCAACTTCGGTGCTTACCGCCGCACTGTCCAAGGTAGTGCGGCGGGGTCCATTGGACGAGGATGATGAGATTATGAGTGCCCGTACGACGCTGGAGCGTCTCGAGCCTGCGTGGGTGGCTGCAGCCGGCAGCGTCGGCAATCTCAGCAAAGCGCGCAAGACCCTTGCTGCCGCGCAGGCGGACGTTGGAGCTAAACTCATAGGCTTGGCCACAGACGAGTCCGACATGAACCTCGCAGCAGCAGAACGCAAGATGGGGCGGGCGTACGAGCAGATAAGCGGGATGGCGGGGCAGCAGATCACAAGCGACAATGTCATCTTGAACGACACGCTGGCGTACCAGTCGACGAATGCGCGAGCAGCGCGCGATGCCCTTGCGCAGCGCACGCAGATCCTAGAGGACTCGCACAGTGCCACCAAGACGGCCATCACGAAGCGCCGCAATGTAGAGCGCATGAAGGGCAGCTCGAATATCAACCCCCAAAAGGTCGACGATGCCATCGCTGAAATGGAGGAGGCAAACGCGATTGAGAGCCGTCTCACAAACAATCTCAACGCAATATCGGCCCACCTCCACACTGCACTGCGCACACACTCGCGCAATGCTCATGAGGATGTCGCCGTCGCCCTCCTCGAGCATGCACGCATGAACATCATCTTTAATCGATCCGTTCTTCGCGAGCTGGAAGCGCTCAAGCCGGATCTGGCGCGTGTTACCGGTCCCGTTCTCGCGAACCCCGCTACGCCTACTACTCCCACGAGGACAGGCCCTCTGATGTCCCCACCAGTGCACACTCCGACACAGGCTGCCTTTGCGCCCGCACCTCGGCAACCAGGCATGTCCCAATCCATGTACCTTCCCCCGCCCGTGGAGCCTGGTCCGCGTTCCCAGTCCGCGGGCGTCCGCGCGGCCACTCCGTCTACCCCGTCTACTCCTGGCAACGTTGATCCGCTCGGTGGCGCGCCGATGGCGCAGAGTATGTACGCTGCGCCTGGCCATCGCCCGCCTCAAAGGCGGCAAGGACGAGCGCTCGACGAGCGCAAGGCGGCCAAGCTCTTGGCGGGCGGTTTCTAGCGGAGAGAGTGAGACTGTGCACGGTCCAGTCCGTTTGAGAGAAGTCAGCGACGAGAGCAGAGTACGCGTGTGTAGGATGCATGATGCATGGGGTTATGAAGGAGAGGTGATGAAATCGATGTCAAATGGGTGGCAAGAAACCCACACTGCCACTTCTGATCCCGCTCAAGTGACCGACTGCGTCATAACATGGACATGGTGATCCCGTTCCTTTCGCTTCGTCTGCATTCTAGTCCTACATCATATGGCGGCCGTCGAGCTCGATATCCTCGATCCACCGGCCGCAGGACCCAGCCAGTTGACAACCCTGCGGCGTCGCCGACGAAGCCGAGGGACAGACGAGCCCGACGACAATGCAGCATTGCGCTCTCTCCCAAACCAAGTCGGCCTCCGTTTACTCACCTCATTCACCCTCCCACCCAAATACGACCACCTGCCTGTCGTTACGCGCCTTTGGCTCCAGAGCCGCGTAGTCGAGAAGGCGACCACCCCAGACGGCGATGTTGAGCTGGAGCTTACTGGGGAGGCGCGGAAGATCACCTGGCGCAACTTCAAGATCGGGGTCGACCTTCTTCGGCTCTTAGGGCCCAGGACGGCTCGCCTGATCTTCCAGTATCGCGGTGTGCTCGCGCTTCCGTCGCTGTTGTATCTCCTCTCTGTTGTTGCGGAGGGTGTGGTGCCCGCTGCGGCGTGAGTTCTTGTGCATGGCCCCTCCTTGGCTGCACTTCTGCGCCCCACTGACACCAGGATGTGGGGGTCAGCTCAAATGCTCGATCTGGTCGAGAAGAGCTTCGCCGGCCCCCCCTCGTCGTGGGCGGACGCGTTGCGCGTTGCCGCCACGGCGATCGCACTCGAGGTGCTCAGCTACACGTGTCGTGATGTGTTCGCGTCTTGCCATACCTTCATGAGCTCGTTCTCCCGGTACCATCTGGAGCGCCTATACATCAGTGCAAAGCTCAACGAGACAATGATGATCCAAGGTGACGACGCGACATTCACAGAAGTTGTCAGTGCCACTGGCCTTGCCAAAACGTCAGCTAATTCCAGGTGGACGAGGCCAGCGTCTTCGCGGGCTTCCAACACATGAGCGGAATCGATTGTCCTCCACACGATTCTTGGTCTATGGTTAGCGCAGCTGGCGAGCTCGTATCTTCCATGATCGCGCTTGGCCTTCAGACCTCTATCATGATCGGCACACTCAGAACTGCGATGCGTGGCTCAAGCTTCACCACCGGCAACTCCATACTCATTGGTCTCTCCCTCGCGCCTATGTGCTTTGACTTTGTCTGCGACAAACTGTTATCCATCTTCCCTCCCTATTGGTACCGTGTGGGCGAGCCCGACACCCTCGTCCAGACAGAACTGCGCACCCTGCGAGAGTTTTCTCAAGGTCGGCATCGCGAGGAGCTGATTCTCTTCAACCTTAAGCCATACATCCTCACCCGGTGGGACCAGTTGAACCGCAGCCCAGAGCGCATGAACTGGACGTACGATCCGGCGTTTTGGTTCGACGTCGGCCGCACCGGCATAAGCGAGTTGATTACAAACGCTTTCTACGTTCGTCGAGCGGCTTTGGAAAACACTGACGGCAGGTATTACTCGCTGTGCATGCCATCCCGTCCACGTTGACGCTCGGCGCCATTCACCTTCACCGCGCCAGCGCCGAGCGTATGCACGCTGTTCTCAGCAGCGTGAAGTGGAAGCTCAGTGTCACCTGGCAGTTGCCCTTTTTCCTCGCAGCCATGTTCGAGTCGCAGGAGGGACCAGCGAAGTCAGGGCCACAAGTCAACTACGAGGAGCACCGCAAGCGAGGAGGGATGCGCATTGAGGCACGTAATCTCGGACTGTCGTACGACGGGGTCACGCCCGTTTTACAAGGCATCAACATCACGGTGGAGCCAGGAGAGTCGCTCGCCGTCGTCGGATTCAACGGAGGGTGAGAGCCTCAACCTTATAAGGCTGACTGCAGTGGCAAAACGACACTTGTGCGCGCGTTGCTCGGGCTACATAGTCACTCGGGAACGCTGCTCGTCAACGGCATTCCGTTCGAGGACTATGACTCCGTGACTTTGCATGCGCGCATGTCGTGTTTGTTCCAGGTGAGCAGCATCGCGTTCTGCTACTCACCTTTCTAGGACTATGACCGATACGACCTTACAGTTAGGCAAAACGTCGGTTTCGGTGACACGAGGAAAATGGTTCGTGATGATTTCTTGGCCTTGACCTTCGCAGCTAATATACTCCAGCATAATGACGAGGCGTTGAACGGCGCGCTCGCCCGCGGCGGCGCGTCCGCTTTAGTGAAAGGGATAGGGGGTTTGGAGCGGCCGCTATCCAACTCCAAAAGGGGACGTCCGAAGTACCCGGCGAAGATGATGGGTAGCAAAGCAGTTACGCCGCCGGGCGAGGTTGCCACGCGGGATGCATCGTCGGCTGCAGCGTCGGAAAGCCTAAGTGGCGACGTGACGCTTGCGACTGAGGAGGGCTCGGAGGGCTTGGCGACGACTGGTATCGAAGGCGAGGAGTTGGATGATGCCAATCCGACCCCAGACATGAACGCTCCAACCGGGCTCAGCGGTGGCCAGTGGCAACGCATTGCGCTGTCACGCGCCTTCATGCGGCACGGTGAGACCGACCTGATCATATTGGACGAGCCTTCGGCGTCTCTCGGTACGTGCCAGAGGATAGTATTCCCCTCGCAGGTAATTGACGCCGCAGACGCTCGTACGGAGAAGGAGCTGTTTGAGACAGTCCACTCGCTGTCCAATCTCGGCGAGAAGGGCTCGACAACTTGCATCCTTATCTCGCATCGGTTTGCCACCGTCAAGAAGGCATCAAAGATTGCTTTCGTAGATCAAGGGGTAGGGCAGTCGTGGATCGCGGGATTGTGACTCGCTAACGTCCAGCGGATTGTCGAGTATGGGACTCACACAGAGCTCATGGCGCTCGACGGACGATACGCCGAGATGTACAACATCCAAAAGTCGGCGTTCGACGACTAGACTCATGTATCTTCTGCGCCAGCTCCGCGAAATTCGGCCCGGGAATGGAAGGATCGCGCGCACAGGCGCTCGGTGAATCGGAGGCGTGTGCGTCGCTACTGGGAGGAATGAATCAAGCGGATTCAGCTGCCGCTCGTGTCTCAAGTGCTGAATTGTGGAAGCAATTTCTTGTAAGACGTCAATCTGCCGCGACCCAATTTGCGTCTTTGTTTACGTCTCGACGTGATCGACTCGCACCGTCCAGCCACCACCAATATCCGTCTCCCCATGGTCCCCTTAAAAAGGAGAGGATCACACATCTCCCTTGACTTCTCCCACTTCCTCTTCCACTCGACTTGTCCTCTCACTCAATGCTCATCATCCTCCGCCTGCCCAGTTGAGCAATGATCCAAGTTTCTGTGAACGGTGGCAAACTGCCAACTCAGCTCTCAGCGGAAGCTGGCAAATCTCTTTGCACAGCATTATCGCAGTCCAATCTTTCCTCCGCCGAGTCCGCTTCGCCTGCCGACAAGCCCAACTCTGGCTCCTCCCTTGCCACCGACGCCAAAGACGCTGATCACGCCCCGGGTTTCCACATCCAGTCCACACCACCACCGACTCCAACCGTCTGGCACTCTATCGAGGACACCACCGACGAGGCTGCAGTCTGTGCGGGAAAGGGGCTTGACGCCACCGAAGCATTGCCGCGCGGTGAATGCCCTCCCCCCTTTCCCGGTTCTTATCCTGGCACTGTTTGGCCTAAGAGTGACCGGCCCGTTAAACCTATCAAAGTCGGCAGTCCCCGCCCGCGGTTGCCGCACGAGCCTAAGCTGCGCTTCTCCACGATCGAGCTCGATGCAGAGTACGACAACTATCCTGTCCTTGCGCGTATGTGGCTGGCTACCCGCGACGCCTACGAGGTCAGCGATCCCCATGACTTGCTCACGTGGCACAACGTCGCTATCATGCTTGACTTTGCGTGCTGGGCCCTGCCTCGTGCATGGGCTTGGTTCACTGCCAATCAGCGGGCGATGTACCTCGCGGCAAGGCAACTCGCAGGACAGGTCTTGACGGGCATAAGCGACGCTTTACGGTGAGTGGCGTCATGTCCACGGACGTGGGCTTACTGCATTCAGATCCTGGGGCCAGTATGCACTCCTATGTGCTATCGAGGAGCAACGCATTTCATGGGGGCTCCTCCCCCTCGTCCTGTGCAGGTTCTTGTCGTCTATTCAGGAACTCCTTGCCCAGCGCTATACAGCAGATACAGTCGAGCTGAGGGTTAGTTCACCCTTTGAGTGGCCGTGTTAACTCAGACTTTGATCGACGAGTCGTCGCGGAGTACGATTTTCAACCTGTACCTTCGGTTGACAGTGCCGCAAGGAAACGATAAGCTACTGAGAACGCTCCTCCGAGATTCTGAACCTTTTACGGCATTTTCATCGATCAGCAACTCAAAAACACCTCATTCAACTGCCGCCGATGTCCTGCGCGTTTCCTGTTTGTTTATTGGGGAAGTCATTGAATCCCTCACGCAACTGCAGCTTATCATCGTCCTGCTCTTCAGCGGCAACGCCACCCCCGTTGTCGCCAGCATGGCCATCGTGCTCATGCAGTACTGTATTTCGTCATCCTCAACGGACACTGAGCTGGCCCGTGTGGAGCGTAAGGAGCGCAATAAGCTCGATCACCGTCGTCAAGCTCTCTTTCAAATCGCAGGGGGTGCTGATTACCGTCAAGAGGTAAACCTCTTCCAAATCGGGCGGCGCCTCAGCCCCTCCTGGGAGGCTTTGACGGAAAAGGTGAAGGCTATTAGCACTCCCGACACTTTCAGCTGGCGCAAAGGCATCGATTCTGCTTTACGTATCCTGTTGGAACTGGTTCCAACGCTGACAAAGGTGAGAGAGACATACGAGATACCTAACAATAGATCGCAATTGTCATTCACCCGGCAGTCGCTCTGCGCCTCAGCACTGCCAAGGTTACCGATGATGCCAGCCAATGGGTCACTAGAAAGTACGCTAACGGGTTTGGTTACGAAAGATACTGCCTGAGCAATATGTTCCGTGGTGGATTCTCGGCACTGGCGTACTGCGCCGCCCTCGACCTCCTCCAGTCACAGGAGAATGGTGACTTCATCGACTATGAGACGCGACGAGACGATGTCGGCATGCGCATCGAGGCGAAGGGTCTGCATTTTACTTACAGCGGCTGCCAGGAGCCTACTCTGCACGACATCAACCTCACCGTTGAGCCTGGCACGACTCTGGCTATCGTCGGGTACGTCTTGCCCACGGTTGTGCTGATTTCCGAGTTTCAACGGCTCGGGCAAGACGACGCTGCTGCGGCTGCTCCTGGGCCTGATGGGAATGGAGGGGACGACGGGCAATCTGAAAATCAACGGGCTCGCAATTGACGTGGGTCAAGACGAGGGGAAAGCTAACGGCAGCAATATCAGCCCTCAACGCTCTTTAACCGCATGAGCTGCTGCTTCCAGGAGCACGCCAAGTTCCCTGAGTCGCTGCGTTTCAACATCGGCGTCGGGGATGTTGAGCGCTTCGATGATGACACAGCGCTCATGGCCGCCGCCAAGATTGGGGGCGTCGAAGGTCTGTCGCAGGAACTCGGGGGTTTCGACCGCCTCCTGAACCCCTCGGACGCTGCCGAGGCTATGAAAGCCGATGAGGAGGATCTGGAGGAGGAAGGAGATGTGCGGCGGCGTCCCGCGGCCTCCCTCAGCCGCGGGCAGTGGCAGCGCATTGCCATTGGCCGCGCCTTCCTCAAGACCGAGATCGCGGGCGGTGTCGATCTTTGTGTGTACGATGAGCCGACCGCGAGTCTGGACCCTGTCGCCGAGGTATGTCCTGGCTTGAGAATTCGCTGATCGCAGCACGATCTGATGGAGCGCATCTCGTCGCTGTCGCGGAAGAGCGGGCGCACCACGACCATCTTCGTCTCGCACCGCCTCGCGAGCGTGCGCCGCGCCGACCAGATTGCGTTCATGGAGAAAGGAGTGGGTGTGCGGTACATGTGGCGCTGACAGCAGCGCATTGTCGAGCTGGGTACGCACGCCGAGCTCCTCGCGCTCCGCGGCAGGTTCTTTCGCTTCTGGGAGCTGCAGAGCAAGGCGTTCGTGGACGATAGCAATGAGGGAGCAGACGTCAGCGACGCGGAGAAGGCCGAGGTTGACGAGCTTGGCTCGCACGCGGAAATTGGAGCTTGATCTTGTGCATTCGACGTTTTGAAGTATGCATTGAGCAGTGGCGGAATGCAGTGGCAAACTGGCGGGGGTATTATCGGAGGTTTATTGCGTTTTCGTCTGCGTCTGCAAACTGAGCGGCACTTGCCATTTTCAACGCTCAACACGGCGCTCACGTCGCTCACGTCGGTCAGTTACCGAGACGCGGTTCAGATCTCATAGTTGATTATGTACGGTTAATTACACGTTTATCTGCACAGACACACACTGGTGGAAGGTTATCGTGCCGTTAAGCCCTCTGAATCAATCAACGACGAGCGCAAGCGTGGTTGTGTTGGTGGTTTCGATCGTACATACGGTGGTGCCAATACATGGCCAAGCTCGCTAGGAGTCGGGTTTTAGTGCACAGTTCGGCTATCGGGCTGAGAAGTGGGCCTGGTGATGCGAAGGGCTTAGTGTACACTTGTCGCGGGGTGATGGCCGCTCTTAGTAGTCCTCCGGGATGTAGGTGTCGTGGGGCCGGTAATAATCGTCGCCAGTGTTGCGGCTGTGACCGTCGCTCCCGATAGGACGCCAACCATCAGTATCACCGGGTCCGCTAGTACAGCTGCAGCCCTTGCTGGCCCCGTCGTGGTAGTGCCAGCTATCGCCGTCGCCGCCTGTCTGGGGCCGAGGCGGGAGCGGGTGCTGCATCGGAGGTGGGTTCGTGAGGTCCTCGATGCCAAGCATGGCACAAAACGCTGTCGTCTGCGGATTCGTGTAGTGGGCTAGAGGCGCGCCTCCGCCCGCGGCTGGCGCAGTCTTAGCGAAGGTCTGGATGTCTGAGATGGGTCCCGAGAAGCGGGGGTCGACCAAGGCATTAAGAATTGCAAGAGTGCGTTCCTCGAAGTTGTCCGGAAGCATCGAGGGTAGGCCCCCTTCAGCGTCGCGTGCGAGAGGATCGCAGTTTGTGGGGATCGGGTGGGCGCCTTTGGTGATCGCGAGCCACTCGTAGTCAAAGGTGAGAGCTGGGGGTAACGCTTCAGAGGGCGCTGAAATGTCGAGTACCTGTTATCAGCTCGCATTGAGAAGGAGCCCCACCACCTGCCACGCGCCCGTCCAACCGTCATCGCTAGGCTTGGAAAGAGCCAGAAATCGCGTTGCCCGGTGGCCGGGTTGTGGCGGTGTATTCAACAGATCACGGCCTGGGGGCGGGTTTCGATAGATGGTGTGAGTGCTCAGCCACGCCGCGGGTGTGGGGTCTTGTTCGTGGCCTCTCTCCCCCTTCGCTGCTTTAGGAGGGTGAGTCTTGACGGCTGGAAACTTGATGTGCCGGTGCGCAGCGAACCAGTACCTCGGGCGAGTGGCGTCGAGGATGCGCATAAGTGGTGGGGCGCCGAGCTTGCCCGAGGAGACCAAGGGCTTGAATTGGGGTGAAAACCTGAACAGTCTCTTCCAGTCACCATGCTTAATGATTTCGGCGGGCCAGTCGTGGGAGAGAAAGATGTCTACGTCCGAGAGCTGGTGAGCGCGTTCATGGGGCAACTTACAAACCTGAGGCGCTCCTCATTCCATTTGCGGATGTGGTAGATGGTGTGAAGTCTCTTTTCGGACAGGGGGACGCGCTCGAAGTATCCACAGCCCTCCGTACCCTTCCTGTAGATGCCGCTGGCGCCCGCGATGCGCAGACCGTTAACCATCACGCTGCCCGCCACTCCAAGGTAGTAGATGTTGTGAGCGAGCCAGCCGCCGTAGAAGAGCTCGCCGAGGTAGTTGCTCGCTTCATGGTTTCCTCCTACGACAATAGTGAGAGGGATGTCGCGGGGAGCAGCGTAGTACTTGTGGAAACTGCCCAGCTTGCGCTGGTCTGGAAGCAGGTGGCAAGACTCCATATCGGAAGCGTTGCGAAAGGCCTGCAGGTCGCCGCAGCATAGCACGAGATCCACGGGGGGCAGGGTGCGGTAGAGCTCGGCGAATGAGCCGTGGAGACAGCCCACGACGGCGACGCGCATTGTGGTGCGTCGGGAGTGGATGTGCGAAGACGACGGAGGACGTGGTGAGTGGTTAGTGTCGAAGGAAGAGGACGTGTGCCAGGTGATGCAAGGTGGAGGTGGATCAGCGCGAGTGGCGAGGCGCTGGACAAGCGACTGATCATGCGTGGGCCGGAAGGACATTGCTCCATCGGCACCAGCGGCACCAGAGTATTCCACCCCAAAATGCGCCCTCTTGTCGTTTTGCAAGCATGGTCGAGCGACTGTCGAGCGCAGAACAGGCATCAGGATATCGGCTGTCGTCGTTGTCGCGCCGTCCAAGGTCAGTTGGGTAGCAATTTGACGATGACATCGTTGACGTCATCCTAATCAACACACTTGTCTACTAACAGGAGAGTAATCTATCCCAATAAGCAACAGCAATGGTGAAGCTGCGTTAAATGAGAACAACGGGCTAGACTTTCTGCACTCTTTACACGCTCCTCTGCCCACTGATACATGCTTGAACCGCAATCTTCACACGCTCCTTCCACCCCCTGAGACATGTCTGACCCGCGCTCTTCGCACCTGCGACGCTTATAAAACTTCTCACGGTCGCACTTCAAAGCAGGGCGACTCCAGCAAGGCCGAGTGCATCGGCCTCGCTCCGGAAAAGGCCGCTCCCCTTGAGCTTCTCAGTTCGTTTCCATTGTATAAGATGATTTCCTGTTTTCATGTTGTATCACTTGTCTCAACTCTGGCCTTCCACTCATTCATGGTCACCTTTACTCCACCTGACGCCAGTGGGACCAAAATATGGGAGCTGCGTCGTCGTCGCCTCGACGCGCCCGACACCACTGACAGTCCCGCAGTAATTGTCTGTTCGGCCAAAGGTAATTCTCAGTCTAGTGGAAACATCCCTCTAGTCGCGGCTGACGAGGCCCTCGGTTCTGACGGGAATAACAGGGACGGGCATGGCCATCTCAAGTCGGATGCCAGTCCTATCCATGATGGTCCCGACAGTTAATGGTCCGATAGTGTGGTGTTCACTCGCGCGGACAACCTGGGGTCGGAGGAGGATCCCTTCCCAGACATCGTCAATTTTGCCTCCAATCTCTGCAGCAAAGCAAGTAAGCCCGGCCGATGCCCCGGTGCTGAATACAGTCATTCTTCATCGCATCCTTAGCACGGGTGGAAGAATATTTTGCGCCGGCAATGCATTCGTCCTGGCAACGTCACTCGGGCCCGTTTTTGCCACCCTCCTTCTCAGTCGCTGGAGCGACCGTCGGGCTTTGCGCCTCCGGCAGACTGCATCTGAGCGGGGCGAGAGAATTAAACGCAAGGCAACGTTCCCCCATGTGGCAACATCGCCGTGTCATAAAGTACGTGGGAGGGGGTTCTTTTTGCTGACGAGGAGTCTGAGGCCTTGATTTATCGACCAGAAGATTGGATCCTCTCCGAATACGACAAGGCCGACAAGACCTTAATGAAACAGACGAAGGGGACTCGCCTTGAGACCATGCTGTCATGATCGCCAACAACACTGTTCGCCATGCCATCAACTCGGCGTGTTATGTAGCTAGCAGTCTCCTGATCTAAGCTGACGCCACAGGTTCTCATCGTGACGCGCTGCGCCCCGGCATCCCTCTCTCTTGCCTCCATGAATCTTCTGACAGGCTCGCTGTCCATAACGTTGAGCACCATCTCATATCTGCTATGGACGACGGAGGAGTTCATCAACCAAATGTGAGCTTCTCATTGCCGTTTCATGCTCACCAACAAGGTTCGGAGCCGCTGCTTTCCATGCTTGCCATGTCCATTCACTGCGGCCCAAAGGCTCCCATATGAAGTACGACTACGAAACACGGCGTTGCCCTGGTGGTGGGATGGAGTTAGAGCTTCGAAACGTGACATTTAGCTACCCTGGAGCGGACAAGCGCAAGCCGTCGCTGAAGAACGTCAGCCTTCGCATCGCGCCCGGCGAGACGGTCGCTATCGTGAGGTGGTGAGTTCTGCAGGCGCTCACCCTATCCAGGTCGGCTCAAACGGATCAGGCAAGTCTACACTTCTCAAGGTGCTCCTTGGCCTGTATGATGGGCATGAAGGCCTTCATGGTGATGTTCATGTCAACAACACCCACATCAGCGATTACGACATGAGGGGCATTTACGCGCCAACCGCGGTGGTGATGCAGGACTTTCAGCGCTACAGTCTTACCCTGCGCGAAAACGTCGGCCTCGGATCAACTTCCCTTTTGCACGACGACGAAGCTTTGAAGAAGGCTCTTGAGCGCGGTGGAGCCTCGGCAGTCGCCAAACAGATTGGACTGGACGCTGTGCTCATCCCATACCATAATCCCTACAAAGGTCTTTCTCCCCGACGCCCCGCGCCGCACCCGTCGCAAGGGTGGATGCGGAAGTGATTCGAGCTCTGGCGAAACGGCACTCTGTGGAGAAAAGACGAGTGAATCCAAAGCCGGCACCGAGGACGCGAGTGCGAAGACGAGCAGCGCATCCACAGCTAGTGGTGACGAGCCTGTCCTGTCGGAAGACGAAAGTGAGACGAGTACAGTCGAGGAAAAGCGCACCATTAGGCTACGCTCTTACTTCGAACACATCGTTCACATCATTTGCGCTCTGTCGAGTACCGGAAACGCTCGAGCCATGCGCAAGCAGCTGTACAAGGCCTCCCGCTGCACCGATAATGTTAGCCTCCAACCTAGCTCGCTGACCACAGTTAACCGCTCTCAGTGGCGGTCAGTGGCAGCGCGTGGCGCTTGCGCGCGCGTTCATGGCTGCCCCGCACGCCGACATGGTGATGTTCGACGAGGTGAGCAGCCCGCGTTCAAGCTCACAGCAGCCCAGTTCCAATCTTGACCCGGAGGCGGAGGCCGACCTGTTCAGGGCGCTGCACAGCCTCTCGAGCGCTCAGGAGGGACACCGCACGACGACCATCTACGTCTCACACCGCATGCAGACGGTAGGGCGTGCGCAGCGCATCATCCTGCTCGAGCACGGCGCCATCGTTGAGAGCGGCACGCATGAGAGGAGCTCATCAAGCGCAAGGGTCGTTACTTTGACCTGTACACGGTGCAGCGCGACGGCTTCATCTAGAAGGGGATGCTGGAGGGCGACGTGAGCCATGAGGGAGGCGTATGAGAAAGCAGAAGCCGATGCGTCTGTTGTTACGATGCCATAGTCAGTCTGTCAGCCAACGCATGGAAGAAGGTTCTGTTACCAGTTGTCGCCGCGATTCTCCCTGCAGCCAGCGTCCCGCTGCGCAGCAGCCCCCGACCACCTCGAGCGGATATCTATGCATGGGTGGTGTGTAGCGTCTACTTGCGTCCGGCGAGGAGGCGGCGGATCGTCTTGGTCTGCGTTGGCGTCGTGTACGCCGTCTTGCCGAGACGAGCGATCCGCGTCCCGGAGAACCCGGTGTTGAGGTGCTGCTTGCCGGCCTGGGCCTGGGGTCAGTGATGCGCTTGCGAAAGCCGGGTGTCTGCGCCGTTGGGTCGCGTCTGCCTTGCTCCAGACGACTGGGCAGGGGCAAGAGCACGCCGTGCCCATGACCATGGACACACCCACGAATCCACGTACGCGCTTGTACTGCCGTCAGAACACTGCTGCCGGGTGCGCCGGCAACTTACAACTCCCCCACCGGTCAGGCGGAACCGCTTCTTCGCGCCGGAGTGGCTCTTGAGAAGCTGCGCCACGGGCGTGCTCGAGAACGCGCGGAGGCCGGTACGTGCGAGCAATGGCCGAGCGAGCGCGAACATGGTGTATGATGATCCTGGACGTGCCGCACGGCACACCGAAAAGTACAAGTCCGAGATTCAGATGCGGTGAGGTGCGGAAGCAAATCGGTGGAGGTGCATCATCAGTCACTCTTGTCGCCATATCGCTATTGTGCTCTCTTGTCTTCTCTGCCTCTCCCTCTACCTCTGCTCTACTCTACTTACTCAACTACATTGTGAGCACCGAATTACACCGCGCTGACTCCAGATGTCTGGACGCGGCAAGGGTGCGCACTACCCCGAGCGAGCTGACAGCAGGCGGCAAGGGCCTCGGCAAGGGCGGCGCGAAGCGGCACCGCAAGGTCCTCCGTGACAACATCCAGTGCGTACTCCGCATCTCCGAGGTGCTGATACCAGGGGTATCACTAAGCCCGCCATCCGCCGCCTTGCTCGCCGTGGCGGCGTCAAGCGTATCTCGGGGCTCATCTACGAGGAGACCCGCGGTGTGCTGAAGATGTTCGTGAGTATTGACTCTGCGGGGTCTGGGGACTTGAGGAAGCCCCGTTTTCCCACCCCGCCTCCGCTTCTTCCTTCCCCCCGCTCGCTCCGCTTCTCCGCGCGCCGGCCCTGGCCGCTCACGCCCAGCTCGAGAATGTCATTCGCGACTCGGTCACCTACACCGAGCACGCTAAGCGCAAGACCGTCACTTCGCTCGACGTCGTGTACGCCCTCAAGCGCCAGGGCCGCACGCTCTACGGCTTCGGCGCGTAATTTCTCCTTGGCATCTTGCCGCACTTCGCGTTTGCTTGTCCTTTGTAAGCCGCCATGTAAATGACTGGCTATGTGTGGGAGCAGGAGGTAGCTGGGCGACGGCCGCTATTGTGCAGATTCCCGCGGGAACCTGGTGTGGGGGGATGGCACGAGAGAGGAAGACGTGGGCCGCAGCTGAGCCCGACGGAACGCATGGGCAATCCGGCTCCTCGGTGTCCTCCGCAAGGCCACACAACCTTTGCTGCCATCAGACACACATGTGACACGATCAAGTCAACATTCCAAGGACAACAATCCCGGCTGCTATGCTTATGCATCAACTTGTTTCTAGTGCGAGCCCTCCTTCTCAGCCTCAGCAACGAATGAGCGGATGCTGCGGTTAGCGGGGCACTCAGGGCAGCAGTGCACGCGGCCAGCACGCCTGGACATGACAGGGGAGCAGCTGGAGCGCGGTGAAGGCGACCGCGAGCGAGAGGTTTAACAGAGGGGACGTGTGGCCAGCATCAAGATACCAAGCCTCCACACCAGCACGAGTCCACAGTGGCACTCATCGACAACCGTCCACTGCGATCCGCATGTCCAGAGTGCTCGTCCACGCCGCTCCTCTCCTGACACACGCCTCAAGCTCCAAGGCCGGACACGTGTCCATCTCTCCACGTCCTGACTCACAACTCGTCCTCCTCCGAGTTGCCAGTGTTGATCGAAGAGTCCTCCTTGACAGGGGGAGGGGCCGAGGTCGACGCAGCCTTCTTGTCGCCGCCGCCCGAGGCAGCCACGGCAATGCCGATCGTCGAGAGGATCGTGCCGATGGCGCTGGCATCAGTATGGATCTTGGCTCGAGCGTGGTGCGAGATGGCCGGGGTCGGATCGCGATAATGGCGATGCGCATCTGAGGACCGAGCAAGCGTAGCGGGACACCCGCTGCCCGCTCCAATGAGCCTCATTTCCCGGCATCGCCGTCGCGCGCGCTCGCTGGCGCTAATCCTGGTGCTCCGAGCCAGCGCCTCGGCTCTGAATCTCGGACCACAACTCCGAATCTAGCCGAACCACCTCCCACACTCACATGTACTCGTTCTGCTGTCAGCGCGCTCTCTCACATGCTCACCTTGATGGCCTTGCCGGCGATGTTGTACGACATTTTGGCTGTTTTCGAGATATGAAGTGGTCGCTACAGCTCACCAGCCCCAGCCTGAGCCCGACCCGAGCCAGCGAGCGCGAGCCAGTCAGTCCAGTCCGGCCGCGGCGGCTTTTCCCGAATTCCCGTGGGTGGCACCTCCACCGGCCGCGCGATTTCGCTGACTTCTACTCACCTCACTGTCCTGCGTATTGCGTCCACCACCGCCATGCTCCGCTCCGCATTCAGCTCGCTCGGGCTGTTCCGTCGGCCAGCGCCGTCGTTTGCGCCGTCCGCCGCTGTCGCGCCGTCGCCGTTTGCGGCGCTCGGCGTGCGCTTCCGTGGGCAGCTGGCGCCGAGGAAAACCAAGTACCGCAAGAGCCAGAAGGGACGGCCGTCGGTGAGTTCGCGGGGGAAGGCTGCGCTGACAACAGTTTCCGACTGTGAGTTGATTGCGGCGTAGCGAGGTGGGAAGGGATGCCATCGCGCTGCGGGGACGCGGAGCGATTGCGGCTTCAGCCTGCGCGAAGCGTCGGGATAAGACCGGCGGAGCGGACGCGATTCCGCGTGCACCGACTGAGTTTCGGACCGCAACCGGCAGGAGATTGGCGCGAGCTGCTTTGCAGCTGCCATTGACGTTTTATGCTGACCCCAGGGCGGTTCGATCAAGGGTACAACGCTCCAGTTCGATGGCTATGGCCTCCGCCTACTCTCTGCCGTCCGCCTGACGGCCGGGCAGCTCACCTCGATCCGCGAGTCGGTTAAGCGCAAGATCAAGCCGATCAAGGGTGCTGAGGTGAGTAGTCGGACGGGTGGATCAACGACGGCTGGCCGATGCGGAACGCGCGATGGTCCTCTCGCTATCCCGCAGCCTTACTCGCATGAAACTGCTTGCTGGCAACAGTCGCCCCTCGGTGCCCGGCTAACATCCAGTTCTACCTCCGCGTCTTCCCCGATGTCCCCGTGTGCGTCAAGGGCAACGAGACCCGTATGGGCAAGGGCAAGGGAGCCTTCGAGTACTGGGCGTGCCGTGTGCCCGCCGGGCGCGTGGTGATGGAGGTGGCAGGTGGCGGCATCCGTGAGGAGGTGGCCAAGCAGGCTCTCAAACTCGCGCAGGTCAAGATCCCCGTCAAGACTGAGTTTATCTCGCCCAACACGCCGCCCCGTCTGGGCACACTTGTGTCCGGCGAGCTCGGTAAACCTGAGGAGGCGCAGAAGCTCATCACGGTGCAGCACCAGCTCAGCCCCGTGATGCAGAGCTTGCAAGCGCAGGCAGCGGCAGCGGCGGCGGGGTCGGCGGCCCCAGTCTCCGCATAGAGGTGTAGAGTAGCAGCAGAGGATCAGCATATGGCATCACCCTTATCACAATGAGGAATGGAGAAGGCAAGTGTCGCTGCGGAACGCAGGGAATCGTCTACGTGTGCTAAGCGAGTACTCTCGCTCAATGCCCTCAGGCCGGCCGGGGCTCTGTCTTTCGTCTGCTTAAGTGTTGTAACCGCTCTGTGAAGTTTGACGCTCTGGATCTGTGCGGCGCAGACAGCAGCAAGACCGAGCTCCACGCCTGGGTATGTTTTCGGCCACAGAGCACAGCCATGCAGCCATTTTCAAGTCATGGACGCATCTTTGATTAGCGGGATCAAAAGGGAATTAGGCCGTCGGGCATTATGAAGCGTGAGAAGCAGGTCGCAGCCGCCACCCATCCCATCGTTTCAGCTGTGCAGGACATCTCTCTCTTCTTCATCGTCACCTTTCTCATTCTACTCCCCTCAACTTCACTTCTATCTACATCAAGAGCACCAACTCCGCCCCCCGGGCTAGACCCACACTCATTATGAAGCTCTCCCTCGCTGTCGTCGCGCTCGGTGAGTCGCGCCACTCAACATTCTCTCCGCCCTCCCCCCTTCCCAAGCTGACCCCAGCCGCGACCGCGTCCGCGTTCAACCCCGGCCCCGGCCCCGGCGCTGAAGTTGACTTCGACTTCTCACGCTTCCGCGTCGGTCATGCCGGTATCGAGCGCGACCTTCCCGCCGAGGTCAACCCCCGCGCGCAGGAGATTGCCGCGCGCGACCCTCACTTCGGCGGCCACCACCGCGAGCACGCCCCGATCTTCGTCGAGGCCGGCCGTGTCCCTTCGCAGCGCGAGCGCAAGCCGTGTCATGGCAAGTGGGGTGGCTTCTCGTTCTCGGGCCTCCTCAGCCGTCTCGGGCTTGGTGAGCCGAAGCCCTGGTCCTCGGCCGTCTCGCGCTACGGCCACCACGACCACATGGGTGATCACCACGAGGGCGAGCACAAGCACCACGGTCACCACCACGACAAGGCTCCCAAGAAGCCTGAGGATGAGCCCGTTGCCGACGCCGAGTTCGCCCACATCCTCCCCATCTTCGGCGAGGACAAGGCTCACGCAGCTCTTGAGGCGCAGCTGAAGGCGCAGGCTGATGATGACGAGGACAAGCACCACCACAAGCACAAGGAGCACAAGCACCACCACAAGCACAAGGACGGCAAAAAGCTCAAGCACAAGCACAAGCACCACCACGGCCACAAGCATCACAAGGACAAGGAGTACTCGCTCAAGCAGGCCGGCTTCAAGCTCTGCGACGCGCTCAAGGAGCTCCCGCCTGCTCTTCGCGGCTTCGTGCTCGGCGCGCTCATCGGCTCGATTCTCCAGGTCTTCTTTAGCCTCATCTTCCTTGCCGTTCGTCTCCGCCACCGCGGATCGCGCGAGGCTCGCCGCGCCCGTCGCGCCGAGCGCAAGGAAGCTCGCAAGGCCGCCAAGGCCGCCTACAAGGCCAACAAGGCTGCGCGCAAGACGCAGAGCAAGGCCGCTGAGGCCGGCTACGCCGACATCGAGGAGGCTCTGCCGTCCTACGCTGAGGGCGAGACGGACGCGCTTGTCGTCCGCCAGTAGGCCTCTAACACCCGCCCAACATATCTTAACGTGCCGTGTTCATAAGTCCGCACGTCTTCTAACTGATTTACTCCATGCGATACGTACCTGCTCCAGTACTTAGATATCGCTCGAACCACCCTGTTGAATGTATCCGTGTCAAGAACTGAGAGCGCGTGAGAACGATGTTAAACGGAGCGTCACAAATGCGTTGCCTCTGCACACCCCTCTAAGGCTATCTCACATGCATACTAACCTATAGTCTACGCCTGGGTGGCTTCCTCCTGCTGCTCCTGCTGGCCCTGCTGCCGGCGCTGCTGCGGCCTGCGCTGGTTGGTGATTGGCCCCTGGGCAGCAACCTCCTCAGCGCTCTCGATAGTGGCGCGCGCCTCAGCGACAGCCGATTTCCACTCGCTCAGGCGCTTCTCCAGAAGCTGCCACTCGTCCTTGCCGAAGCGGCGGGTGCCACGGCTGCTGACAGAGATGACGCGGACAATGCTCTGGGGCTGGCTCAGGCGGGCCTGGAGGAGGCCGGCGCGGATCGCATCGATAACCCATGCCTCGACATCGGCCTCGTCGACCTTGAGCGCACCGGCCAGGTCGGCATAGGTGATCTCCTTGGTCGCACTGCGCGCGGCCAGCGTCGTAAGGGCGATGAGACGGACCTTGCGGAGGACCTCCTCGGCGTCGAGACCTGCAACACCGAGCTTCTCCACGTACGCGGCGTTGGTCTTGGACCACGCAGCGGCCTTCTCGACCGCCGCGAGCTCGTCGACCTTGGTGAAGAGGTCGACGAGCTCGTCAGCCGGGCCCGACAGCGCGTCGCGCGCACCCTGCACCTTGAGGATGTCGTCGACGTCGAAGCGGTTGGGGAGGGCAAGGGCGAGGGCAAGCGCGTGCTCGGCCGTCTTGGCGTCGATGGCGCGCTCGAGCGCCAACACCGTCAAGTCGAGGGCACGCGAAAGCTCGCCCGCCTTCTCGTACACGCCCGCGGCGTGGGTGAGGAAGGCGACCTTCTCCTCCTCGGACGTGGACCACTGGTTGAGGGCCGGGATGAGGGTTGCGGGGGTGAGGGGAAGGGCGGAGAGGTCGTCGGCCGCGCCGAGAAGCGTGATGAGGGTCTGGAGAACGGCGGGGCGGAGGGGGGACTCGGCGGGGAAGAAGTTGTACGAGTTTGTGAGGCTGCCGTCAGTACTTGTAAATTCGGAGGCGGAGCGCCTGTTGCTAGTTGCCACTCACATGCGCTCGGCAATCTCAACCTTTCCTGGCCGCCCGGCCTCAGCTGCTGCCTCGCCGCCAACGCGCACTGCCTCCGCCACGCTCTTGACGAGCTTGGCGTACTCCTCGCTCTTGGTGTCAAAGTTGTCCGCGATCACGTGTTGCAACAAAAGGCTGCACGACTCGGCCTCTGGCATGTCAGCGCGTCCCGAGGTGTATTTCGCATCACGGGGCGACGCGACGCGTCGCGTCTTCCATCTCCCCACCCATCCCCTCTCTGGAAGGGAGCGTCTCGCGCTCCCCCGCAACTCACCTCCCTCCTTCGCGGCCTCGAGCGCGCCCTTCGTCTCGACAAAGGTGTTGACGACCTTGCGCACGATCTCGCGCTTGGTCTCGGTGGACGGCTCCGAGCCGTCCGCAGGCTTGAGCTGCTTGTCAAACGTGTTCAGGAGCTCGCGCGCAGCAACCTGGTCGGCCGGCGGCATAGACCGGGACGCATGCTGCAGCGTCTCCGCGATCTGGCGTCAGAACCTCTGTCATGTGTCCCCGGTCCTCCCGGGCCTCGGCGGGAGCGGGAAAGCGCACCTGTGACCGGAAGGGCAGCTCGGGGGCAATGGCAACGCAGTCGGACATGGTGGTGGGGTCCGGGGCGCTGTCGACGGTGGGTGCGGCGAGCAGCGTTTTGGTGGTGAGCGCAAGTGTTGGATGCAACAAAAGAACTTGGCCCCCCGCCACGCCACGCCGAAATTTAACCCCGCGGACTTTGCCACGTGATTCGCCGTCACGTGGCTATCCGGGCTCGAGATGCTCGATCTGAGATGAGATGACGAGCAGCTCATCGAGCAGCGACCTCGACGCGACATCGTACTTCGACTCCGCTTACGACGTCACGACGATGCCACCAAAAGCCGACCCTAAGATCTCGCCTCAGGACGTCCCCGTCCTCTTCCAGCGCTACCGCACAGAGCTGCAGAACCTCGCCCAGAAGATCGGCGAGCTCGAGAGCGAGTTGGAGGAGCACGCGTGAGTAGAGCGTCGGCGGCGGAGAGTGGGCACCGTCGGGAGGTCGCTGACGCCAGCCTCGTTCTGAACACGCTCCAGCCGCTCACCAAGACCGAGCCTGAGCGCGCCTGCTACCGCCTTATCGGAGGTGTGCTGGTGCAGCGCACGGTCAAGGACGTGGTGCCCGCCCTCGAGACTAACTACGGGGGGATCAAGGAGGTGCTTGAGACGTTGGTCAAGACGTACAAGGGCAAGGAGGAGGAGTTCAACAAGTTCCAGCGCGAGCACAAGATCCAGGTGCGCGAGCGAGTGAGCGCGCTGACCACAGATGCCCGGGCGTGCTTAGGCCTGTACCACCAACGATACCCGTCATGTATACCCGGTCCGCATGCATCTGGCTCGCCTTATGACAATCTCCAGGGACGCGTTGGCTGACGGCTCGACTCACTGCAGCAACATACCTAGCATCTAACATGCTTCTGTTCCTGGTATCTTCTCCTCGGCCAGTTCGCGCCTTCAGCTCTCTCCCTCTCACCCACCCTATGCAATAATACATGGCTGGCCTACAGTGTTTTTTTAATCTTACGCTCTTTCACACTTAGACACGCTCGAGGACGATGGCAATGCCCTGGCCGCCGCCAATGCAGGCACCGCCAAGACCCCACTTCTTGTCGAGACGGATGAGGTTGTGGACGAGGTTACCGGTGATACGGGCGCCCGAGGCGGCGAGGGGGTGGCCGACGGCGACCGAGCCGCCGAAGAGGTTGGACTTCTCGTTGGGAAGCTCAAGCTCCTTCTGGACGGCGAGCCACTGGGTCGAGAAGGCCTCGTTGATGTCAATGAGGTCCATGTCGTTGACGCTCTTGCCGATGCGGGCAAGCGCCTGGCGGACCGAGACGGCGGGGCCGATGCCCATGATCTCGGGGTTGCACGCCGACCAAGCGTACGACGCGATACGCGCAAGAGGCTTGAGGTTGTACTTCTTCACGGCGTCCTCCGAGACGACAATGTTGACGGACGCGCCGTCACAGATGCCCGAGGCGTTACCGGCGGTGACAGTGCCAGTCTTGGGGATGAAGACCGAGGGGAGCTTCTGGAGCGTCTCAATAGTAGTCTTGGCCTTGGGGTGCTCGTCCTTGTCGACGATAATGTCGCCCTTGCGGCCCTTGATGGTCACGGGCGTGATCTCGTCCTTGAACGCGCCGGCGGCGAGACCCTCCTGGTAGCGCTGCTGCGACTGGAGCGCGTAGTTGTCGGCCTGCTCACGGGTGATGCCGTACTTCTGCGCGAGGTTCTCGGCGGTGATACCCATGGGCGTGGGCTTGCCGTTAGGGTTCTGGTCAGTGAGGCAGGCGAAGAGCGAGTCCTCGAGGGTCTGGTTCTGGCCGAAGCGCATGCCCCAGCGAGCGGCGCCGCCGAGGGTCATGGGCGCCATGGACATGGCCTCGGCACCACCGGTGAGACACACGTCAGCCTCGCCGAGCGCGATGGTCTGCGCGGCCGTGATGGCCGACTGGAAGCCCGAGCCGCAGAGGCGGTTGACGGTAAGCGCGGGCACCTCGTTGGGGAGCCCGGAGCGGAGGCCGACGTGGCGCGCGAGGTAGGGCGTCGAGTTGTCCGTCTGGGTGACGCCGCTGAGTGTCAGCTCGATCCAGTGGCGAAGACGCACCCGAAGAAAACCTGGTCAACCTCGAGCTCGGAGGGGAGCTCGGCGAGGGCCGCGCGACCAGCGATGCCGCCGAGCTCCGAGGCCTTAAGGTCCTTGAGGGAGCCGCCGAAGGCACCGAAGGGGGTACGCTTGGAGGCGACAATGAAGGCCTCGCGGCGGGGGATGTGGGAGACGAGGACACGGGCGGAGGCGCGCATGGTGGTGTTTTGGAGAGTGGAGAGTGGGGAGATGAGAGCTGGAAAGATGGCGAGAGCGGGACGCGAGATGTAGCGTGTGGATTTGGCGACGCTGAAGTAAGTGCAGTCCGGCATTCCCACCTTGCCGGAGGCAGGCACCTCTTGGCCGATCCACGCGCGCGGACAATCGCGCGGCCGTCACCCGGTCAGCGGCCACCGCAGTCTAGCCCCGGTCTATTTCCCCAAGACTTCTCACGTGTAATTCACGCGATTAGCACGTGAAACGGTCGTGGTGTGGTGGAGGTGTGTGCCATGTGGAGGTCGGTGGAGGCCGGTGGAGGCCCTGTGGAGGGTGTCGGGGGTGGCAAACGGTCCCATGACGCTCACAATGTGCTCGCTAATCCCTCCGTGGTCGACTGCGCCATCTCCACGTCTTCATCATGAGCAGTCTCGACGGCTTCTACGACGATATAGACGATATAGACGAGCAGCGGCTATTGAACGTCGACAACGAGAGCCAGGACATCGACGTCCTCGATGCGCTGTTCGGCATGGAGGACGACTCCGAATTCCTGCCGGGGGAAGATGGGGCCGACGATTACGAAGACCAGGACGATGAGGACGAAGACGATGACGATGAAGACGGGGATTACACCGATGATCCGGACGTGAACATGGACGACAGCGACGAGGACCAGGACATGTACGTCGTTGACGAGTTCGACGACAGTGACAGCGATGTGCAGGAACTCGCACTGGACCCAACAGAGTTCATGCAGCTCTTCTCCATGTTCCACAGCATCGATAGCGACCAGGCCCGCCTAGCGCTTCAACGCCTCGTGAATAGGGGAATGATAGGGAGGCTTGCGACACAAGACGTCGAGAACCGCCGCAAGTGTCGCTGGTGGAAGCCTCAGGTCGAGCCCCATCCTAGAGGCTTGGCACTGCTGCGCTCGGGAGACTTTGGACCAACGGGGCCGTGGCGCACTGAGCGCACTCGTCCCGGAGAGCGGTACGCCTGGCGTGTGAGCCGGGATCGTGCCCTTCGCCGCCCACACGCCGACCCTATGATCCCCAACTCGCACGGCACGGTTGTCGCTGAGTACGCCTCCGTGCCATATGTGGGCCAGTTCTGTGGACCGGATCACAGTGTCTTTTGTAGGTGTCCTACCGGGCTATCTGACAGCAGACACGGCGACGCAGAACTTCAAGCTCTACCTCTATGACATGGTGGCCCCGAAGCACGAGAAATGGCGCCGCGTCCGTGGTGGTGGCACGCAGGTCGTCACAGGTGGATATCCCGGTGTGGTATCTGACGAGGACACTGAGGAGGAGGGGTGGCTGGGCGGGGGCCGGTGGAGCCGGCATGCTGAGGCGGCATCAAGTTTGCACACGCTCAAGACTGTGCAGGGAATGGAAGGACGGTGGACAGTGACTGACGCGGACGCGGACCGCGCCGGCGAGAGGATGATATACTCCTCTATCACACCTGTCGTACACCTACTGAAGACGGACGACCATGATTCCGAGCACGTAGCGCTCGACTTTCGCGTTGGCCGGCACGACCACTTCGGGATATGGAGTGTGCGCTTCTCGGCGGATGGCAGCGAGATCGTGGCGGGCGTATCGCAGGGACGCATTATGGTGTACGACATCAATGCCGGGCGGCGCACGCTTAATGTCTTGGGTCACAGAGACGATGTGAATGCCGTGTGCTTCGCCGACGAGAGCTCGACGAATATTCTCGTAAGCGGCAGCGACGACGGTTACGTCAAGATTTGGGATAGGCGGTCGCTCTCGTCCAACATCCCCTCTGGCGTGTTGTCAGGCGCGACCGAGGGCATCACGTACGCTTCGCCGAAAGGCGACGGGCGCTATGTGGTTGTCAATTCAAAGGACCAGGCGGCGCGATTATACGACCTGCGCAAGATGCGCAGCTGGAGCGAGTTCAGCCTTGAACCGGACGCGGTCAGCATTCACGGCCAACGGCACTTTGACTGTGAGCTACCTTCTGACTTCCCTGTCAGTTTTCTCTAACATCAGACCGGAATGAGCGCTACATGAAGCCAAAACGCCTGGCCCACCCTCGCGACTGCTCGGTCATGACATACCGCGGCCACAGCGTGCTGCGTACACTTATCCGGTGCCACTTCTCGCCGGACGAGTCTACCGGCCAAGCATACATCTACAGCGGGTCGGCGGACGGCCTCATCCACATCTGGAGCCTGGACGGGCGCATTGTGCAGGTGCTGAATCGGGCTGAGTCGGTGCCTCTCCGCAACGCGCGAGGCGGGTTCAACGATCCGTCAGCGCCGGCGCCGCAAAATGCGAGCGCACGCCCCATGGGCCGCGGGTGGGTGGTGCGCGACGTAGCGTGGCACGCGCGCGAGCCCACGCTCATGAGTACGTGCTGGGAGGTGGAGGGGAGGTTTAGGGATCGGGGGAGTGTAGCGAAGCACGAGTGGAAGGGGCTCGGGAAGGGTGGGTTGAAGCTCGAGGATTGGGTTGAGAAGGAGCAAGCGGAGAGGGCGGGGTAGGGTGGGGGCACCGAGAGACAGAGAGAGATCAGACTCGGCAATACAGTTGTAGAATCAAGATGTGTGCCAACTCTCCGCCGGCCGGCCGACAGACATGAAGATGGGTCTCGGCAACGTTGGTGGTGTAGGCACTGATTGAGTTGGTCACATGACGTGAGCACTCGGTGACTACTGGGAAGTCACCGCAAGTGACAGATCAGATCTCCGCGATTACCGCGGCAGGGCCCGACCAACATGAGTGTTGGCGATACGCGATTACGCCGCACACGCTAGCCCACCACCCCCACAAGATCACAACGTTGGCGTCTTGCGTAGCTCGCAATAACGTATGCCGAATGCGTCGCAATGCGCCACGGACGGAATCCGGTCCAGCGGCGGAGTTACGCTCCATGCCGGCATCTCTCGGCCCCTGCCCCGCCGCTCGGCACGCCCGCCACACGTGCAGCTTTCCTCCACCTCCGCTGAGTAATAATGATCTTGTGCTCTCAACGTTGCACTCCATGGCGACATGAACTCGAACGACATTGAGCGCGCTGCGTCGCCGCGCTCTCTGCGCTCCGCGCACTCGCACGGCGGAGGCGCGGCACTGAAACGAGAGCCCTCCGCGATCGAAGATACTGTTGCGGCGCTGGCGGCCACCGACCCCGGGATTGAGGAGGAGAAGATGGAGGAGCTGCCAAATGGCGGGTATGGCTGGGTCATCGTGGTGTGTATCCTCGCACTCAACGCTTGTACTTGGGGTGAGTACGTGTGTGAATGGGAACAGGGCCGGCATCTGGGTGACGGCCGTAGTGGCCCAGCGTTCTTTTGCGCCCCGAGGAGATGTGTCGCATGGTCTCGCTAACCCCAGGTGTCAACACCACATACGGCGTCTTTTCCTCCTATTTTCTCCAGAACGATTACTACGGGGGGACGCAGCTTGACTACTCGTGGGTGGGCGGCTTGTCCGCGGCCATCGCAGTCTTCCAAGGTCCCTTCGCGAACTGGATGGTCCGCCGCTTCGGCTTCAAGATGCCGTTGTATGTCGGCGCCCTCTGCGTTGGCCTGGGACAGTGCATGGCGGGCGTTGCGACGTCCTTTGCAGGCTTCATCATCTGCCAGGGCGTCCTCTTCGGCGTCGGCATGGGCTTCATCCTCGTGCCGTCGCAGCCGCTCATCGCGCACTGGTTCGACCGCCGCCTCAGCCTGGCCCAAGGCATCGGACAGGCGGGGAGCGGCGTCGGCGCCCTCGTCTTCTCCAACACCACCCCGCTCCTTCTGCACTCTCTCGGCGTGAAGTGGACGTACATCATCAATGGGTGTATCTGCTTTGCCCTCCTGTTCCCCGCCGTGTTCTTGCTCAAGGGCCGGCACAAGGCTGTGCAGGCGCGCAGCGCGCCGCTCGAGTTCAAGTGGTTCTGGCACCCAGGATACCGGTGGCTGCTGATGTGGGCGTTTTTGACGAGTGAGTCGCAACTGCAGACCGCGAATCCGCTGACCCCAGTGATGGGCTACTTTATTACGATCTACACCCTCGCGTCGTACTGCACGGACGCGTTGGGTCTCAGCCAAAAACAGGGTGGCGCCGTGCAGTCGATCCTGGCCGCGGGCCAGATCGTCGGCCGCCCCCTCTGGGGCTACCTCCTCGACCGCGGTGGCCGCGTCAACATGGTCATCATCTCGTACATCATCGCGGGCGTGACGACGCTCACGATCTGGATGCTCGGCCGCTCGTTCTCCGTCATGGCGCTGTACGGCTTCATCGCCGGCGCGACGAACGGCACCATCCACAGCGCGTCTACGCCGCTCTCGGCCTCCGTCGTCGGCCTGCCGGACCTCGCGAGCGCGCTCGCCATGTACTGGCTCACGCTCGGTGTGCCGAACCTCGTCGGCCAGCCCTTCGGAATCATGCTCGTCGACTATTCGCGCAGCAAGCTCGGGAAGACGGGGCCAGCCGCGTACACTATCAGCATCGGGTTCTGCGGCGGGCTCTACCTCGCCGCAGCGCTCATGCTCCTCGGCGCGAAGAGGTATCTCCAGGGCGATTGGAAGGTGTTCAAAAGGGCGTAGTGGACGGCAAGGGGCTTGGCACAGCACAGTACATCGCATCGGAAGCATATGTATTTTCTTGCACTGTTGTTTTCAATAGAGGGGGTGACTAGCGATAGTGCCTGCCTCGATGGTGACTGTTAATTGTGTTTCGCTGACTGTGCTGAGTGTGGTGATAAGCGCCGAGGGGCCGAGCGCCGGATTAGCGCCGGGCGCTAATCCTCGCACTGAGGGTCGCGTCAATCATCTCACGTGCGGCATGCAGGAGTGTGCGCATGTGAATGCGGTTGCTGACGGCATGACGAGGCCGAAGAGGTCAGATGAGAGGGAGGTCAGATTTGCGGCCGGCCGCTGCATCAGAGAGTCAAATTTCAAGGTCAAATGAGCTCACCACCCCACTGATCCACCGAATAGTCCCTGCTCAAGATCTAAAGGTAGTCACGTTCTTGCCATGCACCCTTTGGGGAGGTCCGAGTTGGCACTTTCTTTGCGTTGCAATTGAAGCTCTGAAGGAGGCGGCGGACAAGGGAGGACACGGCCACCACGTCACGGGGCGAGGTATGAGGCCGTGTCATGCTTGTCACCATGGTCATGCGGGAAAGGAATGTCAGCTTGGCCTGCTCCCAGCTCGCTCTGCTCGCGCTCCCCGCCAGCTGTTTCTAAGCGCCGGAAAAACCCTCGGCGACCATCGGCGCGGGGCCCTGTTGCCTGTGGAGCGAGGCGCGGCGGCGTGGCAGCCTGGCGGAAGGCCCTTGCTCCTGCCGCTCGTATCAGCGTAAGCGAGCTAAGCCGCGTCTGGCGCCGTATACCGGGGGGTGGTGGCGTCGGAAGGCGTAGACGAGCGAGACGGGGCGGGGCAGACGGGGCAGGGAGCGGGGTGGACAACGGCACATCGCCTAACTCGCCAGGGCGATATCTGACCTTTTGGGCGATTGTTTGGTAATTGGCCGCGCAAAAGGTCAGATTCATTCCGCCCCTCGCGCGCTCCTCGGTGGGCTGTCGTGGGCAGCAAGCATACATATACCTGCTCGCTTATCATCCCTCTCTGTCCCCCCTCCTCCGTTCAAGCAGACATGCCCGCCCCCAACGCCAACCTCTCTGCCCTCCTCGAGGCGAACAAAAAGCACGTCACGCCCGCCCTCGGGCGCCTGCACGACCACATCATCGTGCGTGGCGAGGGCGCGCGCGTGTGGGACGAGCAGGACAAGGAGTACATCGACTTGACCGCCGGTATCGGAGTCACCAACCTTGGCCAGTGAGTCGCGTCGAGTGATACCGCACGGGGTACGACGGGGTAGAGACCCAGAGAGCGAGGAGTGGCGAAGAGTCACGCCTCACTGCAAGGCCTGGCCGCTCAGACTGGGAGCAATGTCCCTCGACCACGCCGCTATGACGCGAACCCCATTTGGCAACCTGCGTTGGCGGGGTTGGCGAGAGCGACGGCAGAGGGGAGGGAGAATGACATGACCGAGTGGACGCCGGCACATGCCCCACCCTCCGGGGAAATCGCCAAGCTCGCCTATCGCGCTTGAATGGGAAAACGGATATTCGTGGCGGCGCATGCGTCTGGCTGTGGCAGCATGCTCGTTCTGCATCGAGAAGAATGCAGCAGTGCGTGCACGATTATCGTGTGCACGTTCAGCGGGAACACAAGCATGTCTGTGCCGGCCATGCAATCGAGAAGCTTGCGTTGCCCGCCTCTGACAATGCTCTCTGCATCGCCACTACCTTGCCCAACTCCGCTCCCTTCACCTCGAACATCCGATTTATGCACTGCTAGTGTACATGCTAACATCAGCTCTCACCCCGCCGTCACCGCCGCTGTCATCAACCAGGTCCAGCAGGTGTCGCACGTCCAGTGCTCGATCGCCTACTCGGTGCCCTACCTCCAGCTGATCGAGAACCTCGTTCCCATCATGCCGGACAAGTCGCTCGACACGTTCTTCTTCTGGAACTCGGGCGCCGAGGCCATCGAGTTCGCACTCAAGCTCGTCAAGCGCGCGACCCAGCGCCCCAACATTATCTGCATGCAGGGTGGCTACCACGGCCGCACCTTCGCCGCGTCGTCCATCACCCGCAGCAAGACGGTCTACACCCTCGGCTCGCAGACCATGGGCGGCGTCTACGCCGCCCCTTTCCCGTACTGGCACTCGCTCGGCGTGTCGCCCGACACCCCCGAGGAGGAGCTCGTGGCCATGGCCAAGATCCAGCTCGAGCTCCTTGTCAAGCAGCAGGTGGCGCCGTCCGACGTCGCCGCCATCTTCTGTGAGCCGGTCATCGGTGAGGGCGGCTACGTGCCCGCCCCGGCGTCGTGGCTGCGCTTCCTGCGCGAGTTCTGCGACAAGCACGGCATGCTCCTCGTCATCGACGAGGTGCAGACCGGCTTCGGGCGCACCGGCAAGATGTGGGCGTCTGAGCACGTCGAGAACTTCGCGCCGGACGTCATGACTTTCGCCAAGGGTCTCGCGAACGGCTTCCCCCTCTCGGGAGTTGTCTCGCGCCGCGAGATCATGGAGAAGCAGGAGCCCGGCACCATCGGCGGCACGTACGCCGGCAACGCGATTGCGTGCGCCGCCGCCGTCGCCGTCACGGAAGTGTTTAAGACACAGCCGATTCTCGAGAACGTCAACGCGCGCTCGAAGCAGATCTTCGACACGCTCCACGCGCTCCGCGCCTCGCCCAAGACCGCCAATCTTATCGCGGACGTGCGTGGCAAGGGCTTGATGGTCGCGATGGAGTTCCGCACCGACGACGCCCTCACGCAGAGGGGCGCTACCGGCCCCATCCCCAAGGACATTGGCAAGCGCGTCCAGAAGAAGATCATCGACCAGGGCATCTTCGTCCTCACCACCTCGTGCTTTGACACCATCCGCTTCATCCCGCCCCTTGTTATTACTGAGGAGGAGATGGCGGCCGCGTGCAAGGCTATTACTTCGGCGGTCGAGGAGGTCGCGCGCGAGGGGTAGGGTGTTTAGATTTGATGTTGTTCGGGCTGTAGTGTATGCATATTGATTCGGCAATGGGCCGGCGTGGCGAAGCGGCAGCGACGAGCTGAGATGTTCGGAGTGGCATTGAGATTTGATTTTCATTCAGCATCGACATAGCCTACAGCGTCCACAGCATCCTCGCCGCCACGACCACATACCCATCCTCGTCAGCATAGCACCGCCCATGTTCCTCCCAGTAGGGATTACTGCTCGTGACGCGCTTCCACCCGGCCTCCTCTACGCGCTTGCACGCCGCCGCCCACTCCTCCTCGGCATAGTAGAACACGGTGAAGTCCTCGTCTGTGTGCAACGGCGTGGCAGGGTGCGCGGCGCAGAATGTAAACTCGAAATGGTAGGGCGCGCCTGGCGCGCCAAGGATTACGCCGTCAAACCGCGCATGATCCGCAAAACTTGTGAGTTGCACCAGATCCCAGGCCGCCCATTGGCGCGCCGTGCGTGCCAGGTCGGTTGAGGGGCGGGCGATGCGGAGGGTTGGGGGCATGGTGGATTCTGTGAGAGATAGGAGATAGGAATACTCTGTGCGAGATAAGTAGTGTTAGGACGAGATAGGGGTCAGTATGTACGGCACGACATTCCTGCTCTGTCATTTAAAATGGGCCAGCTCGTGGCTGTGCTGGACCTGTTGTTGAAATGCTGAACAAATCACTGCCACAGCCACATATGCACAGGCGCACAGATGCACAGATCGCAGATCGTCCGTCACGCCAAACACGCATCAAACACGCGCTCGCACGCGCGACGTTCACGACACGCGCCCGACGCGCTCCATATCCCCAGGAGCATCGGAATGAGGCCCGACATGCACTCGGGGATGCCCGATCCAAGCGTGAGCCAAGTGCCGATGCACGCTCGGCGCTCGTTCCGCGTCAGGTGGGCGCACAGCATGGTCCGGAGCATGTATTGGTAGGATGGAGCGGGCCGTGAGCCGCGAGCCGTGGGCCGGCGGGAAGTGTGGGGTGAGAGTACGGATTGCGGGGTCGAGTGTGGCGAATGTGGGGTAGGTCAGCAGTTGTTGTGACGCAAGCTCCGGCCGGCACTTGTCCTCGTCGTCTCCTCCTCGGCGCATGCATCCCCTCATCACTCCCTCATAAGGTCTTCGCCATGCAGGCTGTGCTGCGTTCCCCCCACCGTCCCCACCGTCCCCGTCGCCCCCTCACTTCAATGTCCAGAATCGCGACCCGTCTGCTCAGCGTGGCTCCGCGCGCGCGTGTCCACGCTTGTCCACTCCTCCGCGCCCCGTGGACTGGTGTTACCCCCGCATCTTCATTGTCCTCCCTCTCATCCCCCGTCCGCTCCTCCCCCGTGCCCCAGCCCCCAGCGTCCCAGAAGCGCGCGTTCAACGCCTCGGCGCGCACACACGTCCCATTCCAGTTCAAGCTCGCCGACATCGGAGAGGGCATCACCCAGGTCGAGGTCATCAAGTGGAATGTCGAGCTCGGGCAGGATGTCGAGGAGTTTGACCCCCTGTGTGAGGTGCAGAGTGACAAGGCTGTGTGAGTTTTGTTGATCCGTGGTCGTGGCCAGTCCGTCGTTGGCGCGATCTCGTGATCGTCGCCCGACCCGCCGCGATCCCCAGTCCTGCCCGAAACACACGCTAATCCTCAGCGTCGAGATCACCGCACCCTACGCCGGCAAGGTAACCAAGCTCGGCCCTCCTGCCGGATCCATCGCCAAGGTTGGAAGCACTCTGTGTGTCCTCGACACGACCGAGGACCACGGACAGGAGCAAGAGGAGATGCACGAGGAGGCCGAGGAGGCACACGAGGAGCCCGAGCCGACCCCTGCTCCCGTGCAGTCCCAGGCGCCGCCACCTCCCAAGCCTCAGGCCGCTCAGACCGAGAGCAACTCTGCGACCCCCAAGTTCGCCCCCAAGCCCCACCCCCTCTCGGACACGGCTGTCCGCTTCGAGGGCGAGGCCAGCGTTCTCCCCCAGGCTCCCAAGCCCGTGTACGACATCCCCGACCACGTCGAGGCGCGCCAGGACGGCAGCCTGTCGCGCGGGCGCATCGTACGCACCTCGCCCGCTGTGCGTGCCCACGCCGGCCGCCTCGGCGTCGTACTTGAGCACGTCACGCCCTCTGGCCCCGGCGGCCGCGTGACCAAGGAGGATGTTGAGCGCTACGCCGCCTCGTCGTCGTCGTCGTCCTCGGCCATCACCCCCGCCCCCAAGGCTTCCGTCCCCGCTCCTCGCGCCCCCAAGGCCGCCTCCCCCGCGCCATCTGCCGTCTCCGCCGACCGCGGCGAGGCCACCGAGCGCATGGAGATGGGCCGCACCCGCAAGGTCATGTACCGCGCCATGGGCAGCATGGGCGACGTCCCCCACTTTGGCTACCACCACACTCTGGACCTCACCAACCTCCTCCCGCTCATGAAGGCCGCCAACGCCAAGGTTCCCGAGACCAAGGGTTACCTGGCCGCGGACGTGCCTAGCTCGTTCGTCAACGCTCCTCCCCTCCCCGAGCGCCAGAAGACTTCCGTCCTCGCATTCCTCGTCAAGGCGCTCGCCCTCGCCCTCGAGGAGCACCCCATCATGCGTTCCCGCGTCAAAGAGGCGGACGAGCAGCGCTGGCTCGAGGTGTCGCGCGACGCCAACATCGGTATCGCCGTCAGCGACCCCAAGCTCGGCCTGCTCACGCCGGCGCTTTCGGGCCTAGACCCCGCTGCGCCGATCTCGGCCGTCAACGCGGCGCTGAACGACCTGCGCGCGCGTGCGGCCCGCCCTGGCCCCCTCCCGCACATCACCATCTCCTCGGTCGGGCCGCTCGGCGAGAGCCGCAGCGCTAACCCCGTGCTCCCTCCTGGTGGGGGCCTGGCTATCGCCGCCGTCGGCCGCGCAGCATGGGAGATCGAGTGGGTGCTCCGCAACGGCAACGGACCGTCGCCGAGCTCGGTGTGGAACCTCGAGCCGACGCAGGTCGAGGGCGCGGGCACGCGGGCCGTCCTCAAGTGCCCGGTGAGCTGGAGCGGGGACCACCGCGTGCTCGAGGGCGCCGAGCTCATCGCGTTCACGGAGACGTGGAAGCGCTACGTCGAGCAGCCGTGGCTCTGGCTCCAGGTGTAGAGGGGTGTGCATTCATAATTGTACTTTTTAATGCATGGCATTGGCATCGGTATAGATGTTGAAAGACGAGAGCGGTGGTTCGACAAGGACGTTCACGTGCATGGCCCCATCGGGAGAGAGTGGAGGTGGATCGGACCTAGTCCGGGAGTGAGGTCATTCAGACCCTGGGGACAAGTGACTCTCCACTCTGTCGCTCTTGTTGCTTTGCTGCTCTTGCTGCTCGTCTCGATCACTCGTCAAGCCACAGCCACGTCCTCTTGACATCTCTCCATTCTCCAGTCTACTCGTTCGGACGCGTCTTTCTCTCAACGCGCCAACGGACCTCGACTGTCGCGTTCTCCTCGAGGCCACTCACTCCCCTCCCCCTCACAGCCTCCACCTCATCTCCACTCCGCCACCCTTATCCTCACTTTCATCCTCTCCCTCTCATCCCACCCTCTTCCACCTCCCCGCCATGCTCCTCGGCAAGAAGAAAGACAAGGACGAGGACGCGCTCGCCGGGCTCCCAACCGACGACGATCCGGGTAAGTGGGCAGAACGTGTTGGTGCGGATCGCACGTGTCTGGGCGGTATTGTGTTGGACGGCCTGCACGGGCGAGCTGTGCAGCGGCACACCGCCGTACTGCGCAGTAAACAATCGCATCAGCGAAAAGCACTGTATGGAGCACTACCGCCCTCCCGCTCCGTTCGCACACTCTTGCGCCGAGCTGACGCCATGAACGGTGACTTGCCTCCACATGCGCTCTATCCGTGCACTCTCCCTCGACGCCTATGGCCCACCCTCCCCCGCCAACGCACCGTGCGCCTCACCCGTCATACATTCTCAATCCTCACATCACAACCCTCATTGCAACATCTCTCATGTGGTCGTACTTTTCGCACGCCGCCGACTCTACTCTCTCGCTCTCGCGCACTTCCACCCGCACTTCTGTCCGCGATATCCCGGATCTAGCCTCCCAAGCGTTTCTCGATGATACAGGAAAGCCGGCGACGTTGCCCGAGATGGGCAACGGCGGCGAGGAGAGCAAGATGCGCGTGCTGTTGGGCTTGCTCAAGAAGTACGTATGGAAGCAAGGCGATGCGTGAAGGTGGTAGCGTCGGGACATGTTGCCCGCTGCGACCGCCACCGCGGTGTCGCCCCACACTCCAGGAGTTGGACTGCAGCACGGTCCTGCTTTGCAACCAGAGCAAGCTAACTCCAGGCTCGTCGGTGTGAAGGATGTAGCCAATCTGTGAGTTTGATATGCTTGATCTACGCCTCAGATAGCGCCCACATTCCTAATGCCCAGCCGCCTCTCGCTACCTGCATCGCTCCTCGAGCCGATTCCCAACCTCGAGTACTGGCAGTATGCCGACCGGGCCGACATCTTTGCAGCGTGAGTGTCTGTGCTCTCCCATCCCATCAAGCGGCCACCTGACGCCCAGCATCGGTGACTCTGGCGATGACCTCGAACGGATGCTCGCCGTCTTGCGCTTCCTCTTCTCCAAGGACCTCAAGTTTGTCCGCGCTCGCCTTGGCAAGACGTACAACTCTGCCCTGGGCGAACATTTCCGCTGTGCATGGAGAGTCCCCGCGCTGGTACTTGACAAGGCGACGGGCGCGCCTATCGTACGCACGCACGTCCACGTGCCGCTGCCCAACGAGCCGTCGTATGGCGGAACGGGCGGCTCGGGGTGGACGACGCCCGTGTTGCGCCCAGAAGACGGCGGCAAGGTGTCGTCCGAGGCGTCCAGCATCCGCTCGGTGGCATCTAACAAGAAGAGCCCGGCAGCCAAGCTGCGGCGGAACGACTCGTACCAGAGCTTTGACATGAGCTCGATCAAGCAAGCGATTCCCGGGCCCGGCGAAGAAGTGCCGAGCCTGCGCGACCCGGATGCCGGTGTCCGGGAAGAGGAGAAGGTGACGGTCGTGTTCCTGAGCGAGCAGACGAGCCACCACCCGCCGGTGTCTGCGGCGTACTACTACTGCCCCGAGAAGGGCATTGAGGCCGTGTGCGTCGACCAGATTGTCGCCAAGGTGTCATTTCCTTGTGAGTTGCATGAGAGAGCGAAGCTGAAGCCGCAGCGGTCCGCCTTGGCCCCGGTCCCCAGAACAAGGGTATCTTCGTGCGCATCCTGCGCGACGGCCCAGGCAAGGGCGAGGAGTACCAGATTACGCACCCGGACGCCCAGGTGAACGGTATACTCAAGGGCGCGTACTACGGCACCATGAGTGACACTATTTCTGTGACGTGCCGTGGCGGTTCCGCGACGACTCGGTTGCGAGCCTTGATCGAGTACAAGGAGGAGGTGGGTTGATGTGCATGTCAGTGCTGACGTCAGTCGTGGCTCGGCAAGCCGCGCTTTGCCCTCGAAGGTGTCGTGTACCGGTACGACGAGGGCGACGTGAACGCCGAGTCGTGGACAAAGGTCAAGCAGGTGCCGGGCGACAAGGTCGTGGCGAGCCTCGAGGGCAACTGGATGAAAACGATCAAGTACCGGCTCAAGGGGGAGAAGGTGGGTGTGCGGCGGGGCGTGCTGACGCGCAGGAGTGGAAGGTCCTGCTGAACCTGGACGAGCTGGCGCTTATCCCCAAGCTTGTGCGCCCGCTCGAAGAGCAGGAGGGGCACGAGTCGCGGCAGCTGTGGGAGCCGGTGACGAGCAACCTACTGGCGAAGAACTGGGGGGAGGCGACCAAGCAAAAGCAGGCTATTGAGCAGCGACAGCGCGACATTGCGGCGCAGCTCAAGGCCGAGGGCAGAGTGTGAGTGGATGGGTGCGCGTGTCTCAGATGGGGAGGGAAGCTCTGTTTAGGGGCCAGAAGCAGGACAGCACACGTGTGCTCGTCCTCGCGACGTCTTTGTCTCTGCCCGCGCGTTATCGTTGCCGCATGCTGTTGTCGCCGCCGTCGTTGCCGCGTCGCGTCGCGTCGTCGCGTCGCGCAATGACGGCATATCAAGTATGCGTGCATGGTGGCCCGTCGGCGCCGACGTGGTGGACGCGGTGGATGCGTGGATGTTTGACTTTGTGTCTGCGTCTGCGTCTGGCTTGTTCCCCCTTTCCCCCTTTCCTCCCCTCTTGGTGCCGCTGCCGAATAGTAGAGTAGACTTTGGTTGCCGCGTTTCTAAATCCAGTTTGAAACTTTGCTGACGTGATAACAGGCACGAGCCCCGATTCTTCTCGCCTGATTATGAGGATGGCCGGCCTGTGCTGACGGATGCTGGGCGACAGGCTGTGGAGGACGAGATTAAGCGGGTGAGGGTGTAGGTGAGGAGAGAGGGGGGGGGTATTGTATGTAGAGGAGATAGAGAATAATGAACTGCATGTGGGAGAGGGGAGAGAGACAGTGGATAGAGGAGGGAGTGAGGGACGGAGAGGGCAGAGCGAGGGAGGGAGGAGAGTGAGTGACCAGGGCTTGCGAGTCATGTTGGGCAGACTACGAGGTCTGGCCGGGACGTTTGTGGCGGCCGTGGCGGTCAGGTTTTTAGCTTGGAATAGTCGCACATGGTGAATCGGCGCGTCTGCGTCTGCATTTGGCGTGAGGAATGCCCGTCGCGTCTATTTACATAGTAATACATACTGTCTCGGAGCGGGGCGACTACGAGCCCACGGGCCACGGGAACCGGGAAGGCTTATGTCAGCCAAGTAGCTATCATGAGTGAGACAGCCAGGCGACAGGCGGACATGAGCGGACAATGCGTCGAATGGAGCTTGCCCGCATCCCGTGCCCGTGCACGCCGCAATAACGTAGTCGGCGCGGAGCGGTGTGGAGCTTGGAGCTCGGCGCCAAGCGACGAAGGAGACGCGTTGTGTCGAGCGACGCCCGCCGATCCCCTGGCCACTAGCGGCCGGCGCCATGCCGGGAGCCCTCGATCCTTTCAATTGATAACTCTAATATTCCTAATCAATTCTAATTGCTGATTGAATTGTTTCGTCTCGCCATTCTCCTCCAACATCAGGGGTTTGTTGTGTTTGTTTTTCTCGCTTGTCCTCGATGCCGCCCGCACCGCAGAGTGCATTCGTGCGCATGCAGCATGCATCCTGTTCATATGAGGAGTGATGAGGAGCAGGCAGCATGCACTCGGCGTCGGACGCAGGCTGAGCAGGAGGCGTGACTGTTGTAGACACCAGAAGAGCTCGAATCCCGCATCCACCGCGGATCAGACCCTACCCTGTCTGCCCTGAGCGGACCAACCCACCACAGAGGCGGAGAGAGCCTGCGCCTTCCTTCCTCCCTCTCTGCTCTCCAACTCATCTCTGCATTGCCCCACTCGCTCTTCTCTCTAGAGAGTCCATCGTCCAAGGCTTCGCTCGCGGCCACGACGACGCCATCACCATCGCCATCGCCAACAACGCCGAGGGGCACGATAACGCGCCGAAAGAGGTCGAGGACATAGAGCACACCGTTACACCCCCTACCCTGCACCCCCCTCTAGGCCCCATCTTCCCTGCAACGCACCGACACTACTCCTGCCTTCCTCGTCTTCATCATCATCATCATCGTCTCTCTCTTCATCACTCTCTCTCTCCTCTTCATCCTCCTCCTCCTCCCTCCGTCTCCTCCTCCTCTCCTCTCCTCTCCTCCTCACAACCCCCACGCTCCTTCAACTAACCTCCAACACCCTCACCCACGTCGCTCTTCCAAACTACGGCCTTTGTTGTCTCTTTAATCCTCCTCCTCCTCCTCCTCCTCTCCTCCTCCTCACGCCCCCCACCACGCCCCACTCGCTCGGACCACGCTCGACTCATCGCTTGGACATCCTCGTGACGTACAGACGTAGCCCATAACCCTACCGACCATGTCGGACACAAAGGCCACGGTCACGGCAACAGCCACGGCCGCCTCCTCCTCGGGATCGCCAACAAGAGCGACCGCGACCGGATCTCCTCACCGAACAACACAACATACCGCAACAGCAACCACAACCACAACCACAACCACCACCCCCTCCCCACCACAATCAGCACGCACCGCGTCCCCTGTTCACGAATCTGGCGCTTCGGCCTACTCGTACTCGTCAGCTCAAGGCTCAGGCTCCACCTCTCACCGTACCCCCACACCAGTCTCCCCACAATATACCTTTGGAGGGCATACCCCCATCTCCCCACAGTCCTTCGCTTCCGGCACCACCGCCGGCCTCATGCCCAACCCCCTCGCTGTTCCAGAGGCCGACGAGCTGCCACCCGTTCTCGAGGGTGAAAGAGAGGTCGAGCTCGCCTCCCCGCCCACTGAATCTCCTGAACCACCCTCGGCTCCTTTTGCCCGCACAGGCTCACCAGATTCGGTCGGCAGCCATAGCTCGATGGGCCGCACACCAACAAGTCGCTCCCACCACTCTGGTCACTCGTCGTGGCAATATCACGATTCACGCGCTCCAAGCTCTGCTGCAATCAACATTGCCCACAAACAGCGTGTATCACAGGCGCCTCCTCTCCCGGACCACCCATACACCGCGCCACCAAGCGCCACCAACCGTCCATTGACACCCACCGCCGCCACCTCTCTTCTAGCCGCCGCTGCATCCAGTCTCGCGACCCCCACCATGTCCGCCACCCGTCTGTCCACCAGTACCATGGCCTCGTCGGTGCGAAGAAAGTCGCGTACCGGCGCAAAGTCGCCTCTCGGCGATGATGACAAGCCACCGGTGCCACCTCTGCCATCCGGAGTCATGTACACGCCGAGCGCGGGACCCAGCGCCGCGGTGGAGCTCAAGGCAGCTATAGATGCTGGTGAGGCACCACCTCATTATGCCTTCCTCGACCAAGACCCAACCGAGACTGAAGAGAACTCGCCTCCGCATGGTGGCGTCATGACCTTTAGTGGCGGCGGCGGCGGTGACCGGCGAGCGAGCAGCGCGTCGGCGATGGTGCAGGGCTCGAGCCCACACTCGTCTAATTCGGCCCGAAAGCACCTCTCATTCCAGAGCCAGCACTCGGACGCGTTCGGCTACGGCGGGTATCAGACGAGCAGTAGCATGGCGGATGTGGGTGATTCGAGCGGCGGCGGGAGTCAGGCGGGCAAGACGGATCGTACTGCTACGCGTCTGTCCGCCCAGAGCTTCCGCGACCAGTGGGCGTCGTTTGCCGGTGGACCTGCACCTGCGTGGGGCAAGCGCGAGTCGAACCGTTTCTCGATGAAGAGCTACAAATCCGGCCGCTCGACAAAGTCGCGTAACGCCAAGAGGCGGAGCAACGGCGAGGCTCTTGGCAGAGGCAGCAATGAGACGGACGAGTGGGTCGACGACGACGAGGCGGATCTTTTGGCGCTCATGCGCCGCGCTGCCGTTCTCGAGCGCCTTTTGCGGCATGGCAAGCGCGCATCAAATATGAACGCCAACCCCCGCATGGTGCAGCGTTACTCGCACTGGTCCATTGCTTCGACCTCGCTGTCAAATTATGGCCCGAGCCGCGTGCCCACGTCGCGCTCTAGATCTGGCTCACCGGAGAAATATGGCCAAACCCCGCCACCACCAAGGCGATCAGCGAGTAGTGCCACGACACACACGCACCGCTCAAAGCGCAGCGCCACGAGCAGCCTCCGCCACCGCCTGCAGCGCAAGCTGGGGATGCGTGCCGGTGGCCGAGAGTTCCAGGAGGTCGGCAGCGATGACGGTGCCGACCAGACCGAGCCCGACATGACCGTCGAGGGGATGGAGGACGACAGCAGCATGTCGATCAGAACACCGCACACGCCCATCCGCCGCGCCTTCTCCACTTCATTTAGCCAGCAGCGCGCGACGCCCTCTCCCGGCGCCGGAGCCGGCATCATCGTTTTCCCCGAGCTTGCGGCTCTCCCACCCCTCGAGCCCCCGCGCCACGACGGCGAGGTGTGCGCGCAAGCCTGCCTCCCACCCTCCGTCGCTGTGCCGTACACGCCCCTCCCGCCGCCGCCGGAGGCTAAGCGCGACTCGCGCGTCAAGAGCAAACACTCGCGCACGCTCAGCGGAACCTCGGACCCCGGCACGAGCGCCGGCGCCGGCGCGAGCGCGGGCGTGGGCGCGCCCCAGCGCTCGCTCCACAGTCTCAAGAACTTGCGGCACGCATTCGACGAAAAGGCCGGCGGCGGGTTCAGCGACAACCGCGCGTCCATGCATTCCGGTACGGTGCTGATGGGCGACGTGCCGACGTGCGACCAGCGGTTCGGCGTGCGCCGTGCGCGCCGGCTGCGCATCCTCGTTGCCGTCGCGTGCCTGTGCGGTATAATCCTTATCGTCGGCCTGCTGGCCGGCCTCCTATCGCGGCGGAACAGACAATAGACAGACTCCATCACGGTTGTTAGTAGTGTAACTTTAGTCGAGATGAGCGACGCGCACGCGTAATGGCCTGCGCCACCGTTCAGGCCGCAGGACAATGCATATATTGCTTGCTGGCTGGCTGGCTTGCTGGCTGGGGGGTATAATACATTCTGCTACAGGAATCTCTACTATTGCCGCATGCTGTCGAGCAGCTCCATGCTGCTCACCGAGTTGCCGCGGATGACCTGGTGTGAGCGTGGCCAGAAGTGAGGCGAGAGAAAGGCACGAGGACAGGGGGGAGGGAGGTGAAGGGAGTGATGTTGATTGAAACGGTGATAGCGAGCGAGGAATGGTGAGGCAAGAAGAGGAGGAGAGGCTGTCGTTTCTGTACGATTCTAGTGGGTCGAGTGTGGCAATGGCGCCAGTCGGTCTCCGACCATTGCTCCTCGTCGCTTTCCCTGCTCCCGCTCTCTCCCCAACTGTCATCCCGTCGTCCGTCTCTACCCTCCCTCTGTCCTTCTCCTTCTCCTCTTCTCTCCCTCCTCTCCTCTCGTCTCCCTCCTCCTCTTCCATTCCTGCTCTCCCTCCGCCCTCTCTTCTCCTCTCCTCTTATCCCTCCACCCCGCCCCACCCCTCCCGCCGTAAACTCACCACCATGCCAGCCTGCTTGCGCTGGCCGCCCCCGAGCTCCTCGTACGCCTGGTCGAGCACGAGGTTGAGGAAGATGTCGAAGCCGCGGAGAATGCCCGACACGGCCCGCCCGCCCTGCAGGTGGATGTACAGGCGGCGGTCCATGAATTCTGATGTCAGCGGCCACGAAGCCGCGCGGAGCGGTGGAGGGGGGAGGAGGCGTCGGGAAGCATGGCTATGCGGCGACGGGGGAGAGACAGGGGGGGCAGGAAACGTAGTGGAGAGCGAGGGAGAACATGATGGCTGGGAGAACATGGTGTGACACATGTCGAGAGACGGGACTCGCGCCGGGCGCGCACCGCGCGCCCAAGTCCGGCGTCCTTTACGCGCAAGAGCCGCGCTCGCTGGCGCCCCCAGCTGTCCCATAGTCTTGCTTCCCGTCGCCATGCCCTTGATGTCCGTCGTAATCGCCAGCACCGCGACGCCGCCCACTGTCCCCCCTCCTCGATCGGTTTCCGACATACTCTTGAGCTCTGGCTGTGCAGGACGCGACATTTTCGGTGATGGATCCTCGCGCGTGGGGTTCGAGTACGTAGGCGCGGGTCCAGTGGTGCCGTGGATGCCTGAGATGTGTTGTTGACGAACGAGTGGAATGGTGGAGGAAGGCAAGAAAGAGTGCTCGGCGTTTGCCACGTGGACCACGGTGGCACTCGCCACCCGACCCCACATCCACGCCCCACACCTGATCTGCTGCCAGCGCGTCCGGACACTCGGTCCATCGTCGTCACCAACTTTCTTCTCGTCGCTACTCTGCACCGCCGGCATCGGGCGGACACCTCACCGCCCTCTGATTCTCCACCCCCGCCGCCGCCCACTCCGCGCCTCGCCCCTGCTCTCACGACACCCCCGCCCTCCCCCTCCTCCCCCGTCCTCCCCCCTCCCCCCTTCACCATGCCTCCCCGCGACCGCACGGCCGAGTTCCACTCGGCGCTCTCGAGCATTCGCGCGCGCACCGCCGCGCCCGCGAAGCGTGATCCCGCCAAAGCTCCCCTCCTCCCGGCCGGCGGCGCGAGCGGGAGCAAGTCTGAGTTTGGGCGGCTGGCCGGCAACATCGCAAAGGACATCAATGCGACGACGCTAAAGTTGCAGAAGCTGGCACAGTGTGAGTTGAGCATAGAGCCCGGTGTGGGGCGTTGAGAAAGGATCGATCCAGCTCTTCAGAGCAGGTGCTGTCCACTCTGCTCTTCCTCGAGCCGAGCTCGCCCCCGTTCCTCGCTCCCCCTTCCCTCGCTCGCTCGAACTCACAACAGTGGCAAAGCGCAAAACACTCTTCGACGACCGCCCCATCGAGATCTCCGAGCTCACCTACATCATCCGACAGGACATTGCGTCGCTCAACACGCAGATCGCGAGCTTGCAGGCATATGTGCGCGCTCAGAAGGCCGGCAAGGGCCGGCAGCAGGTCGAGGAGCACAACTCGAACGTCGTCATGATGCTGCAGTCGCGCCTCGCCAACATGGGCATGGGCTTCAAGGACGTGCTTGAGTTGCGCACGCAGAATATGAAGGCGAGCAAAGATCGCACCGAGCAGTTCATGCACACGGCGAGCAATGCGGCTGTGCTGCCGCCGGCGAAGGGTGAGTCTGCAAGAGTCCGAGCCAGGCGAGGGCTTGGGAAGCACCTGGGGGCGCCCAAGTCGTGTCGCTAATCCCACCTCCCCCGCTTACGCCAGACTCACTCCTCTTCGCCAGCGGACCAGGAGCAGGCACCGATGACCGGAAGGGCAAGTCGCGTGCGCCGCCAGACGCTGGCAACGACTTCCTTGCGCTCAACATCGACGGACCACAGGGCGGCGATTACATGCAGACTCAGCTGGTGGAACAGCAGGTGAGTCGGAGTTGTGGCCGAGTGGCGCGGATTAGAACTCAGCTGGACCCTACTGACCCGCAGGACAACTACATCCAGTCGCGATCGACAGCAATCGAAAGCATCGAAAGCACGATCGCCGAGCTGGGCCAGATCTTCTCACAGCTCGCCAACATGGTCGCCGAGCAGCGCGAGACGGTGCAGCGCATCGACGCAGACGTCACGGACATCTCAGCAAACGTGTCGGGCGCACAGCGTGAGCTGCTCAAGTACTATGCCAGCATCAGCAGTAATCGCTGGCTGATGCTCAAGATCTTTGGTGTGCTGATCATTTTCGTAAGTTTTACTCCGAGTGCCGAAGGATCGCCCCGTTGCCTCACTCACGCCAGTTCCTCGTCTTCATTCTCGTCTCTCGGTAGTGTACAACATAGACATGCATGGTGTATCCATCTACTCGGCGGGCATCATGCGGGCCTCACGCGCGCGGCGCTCCTCCTCAAACCGCGCCTTCTCAGCAGCCTCGCGCGCCTGCGCCTCGTCATACCGCCGCGCCCAGTCGGCATTGGCCAGCGACGAGTCCGAGGGAAGCTTCTCCTTCTCCGTTTCCTTCTGTGTTTCCGCCGCCTTCACAGCCGCTGCCTTCTCTGCCTCGGCCTTGTCCTTCGCAATGCGTGCCTCCCGCTCGGCCTTGACCTTGGCCTCGGCCTCCCGCTCGGCCTGAGCCTTGGCCTCGGCTTCCGCGCGCACCTTGGCCTCTGCCTCGGCCTTGGCCTTCTCGCGCGCCTCCGTCTCCTGCCGCTGCTTCTCGTCGAGCACCATCTGCTCGAGCTCGGCCGCCAGCTCATCGTCGACCTCCTCGGCGGGCGCGGCGATCTGCCCGCCCAGCCGCACTGCCTCGTCGATCTCGCGCTGGTCCGCCAGGGCGTCGGCCAGAGCGTCCGTGGTCGCGGCAATGCGGTCCGGCGAAAGCCGGGGGTCCGCGAGCGCGGACGCAAGCGCCGCCGTCGACGCCTCGTACGCAGACATTATCTGCTGTCAGCTCATGCTCGTCTGCAATCCCGAGGCCCGCATGCTGCGTGGCACCCGCCACGGCTAGACTCACCTCCGCGTCACCCTTCGCCTGGTTCAGCGCGCGACGCACAGAGCGCAGCTGCTCCCCGGCCGCGACACGCTTCGCGACCACCTCGTCCAGCCCCTTCTTGCTCCGCAAGTATGCTGCCGCGCTACTCCGCTGTCCGGCCGCAACCTTGGCGCGCGCTTTGGCGGTACACGCTTCCGCCTCCTTCTCCGCAGCCTCCACCTGCGCCTCGACCTTCTCCAGCGCATCCGAAACGGCAACAGCGCCGCGGTCAGCTTCTGTGATCGGCGCCGCGGTAGAGGTGATCTTGACAATCTGCGTCAGCCCCAGCTGACAGGGGAACGTACTTCTCCGTCGATCACAACCCGGCCGGCATCACGTTCCAGCCAGCGCAGGAGCACCTTCATATCCCCATCCGTGAGGGGCACGGCTGTGACGCCCTTGAAAGCGCGCGAGAACGAGTCGCGCGAGTACAGGCTGTCCGTATAGTCGATGGGCGGGTTGTCTGTGATGTACTTGACCCATGCGGCCGCGGCCGCGCGCACGTTAGGGATGTGAACTAGGTCATTGCGAAGCGCGCTCTTCCACAGCTGTTCCTCGGACGCCTCGCCGAACGGCGAGAGACGCCCAAGCACGGCCCAGCCTGCGCTCACGACGCCGCCCGCGACGCGCGAGACGATGGAAGGCGTCGCGTCGATCGGTGTGGCCTGCGACTCGTAGCGCGGAAGAGGGAGGAGGGTGGTGGGTGTCAGGGCATCCTGGGGTGAGCGTCAGATGGTGTGCTTCCTGGCTTCTGCGAGTGTCGAGAAGTCAAAACAGCGGTGAGGCAAGAGGAGCAACTTACAATCACGCCGCCCAGCCCGCGTGGGCGCTGCGTCCCATTAGCAAGCTTGTCCGGAAGCGCTGAAGGGTGCAGCACTAGCGTGTCGCCTAGGTATCCCGCCTTGAGGCTGCCCGCGATGGCGTCGCCCCACCACTTGACATTTGCTGCGTAGCCGTCGGGGTTGGCGTCTCGCTGCGCGCGCGTGAACGAGTAAAGCGCGGCAAGACGCTCGGGTGTCGGCGACAGCCCGGTGTCGGCTAGGAATGGGGGCTGCTTGTCTTGCTTGGCCTTAGACATGGGTGTTGTGAGAGATGAGAAAGACGGGTGATGGCTCTGACGTGTTTTGGCCGCACTCCACTGATCGCCAGGGTTGGGTGGCGAATCGACCCAAGCCCCTACCACTCCCCGCTCGCCGTGTCCGCCTCCACGCGTCAAGATTATACTCATGCATGCATGGTGTACAACGACCTCTACGCCACCTCTAAGACGAAAACATGCCGGGACTGCCCACGCGCCGTGGCGTCGCACTCATGCTCGTAGGTCTAGACCGTGGCCCCGTAGAACGGCGGAACAGTCCCGAACTCGGCGCCTTCTGCTTCGCCGCGTTGGCGATGAGCTCGGAGATCATGCCGTTGTACGTCCGGCTGTCGGTCGCGAGCGCGTCCTTCAGCTGGAGGAGATATGCGAGGAGGCCACTGGCTGTAGCCGACGTCTGCTCAAGCTCGGTTTGCAGCGCTTGCAGCTTCGACAGAGGAAGGAGCGCGAGCTGCTCCTCTTCAAGACCGCAAAGCTCCTCTGCGCGAGGGATGTCGAGCACAGGGCGTGGGCCGAGGTCGTACTTGTCCGCTTGAGAGTTGCGGACGCTGGCGGGTGCGGAAGCGCCTGCTGTTGCGGCTGCGGGAGGAGGGAGCGAGTTTCGCTTCTGCGGGCCCGGGGCAGCGGATTGCGAGCGCGCCGGTAGGTCGCCTGTGGTGATCCGTAATGGCGGGAGGGCGGAGAGACGGTGTGAGTCCACCTCATCGAGATTAACAGGTACGCCCATCGCGATGAGATGCTCTCGGCGCACACGGGAGCGCGTCCAGTCCAGCGGCTTGAGGATTGGGGCGGTGGTGAGTTGGGCATACGCGTCGCGGCTGGTGTGAGCGGAGCGAGGAGGAGAGGTGCACTCACCTAGACTCAGATGTCAGCACCTGCATTAGCCCCCCAACTGCGCGGGGCGGCTCGTCGGTGAAGTCCGAGTGGTCGGGCACGAGAGGCTCAAGAACCGCCGAGATGCGCTGCAGCAGCTCGAGGCGGGGCGGAACGGGGCGAAGGCTAAGTGTGGACTGTTGTCAGTGCTTGAACACGGTCTCAGCACTCACCCATCGAGGCTCCGGTGGTGCGGTCGGTGCCGGTGCGGGAGCCGGCGGCGCAGCGGCCATGGGAGCGACATCTGCATCCCCAAAGTCGCCAAAGTCGCCGAACTCGTCATCGCCAAAGTCTGCGGGCGCGGCGGGCGCATCGAAGTCGTCAAAGTCATCAAAGCCGTCGTCCGCGGCTGGTGGAGGGGAGACGAAGTCCGCGGCAGAGGAAGGTGAGGCAAAGTCCTCGTCCGCGGTGGGTTGAGCTGGAGGGGATGATGTGGATGCCCGAGGGGACTTTGTGGACGATGCCATCACCTCGCCTTCCCCCGACTCGTCCCTGGTCGGTGACCCGAACGCCTCAGCCGCGGTCGGCATGGGGGAGAGAAACTCCTGGTCGTCGTCCTCCTCAAAAGGCTCCAGCGACGGTGCCCTCTCGGTTGACGACAGCGCGAATGGGTCCGCCGTCTCGGAGTAAGGGTCGGCGTACGGATCGGAGTCGGCAAAGGGGTCTGTTGAGGACTTGAATGGAGAGGCACTGTCGTCGGTGTCGTCGCGTTTAGAGGTGGGTGAAGAAGGCGAGCGTGGAGGTGATGGGGAAATGTTCTTCGCGCCCGTGTCAACGCTGTTCCTTACATCGCTGCTCTTGGTCGACGGCGACCCCAGATCGCCGTCGTCGATTGTTCCGGACATGGTTGAGCGCGCGTCGCCCGAGAGCCGAGGCGCCTCGCTCGACGGTCGCAACTCGGCCGATGGGCGCGCAGGCGTGCCCGATCGCGGGCTCTGCGCATCTGCCCAAGGGTCGTCGTCCATAGTGAACGGGGCGATGTAGAATGCGCGATTGAGAGATTCGGTGCGCGAGTGTGACACGCTGCGCCGAGGTGGAGGTTCGCCACGTGGCACACTCCGCGTCTGGTGATGATACGGGATGTATGTGAATGACTTGCGCGTCGGGGTCGACGGTGCCGACCACATTGTTGAGATGCCGAGACGAGATGGAGAAGAGCAGACGAGAAGACCAGATATAGACACATGCATGTGCGCATGAGGCTGCCGGCCTGTGCTTACGGCCATGCCGCTCCGCCGCACACACCCCCAGACCCGCTATTGCGTCTCACCCCTGCGCATCTCGCCGCATTGCACGCGGGCTGCATCACTTTGTGCACAACATCTACGTCTACATGACACTGTACCTCCCTCCAGCGGTGGGATTGCGGTCTGCGTTTTGCAGCGCCGCCACACTCGATTCAATGATAATCCGGCGCAGCTCGTCAACGGCTGTCCGCACGCGGCGCTCGTCGTTGCTCTCGATGAGAAGGTGCAGCTTGGGTTCTTGGCCGGGCGCGGGGTCTTGTCCAGGTGGGTAGTACACGCCACGCATGGTGATACTTGCACCACTGATTTCGGACAGCAGCAACATCTGCTCTTTGTTGGTCGCCTTCCACCGCGCCTTTTGCGGGTAGTCGTTGATGGGGAAGATCGCGTGCCAATCCGTTGCGTCGGGGTCCTTGGTCTTGCGCCCACTTTCTGGAGCGAGAGCTGCGGCGAGACCGGCGGCCTTGGGATGATCCGCCAGCTTCTGGAACTTGGAGACGGTTTCGGCCAGCTTCGCCGCGTCGATGTGGCGCCCCTCCCTCAATGCCTGCTCCAGCGCAGCAAGCGTCTGTGCTGGCAGACTCTTCGCGTCTTGCCGCGTACCGCGCATGGCTGGACCCGAAGGGAGCTTGTCAGGTGCCGGACCCTTCACCACCTCCACACTGATCTCGGTGTACGTGTAGTCCGCCTCACCCTTGAGCGAGTTCTCGGTCACAGTGCTCTTGTACTCATTCGTCTTAGGCTTGTAGGGAATGACGGCACCCTCGCGCGACGAAAGCGAAACGGCCTCCGACGTGTCACCATACGTGTGCTTCTCGGCGCGGTCTTTCTCCTCACGCTTGCGCTGCAGCCGGTCCAGACCATGACCTTGGTATCCAGAGCGGTGCTGCTTGGCCGTGCCCGCCTTGAGCTTCTTCATGAACTCGTCGGCCATCTCCTTGAGGTTGTCCGGGACGAACGCCTTGCTCGCCTCCAATGCGCGCACGAGATCGACGGACAGCTTGTCCTGCTCGGGCGTGATGAAGGTGATGCACGTGCCAGTGTTGCCCGCACGGCCCGTTCGCCCCGCGCGGTGAACGTAATCCTCCATGTGTGAGGGCGCGTCGTAGTTGATGACAAGTTTGAGCTCTTTGACGTCCAAGCCACGCGCGGCAACCGACGTCGCGACGATAATGGGAATATCGCCGTTCTTGAAGTTGCGGATTGCCTCCTGACGATCGATCTGGTCTTTGCCACCGTGCAGCGAAGAGCTCAGGTATCCACGGTTCAGGAGCTCGCGGAACAGGTCGTCGGCCGCCTCCTGGCGTTCCACAAAGATGAGGACACGGAAATCGGGCTCTTCAGGGTGCATCTGTCCCATCTCGCCGAGAATCTCAAGCAGGCGATTGAACTTTGTGTCTTCTTCGCGAACCTCGACGCGCTGGTCGATTTCAGCGGCGACGACACTCTTACCACCGACGGTGATTTCAAGTGGCCTAATGAGGATCTTGCGCGCAAGTCCCTCCATCGTCTTGGGGAACGTCGCGGAAAAAAGCACCTTTTGTGCGTCGGGCCGCGTGTTGTTCACAATCTTCATGACCTGCGGCTCGAAGCCCATGTCGAACATGCGGTCCGCCTCGTCCATTACAAGGAACGTTGTTCGGCGCAGGTTGGTCACGCGCCCGTTGTTGGCGGTAAGAAGATCGATCATACGGCCTGGCGTACACACGACAATCTCACATCCCTTTTTCATGGCAGCGATGTCGTCAGAAATCGACTGACCGCCCACTGCGCAAGTCAGGCGTAGACCCATGATCTTCGCGAAGGGCTTAGCCTCGCGGTAGATCTGCATGGCGAGCTCGCGAGTCGGCGCGAGGATGATCCCAATGGGCCCGTCCAGCCCACTCACTGGCCGCTGGTCCTTGACGTGCCGCAGCATCGGCAGGAGGAAGGCTATCGTCTTGCCCGAACCTGTCTTGGCGACGCCGATGACGTCGCGCCCGCTCATGATAGCCGGAATGGACTGGGCCTGGATAGGGGTCGGCGCCGTCCACTCCTTCTGCTGGATTACATCGAGACACCCCAGAGGAATGCCAAACGCGCCCCATCGCCTAACTGGTTTGGGCGCATCCACACCACGGATCCGTATTCCGTCCATCTCAAGGCGGATTAGTTCGGCCTCCTCCTCGTCCATGATCGCCGCCTCTTCGGGGACGGTGTAGAAGTTCTTCCGGAACGGCTCATAGTCAATGTTGGCGTGATCGGGGGTGGGCAAGTCCTTCTTGCGGTTTTTGCTGGCAGCCTGTTGCAGCATCGCCTCGGCCTTTGACAGTTCATCCTCGGCGCGGTTGCGTACCGTCTCCTCGTCTTCGCCATCGCTCTCGTCGACCGCGACATTTCCCGTCCGCTTGGCGTCAGACACGTTGACAGTCTTCACCTGCTGGGCGTTCTCGCGCATGAATGCGTCGAGCGGGTCTTCCTCCTCTTCCTGCTCGTCCACGTCCATCTTGCTGCCGTTTGTTTCCGCGCCAGCGACAGCATCGTTCTCATTGTCGTCACCCTGCGCTACCGCCATATCTTCGTCGATTTGCGCCAAGCCGGCTTCCGGGCCGCTCTGGACCTCGGGGTTGAAGTCTGGCAGGTCGAGCTTCTCCAACTTGCGATCCTCGACCTCCTCGTCGTCGAGCGCGGCGAACGAGCGCTTCAGTGTTGTCGGCTTGATGCTCGACAATGAAGTTGTGCTGAACGACAGCCCTGATTTGGCAGCTGCGTTGAGCGGACTCGGCAAGGCGGGCTCACGCTTTTTTGGAGAGCGCTTCTCGGGCTCGGGTGTAGCTGCGGCGCTGGTAGCATTGCTGCCTTGCGACTTGCGCTGCCGCTTCCAGGCTTCGAGGCGCTCGCGCGCCTGCCGCTTCTTCTCCTCGTCATCGCCCGGCCCGGGAGTACCTGACGCCGCCCGGCCATTCGGGCGGTCGCGGCTGTCGCGCTTGTCATCGCGGGGTTCGCGGTCACGCTCACGCTCACGGTCATCTCTTCGAGGGCGACGGGGACTGGAGTCTCGGCGGTCGTCTCTCCTGTCACGTTCACGGTCGCGGTCGCGATCGCGCCTGTCATAGTCACGGTCGCGATCACGGTCGCGATCACGATCACGATCACGATCACGGTCGCGGTCGCGCCTGTCGTCCCGATCATAATCGCGGCGGTGGTCGCGGTCTCTCACGCGGTCATCGTCGTACCGCCGCCTGTCGCGGTCATCGCGGCGCCTGTCATCGCGCCTGTCGTCGCGCCGGTCATACCTGTCATCGCGGCGGCGCGGCGAGGGGCTACGGTAGCTCCGGTGTGAGGAGCGGCGTGGCGGCTCGGGGGAGCGGGACCTACGAGGAGAGCGGGGCATGCCGCAGCGTTCGCAAACCGAGGAGAGTGATGTCAGGTGGGGTGAACAGGGAGAGATCGGGAGGAAGGCTGAATCTGGCTTGCTGGGTGGCAAACCGCTTGTGCCACGAGGCTTATTGCCGCGGTATTATCTGGGCCCCGCCTCCACCGCGGCCTCCACCGGGCGCGTGGGTGACATGACGCGACGCGTCTGTTTGCGGCTGCGACATTGCTCATCTCAGCTGGAGCACTACCCCACCATGGCATTCTCACTCCCGCCTGAACTCCTCGCCTCCGCGGCCGACATCACGCTCCCGAACCTCTTGGAGGCGCAGGAGCGGCTTGAAGCCGAGGCGCGTGAGGTGCTGCCCTACTCCTTCGATGAGTGTACCTTCTCGAAGGGCGCGATCCGGCAGTCGGTGTGGTCATGCATGGGTAAGCGAGGGGAGGGCAGAGCCGCCAGCGGGAAGAGAAGGCTTTAAGAGGCGCTGAGGATGGCGCAGCATGCAGAAGAAGCTTACGCTAGACTGTGGTAACAAGGGCGTCTGCTATGGCTGCTCTATCGCTTGTCATTCCGGTCAGTTTGGTGACGCCGGCACCACCATCAGTCGCTCACGGTAGAACATCGCTTAGTCGAGCTCTGGAGCAAGCGGAGCTTCACATGTGACTGCCCTACGAGCGCAATGTGCTCGCCTTCCTCCTCCAAGAGGCGATGCAACATTTTCCCTCCCGACCAGCAGCCTCAGCCGCCAAACGAGGGGAACGCGGGCCGGTACACCCACAACTTTGTCGGCGAGTTCTGTCGCTGTGGTCGTGACTACGACCCGGAGACAGAGACAGAAGCAATGATCCACTGTATTGGATGTGAGGTGAGTTGAGCGTGGGGAGGGGAAAGGTGTAATGCGACGGCATAGGCCTTGAGCTGAGGAGAGGGGCGGCGCCTGGATGAAGTGCTCTAGGCTGGTGTGCTAACGCCAGGACTGGTTTCACGAATCGTGTCTCAACCTCGCGCCCCGCAAACCGGAACGGGACACTCCGCTCCCCGAGGAAGAGGAGGAGAGCGACTCGCTCCTTCCATCAGAAAGCTACGACGGGCTGCTCTGCGCGGCATGTGCGGACCACCCGTTCGTGGCCGAGCGCAAGGGGCGAGACGGATGGATGGTCGTCGTGCCCCGGGGAGACGAGTGGGTGGTTGAGGGGCGGAAGGAGGGAGAGGAGGGGAGCGGAAGGGCCAGGATGGTCGAGAAAGCGGAGGAGCCCGCTTGGGGAGGCGAAGCCGGGCCTGCACTCGGCAAGAAGCGCGCGTCGGAAGACGAAGGGCCCGCTGCCAAGCGTGTAAAGGTCGAGGCTCCAGGGCAGGTCCTCACTGAGGCCGTGACCGCTGAGCCTACCGTCGAGCCTACCGCCGAGCCCACCGCCATACCCACCAGTACCGTACCGCCACCCGCGCAAGCCACCGCTGAACCACGCCGAGCGGCCGGCGACGTCTTCCTCGCCGACGGCGTGCGAGACCATCTGAAAGCCACGCTCTCTGTACGTCAACTTCCCTCACCTCGGTCCTTTCCCGTCAGCCCAAGTTGCCCGCTGACGCCAGGACGCGGAAGCCGCAGCCCTCCCCTTCCCGCTGGTTGACGAGGAGATCTACGAGCCGCCAGCCGACTCGCCGCCTGAGACGCTCGAGGCAGTCACGGAGCGCGTCGTGAGCGCCCTCCCGCGTGTGCAGGCCATCGAAGCGTTGTACGGCTACGAGAGCATGCGGTGAGTGTCCGGTAGAATCCGCTGACAGAAGCGACAAGCTCAAGGTCATGCTCGCGGCACATGTGCAGAGCGGACAGGCGGTGAGCCGGGACGACATTGAGACCTTTTTCGAGAATCTGCGTGCTCAGCGCGCCACGTAGCACCGTTGTAAATGTACCAGTTGATGCGTAAAATGCATGTACCGTAAATACAACAGATATTATAGTCGATAGACGACATCTATGCCATATGTTCCAAATTATCGTCATCTTGGCCCGCGACGCCAGCGGCGCCCTCAACGCCGCCAGCCATAGACTCGGCCTGTTTGCGCATGGCCCACTCGCGCTCCCACCGCTCCTCTTCAGCTTTGTCGAAAGCCTCGCGCCCCTCGCCCCAGCGCTCCTGCACATCCGAGATGTCGGCGTATCCGCCTGGAATGGTACCGGACGCGCTCGAGAACAGCGCATGCAGGTTCTCCTCGGTCGTTCCGCCCGGCATGAAGACGTAGCCAGTGACCTTGTCGATGAGGCGCACGAGGTGCATCATACTCGCCTTGTCCTCGACGGCAAGCGTCTCGAAGCCGACGAGAGAGAACTCTTCGATGAGCTCCGCCATCGCGGCGTTGAGCTTCGCGAAGCGTTTCGCTCGCGGCACCTCCTCCAATTGCCGGACGAGGTAGGAGAGGTCCTGCACCTCGGTGTAGTAGTCCAAATTGAACGCTGACGTCAGCTTTGAGGAACGTCAATCACTCACGCAAGTCACCGAATCCTCCTATGGTATCGATCTTGGAGAACACGTTGATGTGTGGCATCTCAAGCTGAAGCATGGCGCGCAGAGCTAACAGCACCGCGGAGATGTACTTTGCGGCGTCTGTGATCGCATGCGCGTCAGTCAGATGGACTGCTGCGAGTCGGTAGTCCAGCTTCAGCAGCCGGTTGACGATACGCTTCAGGCTGTCGTGGTTAGTCCACAGCTCAGCCTGCCCTGGCGTGTCGATGACAATGTACCCGCTGCCGCCTTGGGGTTCGAGAAGCGCGTCGAGCTGCTCCACGAGCCAGTCAAAGTTGGCCTCGAGGTACTCGATGCAGTAGAGCATGGCGCCGTTCGGCCCCAGCCCATACTCCTCCATCACGTCGTCGAGGGTGATGAGCGACGTGATGGAGACAGCGCACGGATATGGCGGGTTGGACACGGCGGGGTCGAGGTTGATGACGCTCACTGGTCGGCCAAGCGCGGTGAGGAATTGGTACATGCCATGACAGTATGTCGACTTGCCCGCCCCAGGGGGGCCGGTCACAAGCTGTCCGAAGGCGGAGGCGTGTGAGGAGTGTGAGGCCGTCGACATGGTGGAGTATGAGGAAGATCGCTAGCCCGTGCGAGGGCGGTTGCGAGGGGGAGAGGGAAAGCGATCGACCACGTCGTTGTGAGGGGTGATGATGTTGAACGAGGAGGTGCTCGAGATGGATCCCTTGGGGAAGCGTGCACGCTTAGCGTGAGGCGGCTGTTCGTGCAAGGGGAGGACGTGGTGTTGTTGATCCGGGACAAGAGGTGAAGCGCCAAAAGTGGAGGAGGAGACGCCGAAAGTGGATGGCGACAGGGACGGAGCCTCTGATGTCACGCGGTGTTTGGATTGGTCCCGCATCACGCCTGGTGTGGCACTCCGCTCTTTCGCCGCGGCTTGCCGAAACGCTTAAAGGTCAGCCACCACATTCCTTCGGATCCTTCCAATCCATTACTGAATGAATGTCACACTCACAGGCAGAGATCCACGAGTCGTCACGCGGGAGCGCGGCCAGAGGCGGCGTGCTCGCCCCAATTCTAGAAACGCTATCCCAACCAGGGAGACTTGCATCACCGCTGGTGCTCAGCGGCGACATGGTGACACCCAGGCCACGAGCTTGCGTTGGGGCGCCAGCGCCTGGCGCAGGCGAAGGCGGCGCGTTGGTGGAAGGACCAGAGGAGGAGTCAAAAACCGGGAAGGGAACTGGCTGGACGTCCATACTGCTCGTCCGAATGCTCAGCTCGCGCTTAGCCGCGTGGGCGTCTGCGTATGGCGACGCCTGCTCGAGACCAATGGGAGGGCCGAGCGCACTGCGCGACCTGCTTGATGCACGCGTGACGCGGCGAGACTTGTCGTAGATGGACGTCAGTGGCTTGGGCACCCGGTCGTGGATTGAAGTCAGGGGCTTGGGGCTGTCATGGATCGAAGTGAGAGGCTTCGGCGCGATCGGCGCGCCGGTGACCGCTGCAGCGGCGGCAGCAAACGAAAACTGCCTTTCCTCAACAGGTGTGCTTTCGGCAGTAACCATAGGAGTGCTCTCTGCCGTTGTCGGGTCATCGAAGGGTTGAGCGGGCGGACGGGGAGACGTTCCAGGACGGCGCGAGTCGCTCCGAGCCGGGGGGTTGATCATGCTCGGAGCTGTCGACGGCGCAGTTACAGGACGGCGCGTTGTTGTGGGCGCCGAAACCTGAGGAGTACGGAAGAAGAGACCGCGGAAGTTTTCATCCATACTGTTGCGGATCGACCCCTCCTCCGAGCCCGACGACAGCGAGCTCGTGGGCGAACGCCGATCTCGATCGTACTCAAATGGCTCAGTGGCGTTCGTGCCCGGCGTGCGAGGACTGCGTCCCTTGGCGCGCGGTGTAATCATGAGCGACTCGACAGTATCGGTGTCAGGCGTGAATGCCCGGCGGCCGGCGTCATCTTCTAACGTGAATCTCGTCTGGTTAGTTGGAGTCATGGGGTTGCTGGGCGATGACCGTGACTTGAATGTGGGGCCGGTCGGCGGAGGAGTGACAGCGGACTTGTATTCGTCTTCGCTCGCGACAGCGGAGTGGCGAGTAGCAGCGGGTGTGATGGAGCGGGCCTCGCTGGATCGCGTGTCGTCCTCCTCGTCCTCCTCTCGGACGGTCCAGTCGTCGGTTCCATCGCGGGCGTCCTCGTAGTGAGACAGAGCAGACGTCGACGAGACCGGGAACAGCTCTGGAAGCGTCGCTTCCGAGAGGCCACCCTCCGAGTCTGTGTCGTCCGTGTCCTCGTGCGAGGCAGCTGGTGTAACCCAGTTGTCATCAGTCTCAGAGTAGAGCGAGACGCTTGACGTAGCCGAGGCGATGGTCGCATGGTCTGACAACCGACGCAGCGGTGTGACCGCGCCCAAAGTGCTGGTGCTGGACTGGGGCATGGGTGTCTCGCCACTGTCCCAGCTCTGAACGTCCGAGGAGCTTTGGTTGCGAGAGCCCCCCGAAACACTGCTAAAAACAACGGGAGTGACTTCTGGGGTCGAGGTGCCACGGATGGTCGTGGGCCAACAGCTCACTTGAGGCGGGAATGCGTAGGACTCATAAGATGCTGGCATCGATGAGAAGGGGGCGGCAGCTTGGGCCAACGGCGTTGGTGAAGGGGTAGCGCGGCGTGCTCCGAAAAGATTGGCCGCTGGCGAGCCCTCGGCAGTTGAGACGAGCCCAGCGGACAGAGGTGGGCCAGAGAGGCGGCGCATGCGCCCAGAGTTGCCCGAAAGGCTGCGCCGAGCCACTGCGGCCCGAATGCCGCCAACTGGCGTGTCGGGAGGCGGCTGACCCGCAAGCACCGACACTCGGGTCTGGCGGAGAGGCGTGGGCGACTCGTCCATGATCGTTGGCAGGCCGGTCTGCGCTGGCGGAGTGGCAGCGGAAAGAGTCCTCGGACCAGGTCCCGATGGGGCGGTGCGAGGACGCGGCGTTGCCTCCTCACTGAACGTGTCGTTGTTTGGAGGAGTGCTTGACCGGCCGCCGGGGATATTGCCTGTTTGTTGTCTGCCGAGCGGAGCAGCGGTGGTCATGGCGGTCAAGTCGTTCAACGACCTGAACGACTTGAGAGACTGGCTGCGCGAAGGGATGGAGGAAGGCAGCTCGTCGGTCGAGTTGGTGCGCGAGCCCACGGGCGGCGTCGGCGTCGGCGGAGGAGGACGTGATGGTGGGCGTCTCAGAGGTGGTATTCTGCCAGACATCGAGGAGGGTCTAGCCGGGACAGCCGCAGACGCGGTGATTAGAGGAAGAGGGGGGACATAAGGTGGCGTGGGCGGGTCAGGGGGATCCACCGGCGCGCTCTGCTGCTCGGCCGGCATGTGCGGGATGGGAGGCTCGTCATTTCTGACCAGTGATGGAGGTATGTGCTGCCTTGGCGGCGTCCGCATGCCTGCCGGCAGGGGAGGCACGGCGGGGACGTTTGACGCGTCCCTTGACGAGGTTCGCCGCCGGTGCCAGGAGGAAGGAGGTGTGCGAGGTCGGACAGGTACTTCACCCATGTGAGGGCTCATGGCCCGACCCCGCCCAACGCTGTGGGCTGGCTGGGGTGAAGTTGGTCTGTGACTGTCACGCGGGCGGCCAAACCACGATGTCTTGGGCGATCTAGGCGATGGTGGGACAGAGGGATGATCCTGCGCTGGCTGCTTCTCCTCCCGAGGGGGAGTGGAGTGGCCTGGGCGCGAAAAGCGCGTGGGCGACATCGGGGCAGGCGGGACGCCCGAATGCCAATGCGAGCCCGAATGCGCGGGCGCCGAGTGAGCTGCAGAGTGTGAGGACGACAATGTTGTGCCCTGCGAGTACATCGACATTTGCGAGAAGCGGTGCTGTGGGTAAATGTCGGGGCTTCTTCTCCCCCCGCCGCCGGGCGTCGGGGGCGACTGGAAAGCTCGCATTGTCTGCTGACGCCGGTGTTGCCTTGCCAAGACGTAACGCGCGTGGGCCGAGCTGGGGTCCTCGCGCATCTGGGGCCTAGACGACGGCGGCGTGTCCATGGGCAGACGATGCTGCACAGGTGAAACAGCTTGGTCTGTGGTGATCGCCATACCGATCTCTGACTCGGGGAAGTCGTAGTTGAACGGTGACGAGCGCTCTGGCGTCGGCAGATGTGGTGGCGGTGTAGGAAGCCTGTTTGGGTCACCGCCCGAAGCGAAGTCAATGCTCCGTGGAGGAAGCTTTACATGCAGGCGGGAGCTGTCAAGACGGCTGTGATCAGGCGCGGTGGCGCCGCCAACCATAACAAGGTTGCTACCGCTCGGGGCGTGCCGATGTGTCGGAGGTTGTAACCTAAACTGGAAGGTTCGCGGTGGGCCAGTCTGGCGTCTCCTCAGTTTGGCAGGTGGTGATCCATGGCGTCCACGGTCGCCCTCGCGAACCGAGCCGGCTCGCTCAGGTAGTCTCCCAAGCCGTTCCCCCTGGTCGCTGCGCGTCGTCGTCGACAGTGCCGGGCGGTAGTTGAGCAGATCGGGATTGCTACGCGAATGAATGTTGTGCGAACGGGTTGAGCGGCTGCGCTGAGGAGGCGCAAAGCTAACTCTATGCTCAGAGTCGAGCAGGAGGGAAGGGGTAGATGTGCTCTTGGGCAAGCGTTGCTTGAGCGACAGGGAGCGAGGGGGGAGGGATCGGCCGAGGCTCTTTGGAGTGGTCGGGACGCCGGCGCCGGTGATGGTCGTCGAAGGCGATTCCGACACTCCTGTACTGCGACGGGACGAGGGAGGATGGCTAGGGCGTGACGAGGTGTAGGACGGGGCTTGTGGGGCAGTGCTCGGGCGAGAGGATGATGGAAAAGAAGGTTGCTTCTGCAGCGCAGCTGTGGGAGCTGGTCGGGACAAGGACGGGGCTGTGCTTGGGCGTGACGACCGCTTGACTGGCGTCGAGAGGTTGGAATTGATTGCCTGCTGAGGGAGGTTGTCGTGTGATCTCGTATGCCGGGCGAACCGCTCCGTACCAGATCGGAACAGAGACCGTATTGAGCTGGCCGTCGACTTTGAGCGAGTGTATTCCGGCTTCTCTCCGGCGGTCAGAGAGTGCCGGGACCACGAGGGATGGACGGGTGTGCCGGGATGTTCGCGCACCGACCATTCGTCCGAGCGCCGTCTGCTGATTATACTCTTCATGCTGCTGCTGCGAGATTTGCGGGTGATTGCCGCCCATTCCGAGCGCTCTGCTTCTCGCACCTCGCCGGCGGCGTAAACACGGTCAAAGCTCGAGTTTGGGTCGTCAGGGTCGACGGTGATGGTTGTATCAAACTCGGGCGTGTCCGGAGGCGTCACCTCGTGGGCGTGCATGCGGGGTCGAGGGAATGTCAAAGCGTCGCATACCGTGTTGACAGTCAACCTGGAACGAGATCCCTCGCTGTGCAGGGTGACGGTCGAGTCTTCAGGCCGTCTGGTCGTGGTGAACCGTTGCCCGACATGTCCGGGGAATGTCGCGGTCAAAGTGTTGTCACCGACTCGAGGATATGGTGGACGGTCGGGGTGCAAAGGAAAGTGCTCGATGCGGGGGCTGCTTGGGTATGAGTATCCGTAAGGGTGGTCGGCGGCCACGCCCTCGGTGCGCATACTGCGCGACAAAGGGGAGAAGAGCATCTTGGGTGCGACGAGGCCGGTGAGGACAGAAGGGGATTCTGTCACTCCTCCTCCTCCTCCGGACTGTCCTCCTGCCGTCGTAGCGGCAGACGATGCTGGGCCAAGGAGATCGGCAGACTGTGCTGCTGTTGGGCGGTGCCCGTAACGCGGGTAGCCTGGAGCTTGACTGCCGGATGGAGGGGTCTCGATGAGAGTTGGGGTTGAGACAGAGGCGAGCTTTTGCTTGGCCTTCCTGCGCCCAAACCACCCAAAGATTGTCTTCTTCTGCGGGCGTTCGCGTTCTGGAGGAGCGGCGGGGGTAGGGGCGAGACCGATGCCCTGGGCCCCAGACGGCTTTACGGGAGCCGAGAGTGACAATGTCGAGACATATGGGGGGCGGTAGGGGACGTAGCCGTCGACAATGTCTCCGGGTATCGCTTCGGGGCGCGACTGCGGCTTTGGCTTGTCCTGGAGGGAAGGCTGCGACTTGCTGCGTATTGAACCGGCGCGGCGCCAGTTGCGGCGGTCGCTGGACGACATTTTTGTGGCCGCAGCGACCGAGTCGCGGGAAGCGTTGAAGGCTGCGCCGCGGTGATCGGCCGCGGGGTTGAGCCGGACGCTGCCAAAGGGAAGATTGTTAGAGCTGGATGAAGCGACGGGGTTGTGAGAGTGAGGAAAGGAGGGGTATGAGGGGGTTATTGGAGGAGGGGAAGGGGGAGGAGAAGGGGGGGACATTGGATGAGAGGGAAAGAGAGTTGATGGATGATGTTTTGAGGCAGCGGTGGACCGAGACATTGTGTTTGTGATGAGGGGGGCGTTGACACAAGCGGCGGAAGAAGCGTGAGCATCAGGACATGGCGAGTTGAAGATGGAGACGGGAATGGAGACGAGGTTGGAGAGTTTTGCAAGGAGAGAACAGGCAAAGTCAGTAGCCGTTTTGCGGGTAAAGGATGGTTTGAGTGGAGGGGAGGGGGGGGGGGGGGTGGGGGGGGGGGGGGGGGGGGGGGGAGTGATAAAGCGAGAGTGTGGTTGTGGACAACGGCAGTGAGGAGGAGGAGAAGAGATCAAGTAGTGTGGAGATTGAGATGATGTATGACGACGAGTGAGATGGAAAGAGAGAAAGAGGTTGGAGACCGAGTAATGGGAAGGTTGCAAGATTGAATTGGGAGGCGTCGACTAGCTTGACGAGGCGTCGAGTGTCCCCCGGAACAGGAGGAGGAGGGACGAATGACGCGAAAACCTTGTTGACGCCTCCGTTGCCTTGCACCACTCAACCCACGGAGCGCGCGGAGTGCACGGAGCGCACGGAGCGCAACGCCGGTAGGCCGGGGCGTGGGTCTACGTAGCGTAGCTGTTGCTCATTCCGACTCACCTGTAAAGGTCGTGGATCTTTAGTCTAGGGGCGTAGAGGGCGGGCGCGCGTGTCCGACGTGTGCGGCGTGTGCGGCGTGTGCGGCGTGTGCGGCGTGTGGATGGCGTGTGCGGCGTGTGGATGGCGTGTGGCACGAGAGAGAGAGAGAGAGGGAGAGAGAGAGAGAGACAAAAGAGTGTTGTGGATGTCCATGGAGTTCAGTACGGCACAGAGAACTGGTCGTGGGGGGAGCCTTCCACAACCTCAGGGCTCTTTCTCCATCTACAAGGTTACGGATCAAAGTCTATAGCCCCACAACCCCCGACCACTGCCCGTTAACAGGTACACCCACGCTGCTCGCAGGGGCAATCATCCCCGCTCTCCTTGACATGTCCATGGCCGTGGCCGGGGCTCTCCACACCATCGCCTCGGCTTCCGTCAGTGGCAGTGTTTACTCGAAACCAACGTTCGCGGCCTCGATGATGTCTGTGGCGTAGGGCAAGCAGGGCTCAGATGGCAGCCGGCAGGTATGCAAGATAATCGAGGTACGTCGCATCCAGGGATGCCGCCGAATTGACTTGCCCTTGCACCCCTCGTCTGGAAAAAGTTAGAAGCCCACGCGAGAGTGCAGCAGAGAGCCGAGAATACGGTGACAGGGCTTGCGCCGGGGAGGAGGCGAGAGGGGTCCCACCGAAGCAACTCGGGGAGGGATGACGGCAGCGACGAGAGCAATCAAGACCATGGGCCCAAAGAAGCGAGCGTCGTGCCACATCCCACAGTGCCCCACTCTGGCCACTCCCCGAAACGCGCGACAATTTCTCCTGTCGTCTCCTGTCGTCTCCTCTCCATTTCCTCACCATCCTCCTCTTCCACCCACTCATGCCACTCACCGTGCCCCGTGCCTCATCCGAACACCTGGGACTCATCTGTCTCATCCACCGATCATAAACAAGGTTTCGGACCTGGTCCGTCATCATCCCCCCAATCCAAAGTCCAGCGGGATCCTCTTCCGCACGCGCCTACTGCTGCAACATCTCCCCGAGACGCCGCGCCTCATCCCGCTCGACCGCAAATCTGGCGTCAGCGGAATCTCTCGCGAGGTCTCACATCATCCCGAGGACGCCGATGCCCGACGCCCCGCCGACAGCGAGGAGCGTGAGCGTGTCCTTTGTCCCTCCGTGCAGACGCGCCGCGGACCACATGAGCGCGCCCGCGGCGCCGACCGCCGCGAACACGGCTGGGTGGGGGAGGATGCGGAGGCGGAGGCGGAGGCGCTGGCCCTCGTCCTCGCCTTCGCTCTCGCGTTCGCGGGCTCGCGCATACCGCACCGCATGCGACGCAGCATACGCAATCCGCACACCCATGCCCACACACGACGCGTACACCAGCGCCTCTTCGCGCGACACAACCCCCGATATCCGCCAGAGCGCGAGGACGAACGCGGCGCTGCTCGCGCCCATCGCCCACGCTTGGTGCGCGACCTGCGCGGGCGTCGCCGACGCCGCGTGGAACGCCTCGAGGATCCCGTTGAGGCTCAGCAGCGGGATGTAGAACGTGAGGTAGGCTTGTAGTGTCGCGGCCGCGTTTGTAGCGGCGTATTTCCGCGGGAGGAGGAGAGGGAGGAGGGGCGGGAGGAGGGGCGGGATGAAGACGGGCAAGAGGAGGAGGAGGTGTGTGGAGAGGCGCACGGCGAAGGCCAAGAGCGGGAGGGTTGCGCGCGAGCTGAGACGGCGCGACCAGTGTAGGCGCAGCGTCTCTTCCAGTGGCTGGAAGAGGATGCGGGCGACCAACGAGCCTGTCGTCAGCAATGCAGACATGCCACGCCGAACGCACCGTAGTTGATCGCGACCGCGTACCCTCCCTGGTCGCCCAGCGGGGAGATGTATCCCACCGCGATACGGTCCGCTTCCGTGAGGAGGTGTTTGACGACGCTCTGCCGCGTGCCCGCGATCGCGAGGCGGCGCGTCTCGGTGTCCCCCTCCGTTTCGGACACGACGAGGCCGCGCAGCGCCCCCGTGCCGCCATAAGCCCATATATACCGTGCTGCAAGCCACGCCGAGCCGGCAAAATACCCGAGCGCCAACCCGAGGAGGGCGGTGCGCCCCTCGGCATCCCCGAGTCGGGGGAGGGCGACGAGGAGCGCGAACGAGAGCGCGGTGCGCACGCCCGCCTGCCCGCCCTCGGCCGCGACGCGGGTCGCTATATCCCCCCGCGTCGCGCGCACATACAGCGGCTCGACGGCGAGCTCGGCCAGCGCGCCTAGCACGTACAGCGCCAAGCTGGGGTAGAAGTACGGCTGGCGCGTCGTCGACGCCGGCGCGGTGCCGAGGTACAGCGCCAGCGTGGCGGCCGAGACGGCGACGCCGAGGCGCAGCGGCCACACGGAGACGGATGCGCGCGTGCGCAGCACGGCCGTGCGCACGCCCTCACGGCTCAAGAAGAGGATCGTGGCCGCCACCAGGTCGAACTGGATCGCGGCGGTGCCGAAGACGGACGGCGGCGCGTGCCGCACCAGCCCTTGGTTCAAGACGAAAGTTAGCGCGCGCGAGAGAAGCTGGAGTAGGACGAGGGCGCGGCCTGTCGCGAGCGCTGATGCGTCCGACGAGGCGGGGGAGGGTGTATTAGGCGGAGGCGTTTCTGCTGTCAGACCCTCGCGTTGCCAAGTAGCGGACACACCTCCGGAGACATGGTTGCGCACCTGCGCGCGTGTTGTTGGCATGCTGAGCGGGAGAGTGGAGGAGCGGAGCGTGATGGTGGATTTTAGACGCGTCGACGCCGACACGCGACACGACGTCATGCCTCCACCGTGATCGCGGGCGGCGCGGGCGGTGATCGCCGATCGTGATCGCTGCGCTGAGATCTCCGGCTCACTCTCGGATTTCCTGTCTCTCTCCCTCCCCCTTCTCTCTCGAGATTTCTCACACCCACCCCGACCATCTCTTCTCGCTCCAACTTTCATGCACCCCCACATCCACACCCTCCTCCCCTCCTCCACGCCCAACATCGCCCTCGAATGCCGCATCTACCTCCCCTCCTCGGCCGCAGGCACACCCCTCGCCCCCTCCCTCAGCATGGAGGGGGACTCGTCCCCCATCCCCCTCGAGAGGATTGACCGCGGCGCCCTCAAATCTCTCGGCATCGACCGCCTCGTCACCGCCGCGCACCCATGGGCGCGCCTCGGCGGCAACATGCTGTTTCCGTGCGTCCTCCTCCCTCACCTGTGACTGACCCCAGCGTCATCGCCCACCACCTCCCGCGCGCAGTCTACGACGCCAACTCTTGCGCCGCAGTCGCGACTTTCAACGTCCGCGGGGTGGGGCTGAGCGGCGGATCCCAGCCGTGGCCGGGCTGGGGGATCGGCGCGGACGCCGACGACTTCGCCGCCGTCGAGCGGGCGGTGCTCGACCTGGTCGGCGACGTCGCCGTCTACCGCCTCGTACGTCCTCCCACGACCGTCTGACCCCAGGGATATTCGTACGGGACCCTCCTCGCGCTCAACGCACCACGGGGCGTAAAGCGCCTCATGCTCCTCTCACCCGCGCCGACGCTGTTCAAAGCCATGACGGCGCTGCGCGGCCCGACGTTCCAACAGGGCCTCGAGGCTGCGCTCGACGCGGCGCCGGACGCACATTCCCTCTGGGCGGTGTACGGCACCGCAGACGAGTTCACGGGCGTCGCGACGCTGCGACAGCTGGGCGGACGCCGGACGGACTTGATCCGCAAAGTCGAGATCGAGGGGTGTGGGCATTTCTACGCGCGGACAGAGGACGCGCGCGCGCTTCGCGCCGCCATTGCAGAGTGGATCGCATAGACTACATATGGCTAGTAGAGCGGCTTGCCGCTCATGATGCGGGGGAGCACGACTTTGCGCCACACATCGCTGACCTCTGCTGTCAGCGTGCTCACTCTCGCTCACGACTGACGCGTGGGCGTGTGGCCGGGGAAGCTGGCCGCGACGGCCTCCCAGTCCGGCTTGGCTGTCTGGCGTCAGCAGTGCCGCGACGCAACGTACGCCGAGCACCTCGCGCGCGAGGTGCAGCTTCATTGCGCCGTCCCATCCGCGCACGCCCGCGGACCACTCGCGCCCATCGACGAGCGCGGGGAACACGACTTTGCGCCAAATATCGCGGCATTCTGGCTTCAGCGCGTCGCGGCGTGGCTCACGGTTGGCGGTTTTGTCGACGCTCTCAGCGAGAGCGCCGTAGCCGGCCTTGGACGCCTGCGGTGAGCCCGTACGCGGCGACGCACCTTGGCCACGAGCGTCACGAGGAGCGCGCGGTCGTACGCGCCCTTGCCTTTAGTGGTTGACTCGCCTCCGCCTCCGCCTCCGCCTTCGCCCTCGCCCTCGCCCGCGCCCTTGACCTTGGTTATGGTTTTGGCCTTGGTCGGCGCCTTGCCTTTCTTCGCGAGGTCGGGCTTGAGATCGAGCGCGGCCGCGAGCGTCGGGAGCTCCGGGATGGGGCTCGGCGAACGCTCCGCTTTGGCGTGGCCCTCGTACGGCTCGGGGCGGGGACGGAGGTTGCGGAGGCGGACGGCGGGCATTGGGATGATGGGGACGAGGGGGTGGTGATGCTACGCGGAATGCGAATTGGCCGGCCTTGAGAGGTGAAGGGGTATTGAGTTGGGATGAGTTGGGAGGAGTTGGGAGGAGTTGGGATGAACCGGGAGCGCTGTGGGTGTGGAGTGGGAGTTGGGAGAGGGAGAGAGAGGAGCATGAGAAATCGGACAGGAGGATGACGAGGCGAGTGTCGACGAGGGGCGAGTGAGCGTCGGGAAAGTAGTGGTCACGCGCGAGGTGGTGTAGAATGGATTGGCGGGGCGGCGTGTGTCAAGTGCCACTATGCCTCATTTCGGCCATCTGTCGTCCTCCTCGTCCTCCTCGTCCTTCTCCTCCTGCTCTCCGTCGTCCTTCCCACTGATCCATTCTAATATACTGAAGTCCCCATTCCTGCCGTCTCCCAACTTACTCTCTAATAACCTACTGCCCCCTCTCTTTTCTCCCACATATATCCCTCACGCTCTCCTCTGCACGACCCCATCTCGCAGTCCCCCAAAATGACCAAACCCACTCCCAAACCCCGCTCCAGCGCCAACATGCCCCCACCCCCCATGAAGAAGACACGCGTAGTGAAGAAATCCCTCGTACTGCAAATGCTCCTGACCAAGCTCGAGGCGTCCAAGACGGCTGACTGGCACGCGCTGTCCCTCCGCCTATCTCCTTCCTCTGGCAACAGCAAGACCGAGGCCAAGGGGCTGTCCGGCAGCGACCTGCACGAGCTGTACCACAACGTGAGCGCAGGAGGGGACGGCTGACGTCAGTTCGTCCTTCCCGGCCTCAAGGCGGGGCGCGCGCTGTGGGAGGAGGGGGAGGGTAGAGACGTCGAGGCTGAGGAGGGGGGAAATGCCGAGCACGATGACGAGATGGAGAAGAAGCCTCCCGTTGGCCTTCCTGCCGCTACTGGGGCCGTCGCCAAGGAAAAGGACGCGAGCGAGAGCAAAGGTGGGAAGGGACGCTCCCCCACATCCAACAGGAAGCGCAAGATGTCTGTCGGCACGGCGTCTCCTAGTGGCAGTGGATGCGATCCCAAGACGGGTGATGGAGACCTCGAGGACGGCAAAGAGGGAGCCCAACCCCAGACCGAAGGTGGCCCAGGTGTCCACAAAAAGGTCATCCAGCTCTCCTCACCCGCCACATCGAGTCGCCACATCCCTCCGCCAACAGATGATACTGAGGCCAAGCCAGCGTCCCGCCGTTCCACCCGCGCGCGCCGCCACATCATCCACATCCAAGAGATCGATGGCAGCGACGACGAGACGGGTGCTGAGCGTTCCTCCAGTGAAGTCAGATCCGGGTCCACCGTGCCCGCCTCGCAGCCGCAGGGCACCAGTCCTCCTTCCAAGGCCGACGGGGAGCCTTCGGCTCTTCACGACTCTAATCTCGCCCAGGCCAGTACGCGCAAGGCGGCTCCGGGGTCCCGTGCGGCGCACAACACCGATGCCGCCTTCGACAGCCCGCACGCCATCACCAAGCCGCTTCGCAAGCGCAAAATCGACCCTTTTGGATTCGACGACCCCAGTCCCTCTCCGTCAGCCGTGTCGAAGCCAAGCCCCAAGTGCAAGCCAAAGACGCCCGCCAAGTCCAACTTAGCCGCGCCGCGCCGGCGCGGCGCGCAGGCGTAATTTCTGAATTATAGGGCTCAGCCACCTCCGTCATTGTATTTGTATCCGCCAAGCCATCCATCGAGCTATCTACCGTGCTTCCATGCTTCCATGCTTCATGCTTCATGCTCTGCTTCTGATTACTTGAGCTGGGGTCAGCACCCTTCCTACGTGCGACCCACCGCGTCCTTGGCGGTCTTGACGGCCCGCTTGACGCCCTCGACGACCTTGTCCGTCACGGGCTGCTCGGCGCGGTACTGCCGCTCGGCTTCCGCCGCCGTCGCCTCCTGCATGCTGGGATCGGGCTTGCCGCGGTGTCCGTGTTCCTGGTCGGCGCGGACGTCGGCCTCGGACTCGGTCTGGGGTTAGCGCGAGTACAGCGCGAGTGCAGCGAGCGTGCGAGCGAGCGCTGTGAGCGACGCGCGGAAAGCGCAGCGATGCCAGCGACAGCGCAGCGATGCCAGAAAGCCACAACGGCACCAAAGGTAGGCGACGCCAGCCGCTCAACTCACCGCATTCGGATCGCTGCTCGTCTCCCAACGGCCCGACTCGGGGTCGCCGCCGTCGAGGCGGACGTAGGCGCGCGCGAGCGCGGGGCGGAGGGCGGGGGAAGCGCGGAGGGGTGTGCGGAGGGCTGCGAGGAGAGACATTGCGTGGTGGGGGGTTATGGTGTGAGAACGCGACGAGACTCTTATATGACGCTGAGAGGTCAGCTGTCAGGAATGATGAGAGTGACGCACTAATTGACCACCCCGTGAGAATGGAGCTGACGAATGTAGAGACGTTCGGTCATGTCTGACGTCACTGGCGTTAGTCTACTGTATAGCCATCGATGTTGTTGGAGCGCGCAGCAATGCAGTTTTGGAGCTGGTTGGCCAGCCACAGAGGAGAATGCGCTAGGCTCATGCTCCGGTTTCAGTCGACGAATGGCTGCAAGTCGGGCTGCGGCTACAGCCTGGCGACGGCATCGCGATCCAGACGCGTCGCGATAACAGTCCGTCTCGGCCCCACACCGGGCCGGAAAGTCTGTCCGATTCTCCTCCCTTGAGCCTCACAAACCTCGCTCGTCACAAAGTGCATGTACTGTACAAACAACGGGGCCCAATGAAATGAAAATTGAATGTGTGCCGCCGTGGTGTATCTAGTCTCGGCGACACAGCGTTATGGGACAGGTGGCAGCCGCACCGCTTAGTCGTCCGCCCGCGCAGCTAGCGGCCCGCTGGGACGGCGCACCATCTCGTCGTCGCCCAGGCTCGAGTGGGACACAAAGCTCGCCGCGTCGACCGAGACAAGGCTCGTGCTCGTATCGGTCCGATTTGGCTTGGGCTTGAATGGGCTCAGCGTCGGCGACTTGGGCACGGGTTTAGGAATGTCAACTGTGGAGGGTGCGATGGGCGCGGTAGGTGCCAGGGCCTCGTTCCCCGTCGCCGCGGGAGACGGCTCTTGGCTTGTGGCCGGTGTGTCGGGGAGCGCCCCGGCACGGCGAGACGGGCTCGCGGCTGGCGTCGTGTCTGTGAGCGGCGAGTCGCGCGGGGTCACGTCCGTCTCAGGGGCGAGGTCGCTCGCGCTGTCAAGGGAAAGGAGGTCCTGGCCGGGCGCGGCCTCGATGGGCGCAGGCGGGGCAAGTTCAGTCAGTGGAGAATCGAGAGGCGGCTCTACGACCACAGGAACTGGAGGGGCGACGGGCGCGGTGGAGCAAGCTTCAGTCGTGGCGGCGGCAAGTTCGCGCGCAAGCGGGTCGTTCACCGCCTCGGCTGCGGGAGTCGCGACCTCCGCAATGGAAGGCTCGGTCGGCTCTCCCGGCCCCAGCGCCGCCTGGAGTGCCTGCGCGGCACCGCGCCCGGTACCGGGAATGTCGAAGGAGCGACGAGTCACGGCGTTGCTGAGTGGCGACGGCGCGTGCTCTGGGTGCAGGCCCGGAGCAGGGCTAGGGGTCGAGGACGAGCGCGCGCGGCTCCCGCTCGGGGTAGACGAGCCCTGCCCGGTCGGGGACGGCGCGAAGTGCACGCTCGACTTGGAATTGGCTCTACTTCGGTTCACAGTGATCTTGGACAGGAGCTTAGCGGCGCGTCCACCCTCGTTCTGTCGCCAGTTCGCGAGCGTGTCTGTCGCACGCGATGAGCGGCGCGAGCTTGTGCTGGGCGTAGGTGACGACGTGCCGCTTGGCCCTCTGCCATTGCCCACATTGCCATTTCCGTTGTCGGTCGACGGCCCTGCATTGGATGGTCCCGCAGCTGAAGACTGCTGCTGCCCTGGCTTGGTCTCCGTGGCCTGCTTGCGCAGATGCTCCTCGTGGTCAAGCAACGAGAGGCGCATCGCCTCCATGATCATCATCTATTGTCAGCCACACGCAGATGATCAGAGCTTACCTCCTCCATCTCGCGCTCGCGCTCGCGTGTACGGCGAGACCGCCGGGAGCCTCCTTCATCTGGAGGGATGGACATGGAGAAGTCGGCCTGTCCCGTAGCACGCGACGACGTATATCCGATGGGGATAAGGCGGTCGCCGACTTGACGCATGACGATTCGGCGTGCGGCACGGCGCGCCGCTTGCGCTTTGACAGCATTGAGTTTGGCCTCCCAGTCGGGCCGTATTGCGTCGATGGTCACGACCTCCTTGGCCTTGGAGCTGACACTCTTGCGTCGCCTACCTTCCTCGCGGAAGGTGCTGAATTCCGACACGCCAGGCGACAGGGGCTCGTCCGATAGGGCGTTACTGAACGCACTCGTGCCGCCGTCAGGAGTCGTGGCCAGAGCGGAGGGTGGTGGGGCTGGGCTGCAACCGCCGGAGCTGAGGACGCCGCTAGGAGTGGCAATGGCAGTGTTCGGGCGTTCGTAAATAACGCCAAAGTCGGTCTCGACGCAGAAGGGGCAACATGCCGGCTCGCTCTCAAGATGTGTCGTCGTGGCCTCGGCGCGTTTGATCTGCACAAAGCACTCGGTACACAGTGGCTGCTGGCAGCATCGGGACGTGTTAATGTTTGGTGGATAGTACAGGAAACAGATGGGGCACTCGAGTGCGCCGAGGTACGCCTTCTCCTCGCGACGCTGACGTTCAGCACGCTCCGCCTCATGGCTAAGGCGTCGACCGCGGGCGATCGTTTCGCGCTCCTGACGCAGTCGCGAGGTTGCCGAATTCTCCACCTGCTCTGCAAAGTCCTTCTCACGCGTCTCGGCAAGCGCGTTCGACACCTCTGTTTCAGACCAGTCTTCCTCGTAATCATCGAGACCGCGGTAGAAGGGCGCGAGCTGCTGGTCGAGGATCAAAGCGGTCACTATTGTCTTGCTATAGTCGTGCGCCTGGGGAAGACCGAGGGCGTGCGGGTTCTGTGGGCTCAAATGTCCACCGTAGGGCATTAGAAGGGGCGTCGAGGGCGGTGGAGGAGAGGACGGCTTAGCTGGCTCCTTATCCTTGGACAATGGGGGCGGTGGTGCGGGCGCGGACGCCTCATGCGGTGGTGTTCCGCCCTGATGACTGGGAGCGTTGCCCATGGTCGTGGAGCTTGACGAGTGGAAGGAAGGGTGAGGATCGAGAGATGGTCAGCCTTGCAAGAATGTCCGATGTTAAGGAGGTGGTGACGGCGCAGTGAGACGAGGCCTGCGCCTAAGGGGGGAAAGCCGGTGGCGAGTCGTTCCAGTGGATCCACACGATATTGATGGGCTTTACGGTGCGTGCGTCGGGGCCACCGTCTGAGCCACGGGCGGGGCCAGGTTGGTGGGGCCGCGAGTGATCGAAGCGAGGGCAATGCGTGCGCTCTGGGATTGAGAGCGGGGGGGTGTGAAGGTGGTGGAGGGGACGGTGGTGTGCAGGGTGACAGAAGGATAGCAAGGAGCAGCTAGGAGACGTAGTCGCGTGCCGACGAGTGTAAATCTGATAGCGAAGGAGCGGGTTCAAGATTGACCTTTGAGTTGACAACTAAGCGAGAAGTGCGGGGGGGGGGGGGGGGGGGGGGGGGGGGGGGGGGGGGGGGGGGGGGGGGGGGCGGGGTCGTTAAGAAGGGGATCGCGTGGGTGTCGTCTTGCTGGTTGCCCCTGGTGGTGGAGGTGGGGAGGAGGGGATGAGGGATGAGGGAGAGGGAGAGGGAGAGAGAGAGCGTGAATGAGATGAGATGAGATGAGATGAGATGAGGGGAGAGGAGGAGGAGGAGGAGGACGAGGACGAGGACGAGGACGAGGATGAGTAGAGAGTGTTGATGAGAATGGACGAGATGGATCAAGAGGACCATGGGCGAGTGGTGGCTGGGGTGGGGAGGGTGCAATGGACGTTCCAACCTTCCCTCTCCCACGGCTACGTAACCATCCCTCCCTTCTCCCTCTCACCCTCCAGTCCCCTCCCCCCTCCCTCCTCCCTCGAGGCCTCTGGGCACCCTCATTCCATTTGCCTTTGATCCTTTGAAATCTTATCCTTTGCTGCGCGCTGCGCGTTTACCATGCACCGCGCATCCACCCTAATATTCCATCTGCACGATTCTTGTCTCTCTTGTCTCTCTTGTCTCTCTCTCATCACGCCTCTCACGTGCATTCCAACCCTCTCAAACTGACTGACACACGACCCATATTCAGGATCACTTATACTCAAATTGCCCACCCGGTCCGGTGCGTATGTACCCGCAGCCGACAAGGCAGAGCTCACGCGCCACCGCTCCCAAGGCGGACAAACATTGCTCCGCTCTTTCCATATCATCCTCTACTGAAACATCTACTTGTATCCGCAACATCGACATGCACTGACATGCGCTAACACTACTACCGTGCTGCACCCACCACCGGCCTTCCGTCCGCACCTAGTCCCTTCTTTGCCTTTCTCCGCCGCCCCGTCCCCTCCTCATTCGGGAGCTCAATTACCAGCTTCTCCACATACGCCCATGTCTCGCCCCGCCGCTCCCCCTTGAGGTCGCCCCATGGCCGGTCCTGCTCAACGCACCACTCGAGCGCCTTGGCAGCCTCCTTCGCCCGCCGCGAAGGGTCAAGCGGAGGAGACCGGGGGCGGGGCACCGTCTCGGGCGCCTGCGGCTCTTTGCTGCTTGTCGGCGGCGTAGCGACAGTCATGTACGTAGTAGTCGTGAGCGTTGCCTTGCCTCGTCCCTTGCCCTTGCCCTGTCCGCTCTTGATTGTCAGAACCTTACGCGCCGCTTCCGCAGCACTCTGCGGCTTGCGAGCACCGCCGGGCAACGTTGGGAAGGCGCCGCCACCCGACTCGGCGAGCAGGCGTTCTTTGCGCTCACGCTCCGCTGCATTCCTCTCGTCCTGCTCGCGCGCGATCTGCGCTGCAATGTCGCCCTCTGCACGCAAGATCAGGCGAGCCAGCGCTGGTGGAGAGAGTGTTGGACGGGCACAGGACGGGCACGGTGCATGGGCAGGCTGCAGCGAGCAGAGGATGAGGCCGCACGCGGCGCACTGTGGCGTGTAGCGAGAAAGATCGTGCAAGCGTGCTACTGTCAGCTAGTAGTTCAGGTTGTGTGACTCACCTTGACAGAAGCATGGCGGAGTGTTGACGGGCGGGGCCTTACCCATTCCAGCCTGCATCTGACGTAGATTCTCGACAATGCCTTCCAGACGCATGGTCTCCTCGCTCTTCGGCAGGTCCCAGATTTTGTCCTCCTTCGCCTTGCCCTTCTCTTTGGCCGGCTTGGTGGTCTCCACGATGGTCACCGCACCGCCGACGCGATGGGGCGTATGCGCGCCGCTGTTGGGCGTGCGCACGCCTCCGCGCGCCGAGTTTCCGCGCGAAGGGAACAGATCGTCGCGGTTCTTCTGGTAGACTTTACCACCCGCTCCGAACGCGCTTTCCAGCTCTTCTGGGAGAGTTGCAGACGGCGTGCGCGCCACGGGTGCTTGAGAGGCAGCGACAGCCAGCGCGGCCGTGTTCTTCTTCTTCTTCTTAAGACCTAGGTCTGCGCGGATGTGGTCCTTCAGGTCTGGAGGCGCGTGATGCGAGCGCTCTTTCGGTGCAGGGGCGGTTGCATACCTAGGCGTCGGCTGGACGATGCGAGTCGCCGAGGACCCTGGTGCGATGGCGGGGGTGGGAAGTGGGGGAAACCGGTACGCGATATAGCGATCCGCAAAGGCGCGCGCGGCTGTCGTGGATCCGAGGAAGTCCTGCGCGTGAGCATTGTTGACGCTTGACTCCATCGTCACCACAGGAGGCGAATGGCCTCATCATGTCCTTCCTCCTCTAAAGTCCACTCACTTGTAGGTGCCCTCTCAACCGCACTTCCGATGTATACCCCTCGAGATCGGGGATAATGACCTGGTTGATAGTCTCGAGGTCTAGCGTTAGATACGTTCTCCTGTCTGGAGATGTAACAACAACAGTGCGCTGATGTGGTGACGTCGGAAGCGAAGGAAGGGAGAGTGAGATGATCAAGACTCACCAAGACCAAGAACATGTGCAAGAGACTGGGCAACCCAAGCAGGCGCCATGGTGTAGTAGGGGTTCGAGAAAGACGGCGATGAGAAAGCTAGTGTACCAGGAGGCTTCTGGCTGAGAGTCGGAGGAGGAGGGCCTGGGAGGGAGGATGCTCGATGGTGGATGGTTGTTATGATGAGATTGTGTAATCGAGCTCGAGATGTGGACGCGAACCTAAACGTCACTCGACTTTTGATCGGCATCCGGATCCGAGCGACCCGAACCAACCGTCCTCTGACCAGCGCCCCCAACCCCCACACCCCTGCCCTCCCCTCTCTTCCCTTACGGCCTTGACGCTGGCGCGCGATCACGCGTACACGAAATGAGCAGAGTGCATGCTATCGGTGCTACAATGAGAGTGTCTACTTTGCGGGCTGGGCCTGGGCCTGGGCTTGAGTGTTCTGTGCAGGCGGGGCACCCGGCGCGTTCTCGCCGCCCATGCCGAACATGCCCTTGATACCGGCCTTCATCTCCGCCATCTGGCGCTCCTTGTCCTCCTCGATCATCCTGTAGTTGTCAGCAAATAAAAACGGGTTGAGGATGGAGGAAGAGGGAAGCGCTCTCCCCAACACAGTCAGCTAGGGAACTCACTTCATAATCTCGGCGCCATGCTCCTTGTAATACTTCTGCTCCTCCTCGTACATGCGCTGAGCTTGCTGACGCTTGATCTCGAGGTAGGTCATAGGCTGCTTGGGCCGGGCAGTCTGTCGTTAGCTCATGCTTCTCGAATCCACTAACGGAAGATCCGCCGCCGAACACGCTGCCGAGAGACCAGCCGCCGCCAGACCCAGAGGGGTGGTTACGCTCCCACTCGGCGATAGCGGCAGCCTTCGCCTCAGCCTCCTTCTTCGCATACTCGCGAGGAATGTCCTTGCCTGCGTAGTGCTTCAGGACAGGGCGGACGTCTGCCGGCTGGAAGATACCAATGGCTCATGTCAGCTTTGCAAATCGGGGACACGTACACTCAAGGAAGGGGATCATCTCGACGAGACCCCGGTCACCCTTGGAACCGTCCCACGGCTTCATGATGATCGCGTTGTCGGGCTGCAGCGAGGCATGCTCGGGGTTTGTCTCGAGCATTACGACCTTGGAGAGGTCACGGTTGAGGTATGAAAGGTCCTTGACGATGTGGCCGTCAACGTAGCGTGTTGCGTCACGGAAGAGCTTGTAGGGCAGGTAGAGGGTCATAGGGTCAAGCTTCTCGGCAACAGGAAGAGCGGTCTGTTGTCAGCTCGGACACTCTGTCGGAGCCTGCCAGCGTACTCACATAGACGGGCTGAGACGAGAAAACGACAATCTCGTAGAATTGACTCAGGTAGGCGAGGAAGTAGTCAACGCCGGGCCGCTTCGCGGTCCGCCATCCGTTCGTGCGGTCCCACGTCGAATGGACGAGCATATCCTCGATGTCGACGAGAAGAGTGTAGGGACGCTGGTGGGGAGGCGGAAGCGGGTCAGGCAGAAGCTTGGTGAACGCAGGCTTAGAGAAGATGTCGGTAAGCTCGCCGAGGTTGTTTTTGAAGTTCTCGAGCGGGTTCCCGCCCTTTTCCTTGCCCTCCTGGTTTCCAAGGTAGTACGCGGCACCCAGACCACCAAGAAGGAGGGACGCCATGCCGAGACGGGTCATAAAGCGGCGTTGGCGCTCAATGCTCGAGACGTACTCGGGGCGCTTCTTGCCACCGGTCTTCTTCTTCTCGTCCTTCTCCTTGCCCTCCTTAGGCTGCTCAATGAACGGGACGTTGGCCTCGGGGTCAATGTCCAGCGACGGGAGTTTCGAGAGATCCGGCTTGTCGGGGATCTCGTCGGCTTCAGCGACGGGGGAGGGCGGCTCCGATGGCGCACTTTGGCTCATCTCAGGCGCGGGCTCACCGGCGCCGCGCACGTCAGGAGGCGCGGCGGAGCGAACTTCTGGCTCGAAGGGGGGTGGGGACTTCAGGTCCTTAGGAATGCTGGCAGGCTGCTCGGAGGGCGATGGCTGCTGGGGAGGCTCGGACTTGGGGGAGGGGGTAGGCGTGGGAGCGTTGACATCGTCTGGCTTTGATGTGGAGCCGTCTGCCTTCTTAATGCGAATGAAAGCGGGCGCGGACCGCGAAATGGGACGTGCCATGCGCGGAGGAGCGCAGCGGGCGGCAAGGAGCCGTGCGGTCGAGGAACGCAACATGATGGTGTGGAAGGTGATGGATGGCAAAATCAGAGTTCTTGAGTGGCCGACATCATACTCGACCTCAGAGAAAGCCGAGCATACAATTTGGTTCCGAAGATGACGCTGCACCTTGCAAAAGAGTAGTGCCCCCACTCAGAATCGAACTGAGGGCTAGAGATTATGAGACTCACGTGTTACCATTACACCATAGGGGCAGCTGTTCCGTTTCCGTCCGGGTTAGTTTATTAAGCCATGGGGGAAGCATTCCCTCAAGACAGGATGTTCTGTGGGGTCTGGCATTGGCACTCTGACTCGCGAGGTTTATGCTGTTTTCCAACAACATCATGAGCATGAGGAACTAAAAGCTTGGTAAGGCAGCGGAAAGCACGACTCTGGGTGAGTAGGTACTCATCTCAGCTCGCTCTGTTTCCTCCCAGAATCTTCTGGCTATGGAGGTGGGAAGTGGAGGGCGTCTGGTGGAGGTGTCCACGCTTTCGACGCGTCGCGCCTCGACCCTCCTCCGTTCACCTTCTCCCATTCACTTCCTCCGTCTCACCGACATGCCCCTCCTCAGCATCTTCGTGCTCTCATCAAACACGGGCGGAGAGCGTCGCCTCCACTCGGAGCTCACAGTCGCACAGCTCAAGGTGGGTGGGACGTTGTCGACATAACAGGTTAAACTTGGTCGTCTGAGTTCTCTCATGCCACATATGTCCTATTTCACGACTTCCTGGGCTCGGCCACAGCTTGAATCTCCCTCTCTTCCTCCCCTTTCTTGCTCCATCAACTCACGGAACAAGCTGACCTTAGGATAAGCTACTTCCTGTCACTGGCATTGCTCCGCAGTATCAGGTGCTCTCTTTGCACCGCTCAATCGATGCTGCCGAGTCGGGAAGTGCACCTATAGCGAGCCTCTCTAATGAGGGTGCGACGCTGGAGAGCTACGGCGTGCAGGACATGTACTGCATCAAGGTTAGTACTCGCGGTGCAGCGCCATTTCGCGTCGGCATCCTGCACCGGCAGCACTGCCCTTTCCACGTACGTGCTGACATCAGGTTGACAACACCGACCCAACAGCCCGCCCGGGCGAGTTTACCGATGTCTCTGCCGTCGATAAGTTCGAGCTTACGGACGCTGAGTACGCCGCAAGGCGCGACACGGTACAGGCGCACCTCAAGGCGAACAAGCTGGGCAAGTACGCCGATGTGCCGACGCCAATCGCATTCTCGCCGCCCACTGCCATCCCCAGCGATCTGGTGGTTGGCGCACGTTGTGAGGTGCAAGGTGACATTGAGCGGCGGGGAACCGTGCGTTTCGTGGGCGAGACAAGCTTTGGCAAGGGTGGCGTGTGGGTCGGCGTTGAGCTCGACGAGCCTATGGGCAAGGGAGATGGAAGGTGCGTTACCAGAGGGACAACTGAAGGATTAGGAGACGTGGGAGATGAGCTAACCTTAAGTGTCGACGGAAATCGCTACTTCCAGTGCATGCCCAAGCACGCAACGTTTGTGCGTCCGGACAAGGTCAAGGTCGGCGACTACCCAGAGGAAGACCTGATGGCCGATGATGACGAGATCTAATATGCATGAGACCGCGACTAATGTGTACAACTCTTGCTGAAGGCGGCATGTCGGGCGCAATATCGCTGAGGCCTCGCTCACGCGCTCAGTTAACCAGTTCTCTCCGCGATCTCGTAGATGCCTCCGTCAATTGTCTGGGCAACCTTGCTGTCACAGACGCCCACAGGGTACCCGGCGAGATAAGTGCGGCACAAGGGCGGCGAAGAGGGTGGGCTTGGCCATGGATGAACGTGTGGGCATAGCTGTGTGGAGCTCGGGAGTGGAGAGCGGTGAAGGGCACGGCAGTGGCACACAAGGAGGTTCGAGTCCAGCGCGTATGGCATTTCTTGGACATGCATCTGCCTCGGGAAAAGACGATGTGGTCAGAGACATGGTGATGAAGTGCAATCGTTCGATTCAGGGACCGTCGCCAGCATGAATTCCGACAGGCCACCCAAGAAGTTGAACGTTGTCAACAAACCCCAAAAGCATTAAAAATGACCGACACGAAGCGCGTTGTGGTGACTGGTGCGACGTGTCAGAATTGCGCTAACGCCAGGCGCCAGTGGACTACTGGGACGCGCAGTAGTTGCGGTATTCCGTGCCCGCGGCGACGACGGTGCGTGTACCAGCGCGCAATCTGACATCAGTGACGGCTCTGGCGCACACGCGCGCGCGCGACGGATACACCCCGCTGGATCTGACGGACACGGCGGCGGTCGAGGCGTTCTTTGAGCGCCCCGTCGACGTCGTCGTGCACTGTGCAGCGGAGCGCCGACCCGACGTTGCTGAAGCCGTGAGTGCCCTCGTCTCGCCTCCCTTCCTCCCTCCCCCACTAACACCAGAACCCCGCCGCGGCCGAGGCGATCAACGTCGCTGTGCCCGCTCACCTCGCGACTCTCGCGGCTAAGCATGGCTTCACGCTCCTCTACATGTCGACCGACTACGTCTTTGACGGGCGCAAGTACGTCTTTCGCTTGGCCGGACTAACCCAGCCCGCCGTATGAGGCCGACTCGGAGCCGCACCCGCTGCAGATGTACGGCCGCCAGAAGCTCGCAGGCGAGAAGGCGATCAAGGTTGCCGGCGCACGGGCGTGCGCTCTCCGCGTACCCGTGCTTTACGGCCGCGCAGAGTACAACGGCGAGTCGGCGGTCAACGTTCTCGTCGATGGTGAGTTGACGTCCACGGTGCCCTACCTCCGCCTCCTCATCGCTCCCCCACTCACATTCAGTCGTCCAAGATCAGTCGGGCAAGACGTACACCATGGACGACTACCAGATCCGCAACCCCACTTGCGTTGAGGATGTCGCGCGCGTGCTGTATGACCTCGCGCGCGTTCCCTCCCTCCCCCAGGTCGCGCAGTACCGCTCCCCCGGGCGCTCGTACACCAAGTGGGACATGACCAAGGTTATCGCGGGTGCGCTCAAGCTTCCGATCGACCACATCACGCCCGTGTCCACCAAGCCCACGAATGGCACCGAGCGCCCGTGGAACACCGAGCTGAGCCTCCGCAGCCTCGAGGAGGCCGGGGTCAGCACGGCCGAGGCCAAGACCTTCGAGGAGTGGTGGACCGCCTACCTCCAGTAGATTGATAGAGCATGCAACTAGTAATACCGATCTATGCTAACACCCGCGTGGGACCCTCATGCCGCCTCGTGCGCACCCCGCTCACTTCTTCCGCCTTGCCTCAGTCACCTTCTTGCCCTTGGCAGGCTTGGGTGCAGGCTTGGCTGGCGACGCCGAGGCGCTCTCGCCCTCGCTCTTCTTGAGCTTAATCCCCTTGGTCTTGAGGAGGTGCTTGCGCTTGCTCTCGGCGATGTACGCCTCGTCCTCGGCGACGTTGAACGCAGACGTGTTGGCCTCGTCGCCCTCCTCCTTCACACCCGACGCTGCAGCCTCCTCAGCCTCCTGCGTCTTCTTGGCGCGCTTCCCGACCTTGAACTTGGCGACGTAGAAGCCGTCCATGTTGTGCTTGTGCGGGTAGTAGCGGCGCGTCATGCTCAACGAGGGGTGGAAGTGCTTGCCCTCAAACGAGGTGAAGCCGGGCACGCCGAACTCGAGGCCCGTCTCGACAAGCTTGCAGTGGGGCCGCTTGCGGAGCGCATAGTCGACCACACTCTCGTCCTCGTCCACCGTCACCGAGCACGTCGAGTACACGACGTACCCGCCTGTGGGAGAGGACGCATTGACCGAGTCGAGAGCGCACAAGATGAGCTGCTTCTGCAGGTGTGCGAGGAGCTGGAAGTCGCGCTCGCTCTTGTTCACCTTGACACTCTGGTCCTTGCTGATGACACCCGTGCCCGAGCACGGCGCGTCAAGGAGGACACGGTCAAAGCCGCCGAGAACGCGCGGGAACTCGCGCGCATCGTAGTTGCACACGACGACGTTCTTGCACCCCATGCGGTGCACGTTGGCCGTCAGACTCTTCGTGCGCGCTTTGTTCGAGTCGTTCGCGAAGACGAGGCCCGTGTTCTGCAACAGCGCCGAGATGTACGTCGTCTTGCCGCCGGGCGCGCTCGCCATGTCGAGCACACGCTCTCCTGGCTGAGGAGCCAGGGCGATCACGGGCAGGAACGAGCTCGCGGCCTGCAGCATGTAGTGTCCGGCGAGGTACTCGGGAGTCGCGCCAATGGGTACTGGCGACTCGAAGACCTGGAGGCCGACCTTGGACCACTTGCCGATCGGCTCGAGGTTGACGCCGCGATTGATGAGCGCCTGGGCGAGATCACGGCGACGCGTGCGCAGCGTGTTCGCGCGGATGGTAACGGGGCGCGGCGTCTCGTTGCTCTCGAAGAAGGCGAGCGCCTCGTCCGCCGTGAAGAGCTTCATCAGCTTGGCGACCAGGAAGTGGTTGTAGCCAAAGTACGTCGCGATGTCGTGCTCGAGCTGCACGAGGTGGTCGGAGCGAGACCTACTGTTAGCGCCACTATCTCCAATATCAGTGTAGACTCACTTGCCCGGAACACCCTTGAGGCCCTCGTCCTTCGCCGCGGTGCACACCTTCACGAGCCACCGCATGCGGTTGTCCACATCGCGGAGGCTCACACCGTGCTCGTGCTCCTCCTCAACACCGTCAACGGCAGGGAGGGTATACCCCTCATCGTCGAGGTCGTCCTCGAGGTTGGTCTGGATGCCATCATTGTCGTCCTCGTCGTCCGAACCCTCCTCCTTCATGGCAACGTCCCCCTCCTCGTCATCGGAAGCGAAGGCGCTGTCAACCTCGTCGTCCTCCATCTCGTCGTCCTCGCTCGGGAAGCCAAAGTCGTCGTCCATCATCTCGTCCTCCTCCTCGCTCGGCGCCATGTCAAGGTCGAACGCGTGCTGCCCGGCCGGCATAGACTCCTCTCCGTTGGCGTCAATCTCCTCCTCCGAGTCAGAGAAGACGAGCTCGCGTGCTTCTCCGCGCTCGATCTCGGGCGACGCGGCCTTCTTTCCCTTCTTCTCCGCCTTCTTCTTCTCAACCTTGGCCTTCTTAGCCTTCGGCACTGGCAGCTCCTCCTCATCCGACCAGTCACTGGCGTAAGCTTTGCGCATGCGCCTCTCGACCCCCGCCTCCACAGCCACCCTACTCACCCCTGCTCAAGCGCCTCCTCTGCGTCACTGTCGTCGTCGACAACGTCCACGGCCCTCACCCGCTTCTTCGTCTTCACGGGCAGCTTGGCCTTGATCGGCGTCGAGGCGGACGGCTTGGCTGACGAGCTCTTCTTCCCGCCCTTCGCCGCACCGCCCTTGCGCAGCCTTGCGATGTCCGCATCCGTGATGGGCGCGGGCGCTCCCTGCTTTGTCCTGGCCTTGCGTCCCATTGTAAGGTGTGGTGGGTGAGATGTCGGTGGAGGCGTCTGCCTGTGAACTTGTATTGCTGATTTCCGTCAACTTTTGAGCCTTACGTGGAATTCTTTATCACGCTGGGGCGATTAGTCGCTCGGATCCGGGCTATTACGGCAGGACTAGGCGGAAGGTCTAATCAAATACCGCATTGGATGCATGCATCCGGAACCACAACCCACAACATCAAAACAAGAATTGGGCGCGCATGTCGACGCTGAAGTGGCGAGCGACGTGTTCCAGCATCACGCCATCTGCATTTACTTGGCGCAAATCAGAATATTGCCCATGTTCACCCATGCAACTGTTCCGTTGGTACACACACTTGTCTGTCCTAGATGGGGAGGCTGGACGGGCGAAGAGCGCAGTCATGTTCCTGCGGGAGAATTCTAAGCCAAGTTGATTGGAAAGATATTACTGCAGCAACGATAACTTGTTGTGTCAACCAGTAGACATAGACACAAGGACCTTTTCCTCTTGAGAATTTCCTGGGACGGGCCCGGTTCGGTGCACCCAGGAGACTGGTGTTCTCGGCATGTTGGGCTCAGTTACAGAGAACCCAGAAGTGAGCGAAGACCCTCTAAAAATTCTGTAGCGCCGCATTGGTGGCCAGCACCCGGCAATTAGGGAACCAGCTGCAAGATGCTGTTGATGTGGCTGGTAGCGGTGAAGTATGAATAGATGGCGATTGGGGCTTTCGGAGGAGCGACATCCACTTCTTCGTTGCTGCGTCTGGTAACTGGTGTGGGGATGAAAGGCATGCTGAAGGCTTCTGATACAGAGTTTAAGTCCGACCTAACCGCGAGCTCAACGACCCGGCCCCCCTCATCATCATCACATGCAAGCCGTTCATTCAATGTATATAACAAACACCGCAAGACTATCGTCTACCTGCGACCGGGGCCGCGAGGGCGCGCAAACCCGCCGCCACCGCCACCAACACGGGGTCCGAACGCGTTGAACGCGCTCTGGATTCTCGCCGAGCTGTCCGACTCGTCGCCCTCGTCCTGCGCGGCGGGAGACGCCGCCGCGGGCGAAGTGTAGCCTGAGCCCTGGCTCATGGCGGAACCCGTACGAATAGGGCGGGGCTGGCCAAACGTGGCGGGTGCGCCAAACACTGGTGGTGAGGCCGGGTTGGAAACAGGCGAGCGCGGGTTGCTGCCGGGCGCGCTGCCTGAGCTGCCGGGCGCAGGGCTCCCGAAGCGACCTGCCGGGGCGGGAGCACCGAACATGCGTGGCGCCGCCGTGTTGAGACTGGCAGACTTCTTGGCGGGCACCGCCTCGCGGATCGACGACTCGGAAAGGTCGATCTTGTCGCTTGTCTCGAGCTTGCCCACCACCTCGACGCCCGCCTTGTCCATGGCGTCCTGTTGGATCCCGCGCACCGTCGTCGAGTACACCATGCGGTACTTGACCGGGCTTCCGGGCGGGCACCAGTAGATGAAGACGACGCGGCCCTTGCTTGGCTGCTCAGGGGATGGTGAGCGGGGTGGGGACACGGGCTTGGGCTCCTCTGCGATGCTCAAGCCAGTTATGTCCGGAGTTTCCTCCGCGGTCTCTTCCTTCTCTCCCTGTTCAGTTCCACTCTCCTCTGCCTTCGGGCCCTCCTCCCCCGCTTTCTTCTCACCCTCTGCCTCCGCATCGTAGCGAGGCGCATCGCTGTGGGGCACATGGCGGATGCCGCCTGCTGTTGCTTGGAACGTGTCGCGGGACGCCGCAGGCGCAGCGGGCGCTGGCGTGGGGCGCACAGGCTTGGGGGACGGCGGCGTTGGGAACGAGTAGAAGACATAGGCGGGCGCCTTGTCGGGCAGCTTAGATGCCACCTCACTGGGCTTGCACGCTTCGGAGCGGAGCAGGTTGATCGCCGCCGTGTCGTTCTTATCGATCTCCTGTCTTGTCAGCGCTATCCCGACCTTCTTGACTCACAAGGGTGACGATCCAGCCATCATCGGAGCGCTCCGAAGCCTTACTCAAAGCCTCGTGGACGCCAGCCTGCCACTTGGTCTTGCCGCTGAGGCCGACAACGGCCTTGACGCGCGCCTTGTGAACCTCACCGTCGATAGCCGTACGCCGCGCCTCTTCGGCCTCTGCAGCCTTGATCTCGGCAAGAGCAGCCTCCGACGCAGTCAGAGGAGGCGGAGACGCCATGTGGTTCAGGTGGCTCTTGAGGGCGTGCGGGGAGAGGTCATTCTGGCCTTAGATCATGACTCTGGCTCCGACTTACAATCGAAGTCGCAAACCAGTCGTGCTTGAAGTTGTTGGCACCCAGCGCCTTCATTAGTCCCGCGCGCGACGACGCCTGCAGCATCTTGGCGCGCACGCCGGCGTCGTCCGGAACGAAGGTCACCATCATCCACTCGTACGAGCCCAGCGACTTGGAGTCAAGGCGGTACGCGAACGACGCCGGCGTCTTCTTGTTCGGCAGAGCGTCCACGAGCAGCGCAATGTCGTCAGTATAGCTACCCTTTGGCGGCAGCGATGAGACATGCTTGAAGGCCTCTGAGCGTCAGCATTAGCGGTGAGTAGAGAGCGGGAGGAGCGGTCGTGACGGTGGAGAGCTGCTGGAATCTGCAGAGGGCGCCAAAGCGGGACCAACAGCAGGGCGCGCGCGATAGAGGAAGGCAGCTCGCTTGTAGAGTAGACGCGGTCGGCGGGGCGCAGATGGCGCCGGACTCCGCCTACGTCGCCGATGTTTGGCTCAAGGCTCTATCGGCGCGACGCACCTCCAGCGGCAAGCTACGTGCACTGCCGCCATCTCCTAGCAGCCGCTCGATCTCCATGTAGTCTCCTCCGCTACACTCGCACACTCACCGCCCTCAATCATGAATACGACTGCGCGGGTTGACTCAGCGTCGCGCTGCGCAGCGGAGAACGCCTCGGAAATGGCGTGAGGCACGCGGATGCCCGACGGCGCTGACATGTTGTATAGCGAGTGTTCTGTAGGAAAGGGAGATGAGAAGAGGAGAGAGCAGGAGGGAGGGAGGAGGGAGGGACGGTGGAAAGTCGAGGATGTGTAGTGCTGGGTGTTGGGTGGACGGGAGCGAGCCTGGCTGGAAGTGTCGGTGCTCAGGCACCACCCAGTGACGTCGGGAATCAGACGCGCGTGGCAGAACATCAATTACCAGTAGCTGTCAACATTAATATAAATCGACGACGCGTATGCAGTGCTGCCGTGTGAATGTATCAATGCTATGCATGAAATCGAATGCTATGATGTTGGGGTTTGGCCTATGTACTAGGCAACCCGAGCCTTCTTCTTCTGCCCGCTCTGAGGTGCTGCTCGCTTCCCGCTCATCACAATGTCGCCGTCCTCCTCCTCTTCCGACTCCGTCGGAATTCCTGGCGGCGGCACGATGCGAGGCTGTCCCAGGACCGCCTTGTACGTCTTGCGCGCCTCTGCTGTCAGCCGTGCCTCGGATTACTTCCTCACGTGCGCGCAGCAGTACGCTCTTAGCGGTGTCTGAGACCGCAGCCTTCGCGAAATTCGCTGGCACGCCCAAGATCGTCGCACTGCTATTAGCTTATAGCAGACTCGGAGGCTTACAGGTTGACGACGTCAAGTGGCCCGCGAAGGGACTCTTCGCTCCCACCGGGCCCGGAACTGAAGATGATACCCTTTCCGCCCGTCACGCGCACAAGTTCGCGGGCGTTGCTCAGAAAGTTTTGCCTGTACCTCTTCGCCGCGTCTGGCGGCGTCGAGCGGGACGGAAACAGACCTGCGGCGTATAGAATTTCAAACTGCCGTCAGAATGAAGGGGCCAAGAACTCACAACAACGCCGTTTCGGTGCGCCTGCCGGATCTGCTTGCGGTTCAGGCGGAAATGGTAAGGCCGCTCGTGGAGAGGCACAGTGATAATGGCCAGCTGATTGGGCCCGGGATTCGAGAGATCTGTACACGCCAACTGCAGGGCCTTGTCGCTGCCTACGTACGCGGAGAGGATATCGTAGTCGCGCAGTGCGAGAGTATTGCCGGCGGTCTGAGTTAGCCCAGTCCTCTGTGCAGCTCACAATCGGGTGTACCTTCCCGTCATCCAAGCGCATGTGGTAGCGTGTAACCTGCACTAATGTCTGCTGTCCTGTCGACGGCCCAGCATCTGGTGCAGCCATACGCGGGTCGAGGGAGGGGTATGGAAGGAGGCGATCCTCAGGCGAGCCGAAGGAACATGGCAGGACGTGATTGCTCTGCTCGGCCGTGATGGTATGAGCGACGACGGTGTATCCGACTGAGATTAGCTCATAAAACATACATGGCCACGCACGATGTCCCGCTAGAGCTACCCCTCGCGCAACACGGTCCCGCTCGACGGCCGACAAGCCCGCCCAGCAGTCGCTCGGCCGTTCGGGCTCGGGAGCCTTGCCCTTGCCCTTTGCCTTCTTCTTTGGAGCGTCTGGTGTTGGGAACGGAAGAAAGAGGTCGTAGTACATGGGAGCAAGTTGCGAGGAGCTCGAGGCTTGGTCAGATGGAGGTCGCACCAAGGTCGAATTCCTCGAAGTTCAGTTCCACAACACTGATAAAGGTCACGTGCTCTCCAAATACACGTAAGAAAATTGATAAGTAAATATGATCGGTGAGCATGTTCGGCTTGGGCAGAATAATTATCGCGCGCACCCCGCCTCCAGTTATTGTCACCCCCAACTCCCCCTCACCCACCCACACACCATGTCCGCCCCCGACAAGACGAACGGCACCGAGCAGGTCTCCGCCGAGAGCATGACCTCGCGCGACTAGTGCGTCTCGTGTCCAGCACCCTTTTGGGCCTACCTTCCTGGTGGCGGTGACTGATCCCAGCTACGCCGACTCCTACGCGCACTTCGGTATTCACGAGGAGATGCTCAAGGACCAGGTCCGCACCATGTCGTACCGCAACAGCATCATCCAGAACAAGCACCTGTTCAAGGACAAGGTGGTGCTTGACGTCGGCTGCGGCACCGGTATCCTGTCCATGTTCGCTGCGTCGGCCGGCGCCAAGCTCGTCATCGGTGTCGACATGAGCAACATCCTCGACCAGGCGCAGAAGATTATCGACGCCAACGGCTTCCACGACAGTGCGTCCTCCTTCCTTATTTGAGCTGGCTCTGCCAGCCTCACCCTTCAAGCCACTGACGCACAGAGATCGTGCTCCTCAAGGGCAAGCTTGAGGACATCGAGCTGCCGGTCAAGGAGGTTGACATCATCATCTCGGAGTGGATGGGATACTTCCTCCTGTACGAGAGCATGTTGGACACCGTGCTTCTCGCGCGCGACAAGTATCTTGCCCCCAACGGCCTCCTCTTCCCCGACAAGGCAACGATCTACCTCGCCGCCATCGAGGACCAGGAGTACAAGGAGGAGAAGATCAACTGTGCGTCCCCCGTTGGCCCCGGTCCCGTCGGCCCTGCTAATGCCAGTCTGGGACGACGTGTACGGCTTCGACTACAGCTGCATCAAGGACATTGCGCTGCGCGAGCCGCTGGTCGACTGCGTCGAGCTCAAGAGCGTCGTCTCGCAGCCCTGCGCGATCAAGCACATCGACATCAGCACCGTCACGAAGGAGGACTTGGCATTCACCGTTCCGTTCCAGCTCAAAGCGACGCGCAACGACTACGTGCACGCCTTCCTCGGCTGGTTCGACATCCAGTTCTCGGCGTGCCACAAGCCCATCCAGTTCTCCACTGGGCCACAGGCAAAGTACACGCACTGGAAGCAGACTGTGTTCTACACCCCGGAGACGCTTACGGTTTCGGTGAGTAAAACAGGCACAGCGGAGCGCACATCGCCGCAACTTTTCGAGAATTGCATTGGCTGACGAGCAGGAGGGCGATGTGATCAAGGGCCAGCTCAAGTGCGCTCCCAACGCCCGCAACAACCGCGACCTGGATATTGAGATCGAGTACGAGGTGGAGGGCTCCGAGGCGGTCAAGGGCCAGATGACTTACAAGATGTGCGTACCCGCTTCCCCCGTCGTCGCTGATCACTGACAGGTCTTAATCTTTTCACTCTTGCTGCCGATGCCTCTCTTCATCTGCATTCTCAACACTCCATCACGCCAACAGGTACTAGTGCCTCTGACCCTTGTCCTTCTAGACATGCATTGTACGATACCCCGAGCGAGCTGTCCAGTGAGAGTGGAGGTTGCGACGGAGCTGCCCCAACCACGTTCTATGCGTACATTCTAATGTGTCCGTCTACGATCACTAAGTCGCCAGCCGCTTTCTGTTCCCCCACGCGTCGTCGACGCGCGTCAGTTCCCCCTGGAGGCGCTTGACGCCGTTCTTCCTTTCCAGCCGCGCCTCAGTCCACCCGTTTGGAATTTCCACGCCGTCCATATCGAGCAGGCCGCGCAGCAGCAGCTCGCTCAAGCGCGCGTGCTCGCGCTGCAGCGCCTCAAAGCTCTGCTGCACGCGCGGCTTGTTTGTCCCGCCCGGCGACGCCTGGTGCACGAACGTGGCAATGCTCGCCTCGAGCGGCTCGACGACGCCGTTCACGAGGTTGCGGATCCAGTCGACGAGCACCTGCTCCGAGTCCGTGTCCGGCTGCTTGTTCTTCTTCTTCACGACGGGCGGCGCGGCGGGCGCGGGCGCCGCGGGCGCCGGCCCCTCCTTCCCGACCATGGTGAGGTTCGAGCCGTCGCGGATGCCGTACGACGACAGCGTGAGCAGCGGGTCTTTGAGCACCGCGCCTTTGTACACCAGCTTCAGCTGGTCTGTTGGGATGCCGGTTTGGTGGGAGAGCGTGCCGATCAGCTGCGACAGCGGTGTCATGTCCGCGTTCGGGATGGGAATGTTGAAGCTGCTGTCAGAAATCGGGCCGCTGACTGAGGTAGTGGAGTGCAGAGAACCAAGGCCCGGTAGCGGAATGTTTCAAGTTGGCTTGCTACCTCTTTCACGCAGCACATCTAGCTGTGCCAGCGAGCCATCGTATGCTTGCACAGTCGCTGCAGTGTCGCGCCAAGCATCCGATTACCCCGGCACTTCGTCACCTCCGCTCCCGCTGGGCGCGCTGACGCGGGGGCTCTGAACTCCCGCCCCGGGATAGTTTAACTCACCGTTCACGCCCCCACTTTACGTGCACAGTAATCTGGCCGGACGCGTTTTCCGCCGCCGCGCGGCGGAAGGGGTTGGTGAAGGGAGCCATGGATGCGCGGCTGACGAAGGGAAGGGCTGGGATGAGCGATGTCTCGTCTCGGCGAGGCTGGTGGCCTAGACAGAGCTGTTGGTACTTTAGAATACCTGCCTACGCACTGGAGAAGCTTGCTGAGGACGTCAGGTTGGGCAGCGGGGGTGATGAATGCGATGAGGACAATGAGATGACGGTCAGCGGGGACTTCGGCTCGGTGATGGTGCGGAGCCGGGAGCAAACGTGTCTTGGCGGTGGAGGTGCTCCATCTAGTGCCATCCATGTCAACAACACTACAAATCATCGCTGAATGTGGAAAAATGCAGATGGGATACATATGTCTACCTCTAGAGTTCCTGGTGCTTCGGGGCCTCCTTCTCCTGCGGTTCCTCCTCCTTGGGCTCCTTCTTCTCCTTGGTCTCCTCCTTCTCCCCGTTCTGGCTCGTCTTGACGGGCCTGACCTTCGGCGCACGTGGTGGCTTGCGCGACGTAAGCCGAAGCACGGCGGCCTGGATCTTCTGCCCTCGCTCGTCGAGGTCCTTGGCGAGAATCACAGGGTCGGCGGTCTTGTCCTCGTTAAGCGGCATCTGCTTCTCCATGCGCTCGTCGAGCCACTTGCCGCCGTCGATGATCATGTCCTCCACGCTCTGGATCTCCGCTTCAGTGTAGCGGGGCGGCGCGACCGGCTGGTCTGCCGGCGCATTCTTCGCCTCTTCGGCCGCAGCAGTGAGGTTCGCACGCGCCTCGTCAACGAACGCACGGCCGGCGTACAGCGCCGTACGGAAGTTAACGACGGCAGGAGGCCGCTTCTCGTACTCGTCAAAGCGGGTCACAATCGGCCGCTCCAAAGCCTCAATCGCCTCACGCTTTCCGATCAAAGCGTGCACCGTCGCCTCCTCAGCGTGCTCGTGAAGCCACTCGAGAGTCTCGTCGACAAGATTCTTGATGCGCGTGCGCTCCACCTTGGTGCTAAATGCGTGCAGGTTCTTGTGCTCGGCCTCGTCGCCCGTGAGGATGTTCTGCAGCTTGTACAGATACCCCTCGAGCATGTTGCGCGCCTCCTCGCGCGCGCGCATGGCGCCCTCGTACGAAGCGATAGCGCGCAGACGCTGGTTGGTGATCTGTCTCTCGTCCTTGGACAGGTGCGTGGGGCTGAGAGGCTTCTCGCGGAACTTGAGGGCCACGCGAGGCTTGGTGACCTTCTTGGGGGCCTTCTCCTTGGCATCAGTCTCCGCCTCAGGCTGCTCGGTATCGGCTTCAGGCTCAATCTCGGGCTCCTCCGTGGCATCCTTCTTGCCAAACATGCCCTTGAGCTTGCCAGCGACACCACCAGTAGGCTCGTCCTTGACCTCAGACACAAGGGCAGCGTTGGCCACGCCGAGGATGCCCCTGGCGTCGAGTCTGACGGTAACGTTGACTGCGGGCTCTGAGGCGGTGAAGTTGGCAAGTGCGTCCTTGACCCCAGGGATCGAGAGCTGCAAAATGGGGTTGCCTCCCTGCGAGAAGTCGATGTTGATCTCATCCTCAGGCTTGAGGAGAACAGACTTGCGAGTGCCGAGCGGCGTGCCGGCCGGGAAAATAATGTCGTCACCCATCTTAATGTCGTAGATGCTGCGCTCGTGCACCTCGACCGACTTCATCTTGAATCGGCCACTGAGAGACGCGCCGTAGAACGCGGCACCAAGGACAGCGCTCTCGTCCGCGTTAACGTTCTGGGCGATGAGCTCGTCACCGCCGAGAACCTCGTGAAGCTCAGCGCGGATAAACGGCACGCGTGTGTTGCCGCCGAAGAGAATAACGGAGGAGATGTTCCTGAGGTCGAGACCAGCCGCGTCAAGCGCCTGCTTGATGGGCTTCATGAAATCGGTCATCTTGCCCTCGAATTTGCCCTCGAGCGCCATTCTGGACACCTTGGAGCGGTAATCGACATCGTCAAAGACAGACTCGATGGAGGTCAAGCTCTCCTGGTTTGCGCTCAGGATCTGCTTGACGCGGATAGCCTCCTTGTCAATCTTGGCCATCGCCTTCCTGTCGTTGATGATATCCTTGTTACCAGTCTTGGTGATGATGTCGTCCACAAGGAGGTCACGCAAAGCGAGATCAAGGTTGATCCCGCCCACGTCCTCCCACCCAACGCCAAGCGCCTCGACGTGCGTCGTGTTGATGAGCATCTTCGAGTTCGGTGTGGGCTTCCACGAAGTCTGGTAGAACGCCAAAACAGTAGCCGAGGTCGAGAGTGCGCCCGAGTCGTAAACGAGGTGGTATGCCTTCTCGCCCTCTCCAGTCTCGGGATCGTAGTCGGGGAAGGTGCGGGTCATGGCGTAGTTGAGGCCGATGGCGGTGCCCTCTCCAATCATGCCAATGCACTGGATGCCCTGCAGCTCAAGCGCATCGCGGTATGCCTTGCGCTGAGCCTGAGTCCACCAGGCGGGGACAGTCACGACGGCCTGCGTCACAGGCTCGCCAGCGGCATGGTCGGCCAACGACTTGTAGTACGCCAGCTGGTGAGCGAGGAGAGCCGTTGGTGTCCAGGCCTCCTTGTCGTCGGGCTTGGGAGTGATGTGCTTGGGAATATTATCGTGGCGGAACACGAGCGCACCGCTCTCAGTAAGGACAGGAGGGCTGGGGAAAACGTCGAGGTTGGGCACCTCAGTCGTACCGAGGACCGCCTTGACGTATGGGTAGTGAGTGTGGGGGAACCTTGTTGCCTGCGTGTGAGATGAGCTTGTCAGGGGCTGTGGAGAGTACTCACAGCCAGCTTGCCCTCGGTTCCAACGACACGGTCCTCGCGCTTCCAGCTCACGACGCTAGGAATCTTGCGCTTGCTGTCGCGGTCGAGCAGGACATCAAAGGGAACACCGGGTTTAACGAGGGACAGCTTGGTGAAGTCTGCTCCGTAGTCGATCGCGAGGATTGCCGCGCTAACGGCCGGGAGGATCCAGGCGATGAGGAGGAAGAGATTTCGAGGGAGCCGCATGGTGAGAGGGTGGTGGTGGACCAGAGTCCAAGATGATGAGCAAAGAGTTAAATGAAGAACAGAGTCGAAGATGTTGGAAGGACAAAGTTGTGTTCGGGACGTGGCGCCTCCACCTCCACGATGTCTACGGCCTCCACCCCGTTGATCCGTTGACCGCGTCAACTTCGTCAGCCGGCCGCTGCGCTGCGGCCACGGAAAATCCTTGGCACGTCACTCACTTGGCCGCCTCTGACGTGTCACCTTGTCGCATATCAATATTTTGATTCCGCTGGAGGACATGTGCAGAACACGTGGTACAATGACCCGGTTGAGCCGGTGGGGTAGAGTGGGGCGATAGACGCGTTCTGGAATGAGGTGCCGCGATTGCGCCATCTGACAATGTTCGTTAGAGGCCGATCTTGATCTTGAGACGCACGACGACGCGATCATGACAAAGCTACATTCGTTTCTCGATACTCACTTTCAGCTCATAGCTCATCATATACTCATAGGGACTGCCCTCCAAGACACCAAATCACCCCAAGCCACCTCGCACTCTTACATATCCACCATGTCCGCCGACGACGACCGCCTGACGCCCCAGTACACCCCGGAGCAGATTGACGAGTTCAACAAGCAGCTCGAGGGCAAGACGCCCCAGGAGGTGCTCGTTTGGGCCATTGACCACATCGACGGCCTCTTTCAAACTACTGCGTTTGGCCTGTGAGCTCGTCGACGCCGACCCGCCTAACAACAGGACCGGACTGGCGGCAGTGGACATGATTTCAAAGATCGGAGTTGAGCGGGAGGTGACGCACCCTGTGCCCCTCATCTTTCTCGACACTCTCTACCACTTCTCCGAGACCACTCAGCTTGCACAGAGTGTGGTGGACACCTACCTTGCCGAGCTACACACCTACAAGCCTCCCGGAGTCTCAACCGCGGAGGAGTTTGAGGCCAAGTATGGCGACCGGCTATGGGAGACCGATGAGGCGAGCTACGACTACCTCGTCAAGGTCGAGCCTGCTGCACGTGCGTACAAGGAGCTCGGAGTGCGCGCGGTGATCACTGGTCGGCGGAGGAGCCAGGGAGCCGAGCGCGCGGGCCTCAAGGTGCTTGAGGTCGATGAGCGCGGCCTCCTCAAAGTTAACCCCTTGATCTCGTGGTCGTTCAAGGAGGTCAAGGATTACGTTGACAAAGAGTGAGTGGCAGAGAGCGAGCACACTGTGGCTGACAGCAGGGGTGTGCCGTACAACCCATTGCTTGACCAGGGGTACCGCTCCATTGGTGACGTGCACTCGACGCAGAAGCCAGACCCCAACGCTGGCGACGCCGCTGAGCGTTCGGGGCGGTGGCAGGGCAAGTCTAAGTCTGAGTGTGGACTGCACTCGAACTATTGGGACATGAAGAAGAAGTTTGAGGAGAAGGCGGCCGCCGCCGCTCCTGCAACGGCATCCTAGAGTGTATTTTTTGTAGATTTGCTTGCATGCTCAGTTTCTGTGTCTCCGGAGCTTGCGATAGCGTACGCGTCGTCAAGCATTACATGAGTAATAGGATGAGAGTGACATGGATCACAGTCGCAGGAGTGGGGATTGGCCGGAATGACCGTTGACGAAATTGTTGCCACTGTGCTGGGCCGAGCACCTCCACTCGACTGAACCATGCCGCACGTTCTTGATCATCGAGGTCCCCACCACTAATCGACACTTCAAGCGCCTTCCATCGCCTCCATCACACCCATCACAACCATCACACTTGCGCCTGCATTCTCAGTCCACTCTGCGCAGAGCATCTCCTGTCACTTGTCTCGTATCTTCCATCGCTCGCCAAGTCGCCACCCGCCCTCCTCGTCGACACGTTCGGCACCGACCTGACTCGGCAACCAACCCCGCCGACTCCGAGTAGCCCCAGGCTACTCTCTCTCAGATCACACCGCAGGCGCGTCTTTAGCAAGTCGCCTCTGCGTGATCTGAGTCTCCTCTGCGCATGCCCAACCTCCACGCCCACTACTACCATGGCAACGTCAAGGCGTTCCGCCAGGAGCTCGACGGCGCCTCGCCCGCTGCGAACGGGGCGCGGCAGAGCAGCTCGGGCGGACGCTCGTGGACGCTGAGCGGCTTTGTGCCCAAGGCAGACCCCAACGAACGCGATGCACTTGGGCGAACGTGCGTAGCCGTCAAGAAGCAGCTGACACCAGTGTGCTCCACCTCGCGTCCGCGAGCAACACCCCACAGGCGTATCAATTCTTCCAGATCCTCTTGCGCAACCCCGCCCTCTCGGTCAACCTCCAAGATTACGAGTCGGGGTATACGGCCCTCCACCGCGCCCTATACTCAGGCAACCTACGCGCCGCGCGTGACCTCCTCGCGCGACCAGATATCGACCTGTCCGTCACCGATAATGAGGGGCTCACGGCCTTTGATTTGTTCAATGGCACTGTCGAGGGCACGAACCCTCCTGATATTGATGGCGATGTTGTAGGCACCGACCTCTATGTGTGGGGCGTGAACCGTGAGTTGCCTCTTGGGCGGACTGACAGCAGGCAATTCGACATTAGGCCTCGGCGACGCATCTGCTGATAAGGCGTTCCCGGACCGCGTCAACCTCTTGACGCAGCGGCAGGCGAGCGACAATCCCGATCCCGCTGAGAGATTCTTCCACGTCGGCGTGCGCGATGTGCAGATGGCCAAGCTCCATACTGGGGTAGTCACCGCTGAGGCGCGCGGCAACATCAGTCTCTGCGGGTTTGGCTCGGCGGGCCGGCTGGGTCAGAAAACCCACTCGCAGCTCCCTCTCATTCCCCTCCCCGATTTCCCCCACACGGTCATTGCTCTCGCGCTTGGTCCCGACCACACGCTGGCGCTCACGAGCGGTGGTTACGTGATGACGTGGGGCAGCAACCGATACTCGCAGCTCGGTTACACCATCGAGGCGCCCGCCAACCCCTCTCCATTCGCCAAGGACGACGAGCTCATTGTCCAGACCACACCAAAACGCATAGTTGGACCCCTCAAGAAGGAATGGGTGCGCGGCGTCGCCGCCGGGCGGATGAGCAGCGCCTGCTGGACCGCCGACGCAGTGTGGACGTGGGGCACAAATCTCGGACATCTGGGTTACGAGAAGGCGGCGAACCCAACGCAGATCAACCCGCGCAAGGTCACGGCTATCTCGCAGCCGGTGATCGACGTCGCGTTGTCGGACTACGCGATGCTCTGCCTCCTGGACTCGAACGAGGTTCTCTGTTTCCACCACGACACACATTTCAAGGTCAACTTCAGCTCGCCGCAGAAGCCATTGAAGGGTCCCAAGAACCCTGGTCACGTCAGCATGGACCCCACAATCGTCAAGGTGACGAGCTGCGGGCAGACATTTGCGACGCTGTCGGCGAAAGGCGACGTGTGTACGTTTACACTCCCGCATCCTTCGGAAGAGGCGACCAAGGATGTGCGCGACCGGCACGTTATTGTCAAGCCGCAGATCCTGTGGGCACTGAGAAAGAGCTTCACGGCCGTCAAGGACTTGGCGCTCGGTCCGGACGGTACCGTGATCGTCTGCACTAAGAGCGGACACGTGTTCGTCCGGCAGCGCACGAAGGGCGGATCGGGCGCACTGAAGTTCCGCCGCATCCCATATCTCCAGCGGATCATCAAGGTGGCAGCGAACGAGACGGGCGGCTTTGCTGCGATCCGCGCGGACGCGCGCCCCTCGCCCATTGCGCTGAAGGGCAAGACGCTCGAGGAGGACATGTTCTCCCTCCAGCCACATATACGGCGGTACGAGAGCCAGATGACGGCTGCGGACTTTGACGGGCCTGTGGTTCGTCGCAATACCGAGGACGAGGAGGACGAGGGAAGCAACTCGGTACATCACGACATCGTGGTGGCAACGCAGCTGTGCCGTATCCTCGACCGCTGGCAGGGCCACAACTCCGACTCGTTGTTCGCATGGTCCGAGCCATTACTGGGGAGCGACGTGTCGATCACCGTGGGCGAGTACGTGATCCCTGCACACAGCGTGGTGCTGTGCCTCCGCACGGCAGTGTTCGCGCGTGTACTGTCTGGCCAGGCAGTCGAGGGCTTGAAACTGGCAGCGGAGGACGGGCGACCGGCGATACAGATGGACGCGTGCCACCCGCTCGTGGCGCTCCTTCTTCTCCAGTACTTGTACTCGGACGAGATGGCCGCAGTATGGGACTCGCGCGTCGTATTTGCGCTGCAGACAAAGTTCCCCAACATGACCCTCCCAATTGTAGACATCAAGCGCGACATTAGGCGGTTCGTGGACGTTTTGGAATTGGCGCCGCTCAAGCCTGTACTGGAACTCGCGTCCAAGACTGCCATCAGCACCAAGACGCTGCCAAGCGACCTCGCGACCTTTTTCGCCCAGTCCTCGACGCCGCCATCTGAGGTTTGCGACATAGTCGTTGTCCTGGCAGACCGGGAGGTGTCGGTGAACTCGGCGCTGCTCCGCGCGCGCTGTCCCTTCTTCGAGGCGATGTTTGCCGATCGCGACTGGACGCTGCGGCGAGAGCACGACGGCAAGGTCATCGTGAACATGGAGCACCTGCGTTGGCGGCCGATGAGGCTCGTCTTCCGCTTCATCCACGAAGGCCTGGAGGACGATCTCTTCGACTACCTGCACCAGGAGACGCTGGACGAGTTCCTCGACTTTGTGTTCGAGGTGCTCGCCGCCGCGACTGAGCTGCTGATGGACCGCTTGGTGTTGGTATGCTCGCGCGTAATCGCGAAGCACTGCAACCCGTTTAACGCGGCCGCGCTCGCAGTCGAGGCGTCGTTCTACCGCGCCGCAGCGCTCAGGACTAGCATCTTCGACTACATCTCGGCGTGTATGGAGACGATGCTCGAGAGCGGGCTGCTGGACGACATGGACGACGACGTGCTCCGCGAGCTGTCCAAGACAGTCGCCGTGAAGCAGGGGGACAAGGCTGTTGTCCCGCGCTCCAACATCCTTGTCGACGAACTTATGGTCAAACACCGCGAGTGGTTAGCATTGCAGGACATACCAGTGCCGCGTGTGCGGCAGGCATATAAGTGGAAACCACGGTCGCCGCGCCTCGACGCGCGCGCGCCTTCGTCGCCAATAACCACGCCGGACCTGAAGCCTCTCACGCCTGCCGCGCCCGTCGACGAGATTTTCACGATGGACGAAGAAAGCGTGCATAGTACACCGAAGCAAGCGCCCTCCCCAAACCCATCAACTGTCAGCGCGCGCCCCATGACGCCATTGAGTCTCGGTGCAGGAAGCGTCGGCTCATCCGGCAAGCCAGTGTGGAAGTCGCGCAAGGTGGAACAAGAGAAGGTGGATCTGCGCAGCATCATGGCGGAAGCGGCAGCAACGCGCACGCCAGCTCGCCCACCAGCCCCGGCTTCCACGACACCCAAAGCCAACGGCTCGCCGTCCACTGCTGCCGCGCGGCCCTCGCCGTCCGGCGGGCCATGGCGGCCCGTCGATGCGCGCCCGATCTCTCTCGCAGCCGTGCAGGCCGCGCAAGCGCCGGCGCCCCCGACGCGCGCGACGGGCTCGATGGCCGCCGCGCCCGTTGGGCCCGTGATCCAGCCGCAGCGCCTCGGCGCCACGCCCGCGCGGCGACAAGGCGCGGCATGGTCTACGCCCACGACGTATGCGGCCCCCTCCATCTCGCCAGGCAGCCCGAGCCAAGCGTTCTCGCTCCTCGCGATCCAGCAGCAGGAGCGGGACGCGGCGCAAGCCGCGAGCAAGAAGCCCGCGAAGAGCTTCGCGGAGATCCAGGCCGAAGAGGCGGCGGCGGCGGCGGAGCGCGCGCGCGAAGACGAGTTCCAGCGGTGGTGGGAGGCGCAGCGGTCCGGAGGAGAGCGGGGGAGGGGCCGAGGGCGGGGCGAGAGACGCGTCCCGACGCGTGGGAAGGGCAAGGGGCGCGCTGAGGACGCGAGTTCCGCTGGCGCTGCTGGGCCTAGCACCAGTCCTAATGCCAATGGGCGGAAGAGCAAGGGCCGCGAAGAGGAGAATGCTCGCGGCCGCCGCGAGCGCGAGAGCAGCAAGGCGCCGCAGGAGGCGCGGATCGACGACAGTCCCACGCGCGAGAGTGGACGCGGGCGGGGAGGGGGAGGGGGGCGAGGCCGAGGGCGAGGGCGGGGGACGAAACGGGGGCGCGGCACTGCCGATGGAGCTGGGCAGGTGCGTGCGGCCCCGATTGCGACATAGTCGAGCATATGCATGGGTATCAGTGGTGTGATGTGGTCAGCACACGTCAGCGTCAGCCGCGGCCTCTGGTCGTAACTGCTCCTTGCATCTAATATGCCTCTACTCGCCTGCCCCGCTACAGCGCACGCCCCATAAACCGGCGCTTCTGGAACGACATCCACCACTTGCTCGGCTGTGCGGGGCGCGGCCCCATCTGGCCCGTCGGGTTTCCGTCGGCGCCAATGACGGGCTCGGGCGCGTACAAGCGCTCGACGAGGCGCGCCGCGAGCTCGGACCGCGCTTGCGTGAGGTACGAACGCAGCTGTTCTGGGGTCAGCGTCCCGTCGCCGCGACTGCGACGCACCAGCCTCCCCGCGGCTCCCAGGCGGGTGATACATCGAGTTGAGCGGGAACCCTGGCTCGCCAGGCAGCGCAAAGTTGTCGACGGCGAGCGTCGCCAGCTTCTTCCCCGCCTCCTGGTATCCGGGAGAGGGGCGGCCCGCGCTCGGCGCGAGCTTGGCGATGCAGTCCGAGATGAAGAGGATGAGGTAGATCAGCGTGCGGTCCGCAGGGCCTGGGGTCAGTCTCAGTGTCCGTAGGGGCGATGCAAGGGCGCACGCAGTCGCGCGCAGTCCGGCGAGTCCGCTGCCTCGCCTTCACGTTCCGTCCCTCTCCCATCCTCGCCTCGCCTGGCCGCCCCATGCTCCAAGTCGTTCGCCGCCGCTGGTCCCCCACCCCCCACTCACCCTTGATCTCAAAGTTGCGGAAGAGGCAGTTGGCGCGGAAGAGGTCGAGCGCCTCCTCGACGATGTCTGGCCGGCTGGGGTCGGCCGTCACGAGCGTGCTCCCTTTAACGTGCTTCCAGTTGATGGGCAGGACGGCGGTGTTGCCGATCTGCTGCACCGGGTCGTCGTTGAATGCGGAGTGGTAGGCCTGGGGTCAGCGCCGAGCGGAGCGAGGCGGGCTGGGCGTGGGGTGGGGCCGGGTCTCGGCGCGCAGCGCGCAGCGCAGCGAAATCGTACAGCGACCGCGCAGCAGAGCGAGCGCGAGCGTACATGCGACCCAGACGACTCACAGGCATGGCGATGTTGTGGATGAGGGATGAGCGTCGCTGGCGATCTAGAGATGACGCTGCCAATAGATCGCTTATCCGGCCCCCCGATACCGTATATCACCTGGGCGCGTCGCGCCGCATTTCACCACCACCATGTCCCCCACGCCGCGCCTCACCGCCATCGTCGCGGCGACGCTCGACAACGGCATCGGGCGCGACGGCGGCCTCCCGTGGCGCCTGCCTGGCGAGATGAAGTATTTTGCGCGTGGTGAGTCGCGGGCGGAAGCCGGTGCGCATTGCGCTCGCTGACACTAGTCACGACGGGGGAGGGGAAGGTGCGCAACGCCGTGCTCATGGGCCGGCGGACGTGGGACGGAATACCCGCCAAGTTCCGGCCGCTGCGTGGGCGGCATAACCTCGTTATCTCGCGCACGCCGGGTGCCGTCGACTTCGCGGGCATGACGGGTGTGAGCGCGCACGCGAGCTTCGAGGCCGCGATGGCGGCTGTGCCGGCGGACACCCACCGCGTGTTCCTTATCGGCGGCGCGACGCTGTACAATGCCGCGCTGGCGCACGACGTCGACCGCGTCCTCCTTACGCGCGTGCTGGAGCGCCTGCCGTGCGACGTCTTCCTCGCGGACTTTACGACGATGCCGGGATGGCGGAGGGCGCCGCACGCCGAGCTCAAGGCGTGGGTTGGATGGGATGTGCCCGAGGGCGAGGTGGAAGAGAAGGGGATCAAGTACCGCTACGAGATGTGGGTCAAGGACTAGAGATGTATCTATTGCATTGCAGGCTACAGGATTGTTTAAGACCCATTGTAGATCTGCGGTTAGCACAAGTCGTCAGCAAACACTCACGTTCCACGATCGGCGCCACTGCCAGCCGGGGTGGTCGTTCACATTGCCGTGGATGCCCAGAGCAAGGTCTTTGAACCACCAGAAGTTGGCGACGAGCGCGCCAGTCCACAGCGCGAACCAGACAAGCCTGGCCTTGGGCGACCAGCGCGGCGAGGCAAAGAAGAGCAGGTCGAGCACTTGGCCGGCCATGAGCACAGCGAACCACAGCGTCGGGAGGTAGTGGTGCAGATATGTCACACGGCCCATGATCAGGAAGGGAACTGGTGTGAGTCATGGACTGCACGCGTAACTCACTGAAGTGCAGGAACCAGCCGAAGAACGAGACCTTGCACACGTAGAGGAAGTGGTCCCACTCTCCGGGCGCCCAGTCCTTGTAGTGGCGCTGCATGCGGAGGAGGAACCAGCCGGCGATCAGCAGCAGGCCGGGGACGCAAACGCTGCTCCACCACCACACAAGCGGTGTGCCAAGCAGGTAGAACTTGATCTGATTGTCGCCCCAGCCGCACATGCGCAGACCGAGGTGAAGGAACGGCCAGTCGCTCGGCTTGGACGCGAGGATGTCCTCCTTGTCCGGGTCGGGAACCAGAGCGTTGTTCGACGTCCACATCGCCACGTTCAGGTGCGCAAAGTCGCGCCAGAAAGGCGAGCGGTACATCTTGAGGTTGCCGGGAGGGAGCTTGTCGTTCCAGTGCGACTCGACGTTCCAGTACGTGTGCACGTCCTTGGGGTCGTTGCTCTTGATGCACGACACTTCGACCTGCTTGAAGCCCCACTGCGGCAGCACCGCGTTCGCAGCGCGCAGGTAGCACCCGAGGTTCTTGTGCCGGAATCGCATGCGGGTGGTGAGGGCGTGGATGCGCCCGTCATCGTCCTTCTTCTTGCGCTGCGTGTCGTCAACCACCTCGACCACCCAGTGGTCCTGCTCGTCGCCGACGGTTTGGTTGCCGTAGCCCGAGACCTCCCAGTCCTCCTTGGTCACGGGCGCAGCCAGCGGGTGCGAGTGCAGCTGTCGGTTGGTCTGGGCGTGCACGAGGCGGATAACGTCGCCGTCCTTGAGGAAGCGGATGTCGTCGGGGTTGGCCTCCTCTGCACCCCATGGCAGGGTGACGATCCAGTCGTTGTTCGAGTCCTTGTAGTGGTAGCAGGTGATCTGCTGCTGCATCGAGCCGGTCGGGTACGTCTGGATGTGCGAGTGCAGCAGGCCACCGCCGTAGCCAAAGTTCTTGAGCGTGAGGCGTGAGCCGTACGCGACCTCAAGAGGTGACTGAGCAAAGTCGTTGCCGCGCAGGCCAGCCTGGAAAAGCGAGCTCATCTGCGCGTCGCCAGGTCCGGAGCGGTTGAGGATCAGGAAGTGGATCTTGAAGCAGGCGGCGTAAATGAAGAACGGCAGCATGATGAGGCAGACGACTCTGGCGGCCCAGTGCTTGGCGTAGGTGCGGACGGGCATGGAGAGGTCGCCGAACTTCTCCCACAAGTCCTCGATGGTGTACAGGCCGACAAGGGCGACGCCGAAGAGACCAACCCACTTGACGGAGAGTACGCAGCCGATCGACCAGCCGGTGAACACGAGCCAGATCCACCAGTCGTCAGTGAAGGGCTGGTGGCGCTGGTTGTGGAACTTGACGAGGCCAAAGACGGTCGTGAACGTGAAGAAGAGGAGCATCGAGTCGAGGAGGATGAAACGTGAGATGCAAAGCCATCCAATGTCGCACAGCACGCACAGGGTGACCCAGTGGCGCGTGTAGCGCGACCAGCCGAGCTCGCCGGAGGTCAACCATGCAAGGGGGACAAGTGCGACGCCAAAGGATGCAAGAAGCACGCGCATGGCCGTATACGGCACACTGTCGGGATACTCAACGCCAGACTTGAACTCGAAGCCGCCGTTGTAGCCTGAGACAAGGCCGGCAAAGCCGACGAGCATCTTGCCCAGTGGTGGGTGCACGTCGAAGTAAAAGTCGCGGTTGATGTAGTGGGAACCGAACTTGCCAAAGTGTGCTTCGTCCCACACGACAAAGTTGGCGGCGCCGATGCGCCAGAAGCGCGTGATCATGCCCAGTAATGTGTACACGGCGGTCCACACGAGCTCCTCATTTTCCTGGTACACTCCTTGCTGCGCGTTAGTATGGCCTGTACATGGGAGGGGAGGTTTGGTTGGTGGGAGACGGGAGTGGAGGTGAGATGCGGGAAAGGGAAATGAGGGGGGGACAATATCAATGGCCCGCCTGTCAATGCGGCAGTTCGCCGCGGCGCCGTACCTGCTCACTCGCTCGCTGCGCTCGCGATCAACGGTCGCCAGGTAGCTCGCTGACGGCCCAGCGGTCGCACATAGAAACCCACGCCCAGAATCACTCACCCAGCCATCCAACCTCTGTCGTGGTGGCAGCCCACGCCTCCCGCCTACACCGGGACCGGCGCCATGCCCCTTGTCCCACTTGCCCTGCCCGTCGTCGTTGAGCGGGGCAGTCTCGCCGGCAGCCTCGGCAAGATCCTTCTCCTTCTCCTTGTCCATGGTGTAGAGGGGGAGGTCGGGGACGGCGGCCTTGTCTCGTCCAGAACCGTATCGGGAGGGAGGGACGCGTGTCTCCCAGGGCCTCGGGTCAGCGAGGTCGTCGTCGTCGTGGTAGTGGGTGCGTCGATGGGTGGTCGACCGCATGTGTTGTGAACGAGTGAGGAGGTGTTGACGACTGAGAACAACCGTCGTTGAGACTTTGTGAGTGGTGCGGTGACACGTCGCGGGCGCGGGGCGATGGCTCTCACACCCCTCCCTCCAAGCCTTCCTCCGCGTATTCCGCCTGGCTGTGGCTGCGGCTACATACACGCTCCTCAGGCACCGTCGTCCCTCGTCCCTCAACCACGCGCTGTTCATTTGCTGTGCACATTCAAATCCAATTGAATTCCTCATTTGAATATGAAACAGCCTACAACGCATGCCACGTGCATAAGTGAGGGGTGACACCTCTTAACTCTCCCACGGTATCTTCACTGATATCCAGGCACGCCCTCCGATCTCCCTCTGCACTCCGAAAAGTCCATCAGACGTCGGCGGTACACTCCTAGCTCGCAACAACAATGCTCGCCCTCCGCCGCCTCCTCCCCGCCACCCGCTCCCTCCACTCCTCCGCAGTCGGTGCGTCCCCGTCGTGTGCTCCCCGTGTAGCCGTGTAGCCGTGTAGCCGTTGCTGACATCAGCCTGGAAGGGCAAGGCCGCGGAAGAGGTGGACATGGACGACCTGTTCGACGACTCGGTGGCCGAGCTGCCGTCGAGCAGCGGGGGCGACCGGTCCGCGCGCCGCGCCGACTACGTGTCGCGCATCATGCACCCCACGCATGGGCGGGAGGAGCACCGCGCAGGCAACCTGCGCAAGGTCGTGCAGCTGTCGGACACGCCGGAGGAGCTTGAGGAGCTCGGGCGCGTGATCCAGCAGTGGCGCGTGAATGGGTATGCGGTTAGCAAGCAGACGTCGACGGAGATTGTGGGGCGCTGCATCAACCTTGGGCGGGTGGACCTGGCGGAGAAGTACTACCGGAACCGGGCTGACTGTGAGTTGGGGGAGGGGATGCCATAGGGGAGAGGGGAGAAGGGCGAGAGGGAGGGGGTAGAGGGAGGGGGAGGGGGAGAAGAGGGGAGAAGGCGTAGGAGAGGAGGGCAGGCGAGCAGCACGGCGGCACCTCGAGGCTATGTCCGTTGCTTACGAGCACTGCTCGTGGCGGCCGTCGCAGGTGGACAAAGACGCAGACGCTAAACACGGAGCTGACATCAGACGGATTGAAGCACGTTCCCGGTCACATGGCCATGAAGCTGAAGACCAAGCTCGCCGAGGCAAAGTCCGAGGCGCCCGCGGCGGCCGAGGCGTCGGCATAGAGACATAGGCATGATCATGGTATAGCATTGCTCGAGCATGCGGCAGGAAACTTGCTAATCGGACGTGGAGTATGGGACACTTATCTACTGATGGAGAACTCACTCGTCTACTGATCTTGTGGTACGGTGAATGCCTGCTGGCCAATGGGTGTCGACTCCATGGCGGGAAGGCGGGTGGTGGTGCCCAGCATATATCATTCATTCCAGAAGCGGATGGAGAGAGATCCGTTACCGCGCGTCCGCCTTCCGTTCGTAAGGAGAGGGGGCTTGCAGCCTGGTGTGAACAGACTAGCTTGTACGCTGCTTGTGTCGGCTGACGGACGGTCCCGCGGAAGTACCAGATCGCTGCCCTTCTCAGCTCCCACCTCGAGCGCCAACTCAGCCTCACAAGGCGTGCCTTCTTCCTGGCCGCTCTGTGGGCCGAGGGATAAAGCGAGGGAGGCACATCCTTACCTACGCTCTCTACTCCAATACCCCAGAAGCTCCCAGTGACGCACGTTATCGACATATCGAGCCCTCATAGCTTTACCTCATTACAGAGCTACGGCGGTTGGCCTCAACTTGTTCGATTAGGCGTACCAACACCATCTTTCAGAGTGGGGCAGGCCACTTTAGATTTCGGCGCTGATCACCTGGGATCCGAGATGCCGAGCCGGCTCCGACCAATTCCACGACCCTGTCTTGCAACTGGCAACTGGAATGCACGCGCTTGCAGCCACAAGCATGCGTCGTATCACTGCTTGGCCCTCCCGGGCAGCGCGCTATTCAATATATGCTACATAGCTATGTAGAGGTACATGTACTTGTTCAGCGCTTGGGTTGGACGGGTGGACAGGCGAGTGACACCGACAGGCACGGCCGTTTCGGCTTGACTACTCTGCACGGAATGGCCGGTTCGGAACGCTCCATTTGGACGCCGACCTCGAAAAGGCCATAACTCCTCATGCATGCACGCTACGTCGCTCCCAGCCGTCGTGATTGCGAGAGACCGACTGTGCGTGTTTGTGTCTTCGGGAAGACCTCGGAATTGTAAGAGTGTGCTGATGGTCTCGGTCGGAGGTGTCTCGCTCGCTCGCTTGCTGAATTGCTGACCGATGGTGAAGACGGTATAGGCGGGTTGGACGCGACAGTGAATGTACCGTGGCGCATGACACGCCTGCGATCCAGATGAACGGGGGCTAGCTAGGCTAGAGAGCTAGAGACGCTTCGAGAGGCCTAGAGGTGGAACAAGGCCAACGGTAGACGCCGAGGTAGCGTGTGGCAGAAAGCGGTACCTCAGCCTGGCACGCAATCTGCGCCGGGCTCACCTTTGTTCCACAGTCATTCTCCCTCGCAGTTCGCAGCCGGTCCAGCTTCCCCCCCGCCCCCACGCCCACGCCCACGCATTCCCCCTCTGCGTGCACGGGGGTACGGGGGTTACACGGCTACACGGGACGGGGGAAAGAGGATTCGGCTTGACGCTCGCCACTAGCCACTGGCCATCTGCAGACTCTGACTGTGATCGGCACACGCCTTCTTCCATCTCCCCCCCCCCTCGATCCCCCCTCGATCCCCCCAAATCGCTCAACACACGCCACCCGTACATATTCCACCGTACCACCGTACCACCGTACCACCACACAGCCCGGTGATCCACCGTACGCAACGGAGGTTTGCACACGCCGCAAAGCGTCGCTCTCGAATATACCCTCACACCCGCAGAGCAGTCCAGTCATCCCCCCCTCCCCCTTCCCTCGCCGCTCTACATCTACCATCCACTCCCACATCTCCTCTTTCTTCATCATCAATTCTCTCTTCCTCACCACCACTTGCTCCCCCTCAACCTCCATCCCCTAACCCAATCCTCAATCCACAATGGGTACGTCGTCCCTCCCCCCTCCATCCGAATCCTGCTGACATCCAGCCCGCACCAAGGTAAGAACACTCTTTCAGTTCAACTCGTAGACGACACGATCCACCGCAACACCCCGTCACCCACCTTCCCACCCAACAACACCATGCACTCCTCAGCATACCCCCACCACCCACCACTCCCACTCGTCCATCCCCCATCACTTCCACACATGCATGCACTCGCTTCCCCCATGCATGGTGCACTCCACCATGCATGCACAACGATCAACATGCATTCGGGAGACGTCCTCGTCACCCGATCTTCCTCGCTCATCATTTCCCAAACTTCACCCTCCTGTTCTGTCATACAACCCCCATAGCACCGTCCATCACTCCCACATCATTCCAGCCCCCAATGGATAACTAACACCCCCACAGCAGACCGCCCGCAAGTCCACCGGTGGCAAGGCGCCCCGTAAGCAGCGTGAGTCTTACCTCTCCGCCTTGCCTCCGCCGACACACACGGAACCTGGCCCCCGCTTGACACGACGCTGACCGTGCCCCATGCATGCTTCCACCGCTTTCGTCATTGTTCGCCATGTATCGTTCACCACTGTTCACTCGCATCCACCCCCCCACACATGGTGACCGTCTTGCCTCCCCCTCGTTTGCACCTTCCCTCCCGCCCCGGCGCCCACTCTCCCAAATCCGCCCTCGTTCCTGGATTGGCCAACAGTCGCCGCCAAGGCCGCCCGCAAGTCGGCTCCCTCGGCCGCGACCGGTGGCGTCAAGAAGCCCCACCGTTACCGCCCCGGTACCGTCGCTCTTCGTGAGATTCGTCGCTACCAGAAGTAAGTCGACTCGCAACACTGCTTCATGCATAGATGCATGCACATACTGACACACCCAGGTCGACTGAGCTCCTTATCCGCAAGCTGCCATTCCAGCGCCTTGTTCGTGAGATCGCTCAGGACTTCAAGACCGACCTCCGCTTCCAGAGCTCGGCCATCGGTGCCCTCCAGGAGGCTGCTGAGGCGTACCTTGTCTCGCTTTTCGAGGACACCAACCTGGCTGCTATCCACGCCAAGCGTGTCACCATCCAGCCCAAGGACCTCCAGCTCGCTCGCCGCCTCCGTGGTGAGCGCTCGTAAGCGTGCATCTAGTATTGCTCTCGCTGGTGCTCTTGCTAGCTGCTACCTGGTTGTCCAACCTACAAGTTATGATGCGCTCTTAGCGCCGTGTACGACCTTCGCTTTTCGCTCCTCCCTTTAGTCAAAGCATACCCCTTCGTCATGGCGCTATATGTAGAGACACGTAGCTTGCTATGAATCGTGTATCGTATCATGTACATGCGGGAGAGGAGAGGTGGGGGGAGTGCGGCACAAAGGCGAGACTCCTCGGTCTATGATACAACTGGCATACCCGCCATCTAAGCCGTACGCTAAGCCATCTCCATAGCCTCTTCTTTTTCCTGTCCTTCCCCCACCGCCGCCCCCTCCCCCTCTCCAGCTCCGCGGCTCGCCTTCACGGCCGCAAGCATATCCTTCAACGTAGCCACCTCCACACGCAGGGCGTACAGCCCGAGCTGCGCCTCCCCATCCCCACCACCACTATCCCGCAACGTAGCCGCCAAAGGGCGGGGCAGGGCGTCCGGCGGCGGCGGGCGGAGCACGGACGGCGCCGCGCGCGTCTCGCGCAAGAAGAAAACGGACTGGCGGAGGATGAACTGGATTTTCTGATATCAGCGCTGCGTGGGGGAGAGTCAAGGAGTCGTGCCGCCTTCAAAAGACAGCTACGGGCATAAAACGCAGCCAACTCACATCCACTGTCGCCATGTATCGCTCGACGGCGTCTCTTGCTGCCGTGGCGCCTTCTTCGTCGGCCTCTTCGGTCGGCGATGTCAGGTGTGCGAGGACGGGCTTTACGTCGAGCAGGAGGTCTGGTACGGCCTGGTGTTAGTTTCGGACGCAGTTGATCAGTAAGGATGGTGGGATGCGGAGAGGGAAGAAACGATGAAGGTGATGGAGAGGGGCAAGAGATGGAGACGGATAGAGGAGAAAGAGGTGGAGATGGAGGAGACGAAGGTGGGGAGGAAGAGGAGGAGGAGGCGAAGGCCAACGAGGCTCAGAGCAGAGCGCACCTTCTGCACAGCCGCCAGCGCTCTCAGCAGCGAGTCCGTATCCAACGACGTGAGGTCGAGCGGGTCGGCGTCGCTCATTGTTGGTGGCCCGGTGGGTGTTGATGCAATACGAGAAAGAGCGAGACAACGGGTGGAGGTCTACGGAACCAAAGTGCTGGTGACGCTGGGCCCGTGCGGCTGGTCCCTGGCCAGCCATACCGTCGCCATCTCCGTCGACCGTTACTGCACACATCTCCTCGCTGCACCTCACCTCCTCAGCGGGCCGGTTCCGCCTGAGCTCATCGTTCTCCCGACATCATGGCCGACGCTAAGCTCTTCAGTGCGTCTCCTCCCCACCCCTCGCTACCGCACTCCCCTGCCACCTCCTCCCCCTCGCCCTACCCTACCTGCACTCCCCCCCCCCCCTTCCTCCAGCCTCACTAACCACAGCCCGCGGCAAGATCCAGGATCTGCGCGACGAGCTCCGCAATGCAGGTGATAAGCGGGACAAGGGGTTTCAGCGGAAGAAGACGGCGCTCAAGAAGATCGTGGCGAACATGACCATGGGGAATGACAGTTAGTCGGCAGGCATGGTGGCAGGTTGCGGGCAACCTGCCTCCTTGCGGGCGCGAGAGAGCCGCCGAAGACGCTTACCCCCAGTGTCCCCATTGTTCCCCGACATGATTCAGTGCATGCAGATCCAGGTGCTTGAGATCAAGAAGAGTGAGTTGTGAGCGCTGGGAGCGCTTCGAGCTGCGCCCTCAGACGCTTCGTCGTATCCGAACTAGACGCCGTAACATAGTCCGCAGTGTTCGCAAGGCTTACCCCGCTCGCTCCGCTCGCTCCTGCTGACCGCAGTGGTATACCTCTACCTTGTCAACTACGGGCGGTCACGGCCAGAAGACGTCGCACATGCCATCGGAGGCTTCCTCTCAGACTGCGCGGATCGCAACCCCCTCATCCGAGGTCTGGCCATCCGTACCATGAGCTCCATCCCGCTACCCACTATAATTCAAGCGCTCGTTGACCCGCTGCGACACGCACTGGAAGACCAGGACCCATACGTTCGCAAGACGGCCGCGATTGCGTAGGTTTCGATGTTGAGACTGAGCTCACCCCAGCGTTGCCAAGCTGTATGCGTCTGACTATGGGAAGAAGACAATCGCCAAGGAGAACTTTGTTGCCATGCTGCGAGACTTGTTGGCCGACCACAACCCGACGGTTGTGGCTAACGCAGTTGCCGCGCTGGTGGAGATCTCGGAGCGTAGCTCGGACATTACACTGCGTCTGAACGCCACTGTCGCCGGCAAGCTCGTCGCCGCCCTCGGCGAGTGTTCTGAATGGGGCCAGATATACATCCTCGACTCACTCCTTTCGTTTGTGCCACAGTCGTCGCTCGACGCCGAGACTCTCGCAGAGCGCATCTCCGTGCGCCTGCAGCACGCCAACTCTGCAGTCGTGCTCACGACTATCAAGGTCATCCTGTACCTCATGAACTACATGGAGGATGAGGCGCTGATGAGCGTGCTGGAGCGCAAGATGGGCCCGCCCCTCGTGACATTGCTATCCTCCGGGCCCGAGGTGCAATACGTCGGCCTCCGCAACATCCTCCTCATCATCCAGCGGCGACCAGCGATCCTTCAGAACGAAGTCAAGGTCTTCTTCTGCAAGTACAACGACCCGATCTACGTCAAGCTCGCAAAGCTCGAGATCATGTATCGCCTCACGCGGGAGGACAACGTCAGCGAGGTCCTGGCCGAGCTCAAGGAGTATGCGTCGGAGGTCGACGTTGACTTTGTGCGCAAAGCGGTGCGCTCGATCGGACGATTGGCGATCAAGATCGCCGCCGCGGCAGACCAGTGTGTCATGGTGCTCCTCGAGCTCATGAAGACCAAGATCAGCTATGTCGTGCAGGAAGCGATCGTGGTGATAAAGGACATTTTCCGCCGCTATCCGAACCAGTACGAGCGCGTGATCGCTGTGCTTTGCGAGAATCTCGACGTGTTGGACGAGCCTGAGGCCAAGGCCTCGATGATCTGGATTGTGGGGCAGTACGCGGATCGCATCGAGAACTCGGACGAGCTCATCGAGGACTTTATGTTTGCGTTCAAGGAGGAACCTTCGGAGGTGCAGCTGGCCCTCCTAACAGCGACAGTCAAGCTGTTCATCCGCCGTCCCACGGCGGCGCAGGAGCTTCTCCCGCGCATCCTCAAGCTGGCGACGGAGGAGGCCGAGAACCCCGACCTGCGGGATCGCGTGAGTTCCTTCTTCACTTCTCTGCTAACGTCAGGGATTCATGTACTGGCGCCTCCTCACCACGAACCCCACGGCGGCGCGCGATATTGTCCTCTCCGAGAAGCCCGTAATCTCTACCGAAACCGACCGCATGGACAAGGGTATGCTCGACCAGCTCCTGCTGCACACTGGCACACTCGGCAGTATCTACCACAAGAACCCCGAGACGTTCATCCGCACCGCGAAGCCGCGGTACCTGCCAGACTCGCCTGCGCTCAATGCCTCGTCGCGGCGACACCTGGTGCAGGCGACGACGCTGTTCAACCCGCGCCCGACGCCAGCAGTGCCCGCTCGTCCCTCTGCTGCCCCCGCCGCGACCGCCAGCAACGGGAACGGGAACGGAAACGGTACGAGGAACGGCGAGGCGCCTCCATCCGCGGCGTCGAGCAGCGACCCATACGCGCAGCTCGCGGACCTCGATCTCCTCGGCGGGAACTACGAGTCTGATATGCCACGCCCTCGGGGCGCCGCCGAGGATCTGTTGATCTAGCCGAGACGGGGGCCGAGTTGGGGCGCGGAGATGGCGTCGACACTTGGCCTAGCGTAGTTTGAGGCGCAGTTGATGGCGCGCGGGAGGAGACGCAGGGAGGTTATTTCATTAGGCCGACAGGCGTATGTAGTAGATTATGGATGACGAGACACGAACGTTGACGCGAACACGGCGCACTGTGACACGGCGCGTCTTGACTCGGCGCATCGGCGGCTCGGCGACAGGTTGAATCTTGCACGTGGATTGACCCGGCGCGCCGAGCCCTGGTGGCATGAGCGCCAGCGGGCTTGGTGCCAGGGGTGAGGTGGAGGCGGCACGATGAATCTAGGTTTGGTGCAACTTGTCACGTCTCTCGCTGCAACATCTTCATCTTTGCACCACTCCTCACTCGTGCGACACGGATGAGCCCGTGATCCGAACCCGTGGCGATCAGCCTCGACTCTGTGGCTTGCTAAGCCGTCTCTCCTCCTCTTCCCCTCTCTCATTTCCTCGCCCTTCCGCCCGCCTCTCCCTCCGCTCCTCTTATCACCTCGCCCCGCCGCTTCCTCCCCTCCGCCTCCGCCATGGTGAAGGAAGAACCCCGCGCGTCCGACGCGGGCGCGAGCACCGCGCTCCTCGACGGCTTCCGCGAAGAGCCGCGCAAAGCCAAATCATCACAATCAGACGACTCGGACTCGGACGACTCGCACTCTGACATCGAGGTCTATCCCCCACATCACGTGTATCCGGGATATGAGCCGCCGGCGGGCGCGCACGGCGCCGCCCCTGCGGCATATCCTCACGGCACGGAGGTGCATTGGGCCACGATGGCGCAGAAGCGTGCGCTGTGGTGGCGCTCGGCGTTGATTACCGGCATGTTCATCTTGTCATGGTGAGTGGTCGAGTGCCCACGTCTCGCTACGAGGCCCGAGAGGCTGCGGAGGACTCACAGCTTCGCAGCTTATGGCTCCTGGGGGCGGAGCCATGCCGCACCGCCTTGCGACGCGGACGGGGCGCCCCATCCTAGACCGCTCTCTGCTGACCACAGGTACGCTTTCGCAACCCTCCTGTCCATGTACAACAAGTGGATGTTCTCCGCCGAATACTACGGCTTCACATATCCGCTGTTCGTGACGGCGTGCCATATGGTCGTGCAGTGGTTATGTGCGGGCATCATCCGGTGGACGGTACCGCGCTTCCGGCCCGTCGAACGGCCCACGCGCCGCGAGTACATGTGAGTGAACATGGTAGTCTGCGGATCGGCTGGCGGCTGATGACAGCACGCGCATTCTCCCCACTGCTGCGTCCACGGGCGGCGATATTGGGCTGTCAAATCTCTCACTCAAGACTATTACTCTGAGCTTGTACAGTGAGTTCATCTCGTCTCGTCCCCTCTTTCGCTCCCGCCCGCCTCCGATCTCTTCGTCTGGCAGCGCATCGCTCCTCTCGCGCAACTCGCTCACGCCAGCCATGTGCAAATCATCCGCACTCATCTTCGTCCTCATGTTCGCATTCCTCTTCAGGCTCGAGAAGTACTCGTTCAAGCTTGTGTCTGTCATTGGCCTCATCTCCGGCGGTGTCTTTCTGATGGTGTTCAACGTGACCGCCGTCTCCATCCCAGGCATCATCATGGTGTTCTCGGCCTCGGCGATCGGCGGTCTGCGTTGGGCGCTCACCGAATTGATCATGCACAAGCGTGGGATGGGTCTGAGCAACCCGTTTGCAACCATCTTCTGGCTCGCGCCGCTCATGGGTCTCATCCTCTTCATCGTCTCCGCCATCGTTGAGAGCTGGATCAAGATCTTTACCGGACCGTTCTTTGCCACGCCGATAATCGCCCTCAAGAGCATAGCGATTATCGCGTTTCCCGGAGCACTGGCCTTTGCCATGGTGTCGAGCGAGTACTTCGTCATCCAGCGTGCAGGTGTTGTGCCATTATCGATCGCGGGCATCTTCAAGGAAGTATCGACGATCGCCTTCTCAGCCTGGGTGTTTGGCGACAAGCTCACCACCCTCAACGTGGTGGGATGCGCCATCACGATCAGCGGTATCGCACTCTACTCGTACCACAAGTACCAGAAGAGCATGAAGGTCGAGGTGCCGCTCGACGACGCGGGCCATGTGATTGACGAGGTGATCGACGACGAGCGACGCCCCTTGAACCGCACCGCGCGCGGAAGCCATGGCTCGGTATCCTCACGGCCAAGCCTCGGCTCCCACCGCACCCCGCGCACGCCGTCTTCGCGCTCGCGCCGCACGCCCGAAGGCGCCGCCACGCCCGCCGACACGCTGCCGATGACAGAGTTGAGCAATAGAAGCTCGGAGGAGGACGAACGCGCCAACCGCCTCCGCGACGACTTTGAGGGATGGGACACGCCAGGAGGGAGCGACTACGAGAGCGAGGTGGACGAGGACGAGGTGGCGCGGTACCGCACCGAGCGGGTCGGCGTGCGGTCAAGATGGAAGGACTGGTGGGACAGGCCCATGTAGCGTACAATGGCATTTAGAGTGTTACGGTGGGTGTGTGCGTGGGCTGCGCGAGTGTGCGAAGCGTAGGAGATGTGCGCGCAGCTGACGAGGCGATCGAGCGAGCGGCGCGGGGTGGTTCAGGTATTAACGAGATATTCTTTGCGCTGCGGCGCCTCTCTCACGCCCTTACCAACACTGACCTCGGCCGCGATCGCTTACCGTCTCTGCAGCGTCACAGTCGTTCACGTCACGAGACGCGGCGATCCTCAGTTGATATCCTCGCAGTCAGCAGGACCGCCGTTTTATGACCATAGCATGGTCCTCGTGCCACATCGCGACTCACTTACCGATCAAGCGATCTGGCGATCCGGCAGTCCGCCCATGCCCATCTCCATGTCTTCGCGATCGGTCAGCGGTGAGCGGTCAGCTCGGTCAGCTCGGTCATGCGCTGGTAACCAGTCTTCCCACGCAGCGTCGGACGTCGCATGCTCTTCACTCCAACTATCATCACCTCGTCCGACTTCTTCTCGTACTCCCTACTACCTCACACTCCTTCTCCTCCGCTCTCTTAAACAAACTCTGTTCACGCCCCTTTCCCCCACTCCTCCCACCAACCACCGCCCATGCCCGCCCCTCCATACAGCGCCCTCGGCCTCTTTGACTGGGAGCTCGGCCCCTCGCCCAGCGCGAGCATCGGCTCGCTCGCCACGTCCCCCTTCTCCCGGCGCTCACGCACCCTCGAGTCTCCCGCCCGGGCGCCACTCACGCCGCGGTCCGCCACGCTCCCCACTGCCCCCCACTACACAGACGCGCTCGCACTCCCGCCCACGCCGACGTCGCTCCCGCCTTCTCCGGCAGACTCTTCCGCTTTCGCTCAGACTCGGCCACCCCCGTCGCCTCCCTCGCCGTCGCCTCTGCCCCCGTCGCCCCCGTCGCCGCCGGACAGCCCCAGCTCATTCCCCTCCTCGCTCAGCCCGCCGCCGAGCCCCACACGCTTCGCCGTGCCCTCCCCCCCGTCGATGTCGCCCCGCTCCTACCCTTCCAGCTTGAGCGACGTGCCTCTTACCCCCGACGAGACGTCCGCGTCACGTCCGCGTGCGTTACACTCCCGCATATCTGACGCCAGAGACGCAGCCGGCCTACAAGGCGTCGGACGCCGAGCAACCTCGCACAGACGCCTTTACAGATGCGCGTGCTCCGATGCCGGCGACACGGCACCCGCCCCCTGCGTACGAGAGCATCCAGGTCGTCGCGCACCGCCCCGAAGACATCGACGCCGTGCGCTCGGCCCTCGCGCAGCTCCAGCTCACGTGGAGCTTGTATCGCGAGCTCGGGCGTCCGTCCAACCTCGCCGACGCGCTGGAGCGCCAGCTGTCCGTCGTCGTCGGCAGCGTCGACCTCCTCGCCGATCTGCCCCCTTTCACCATCACAGTGCCCAAGCAGCGGCACTAGCCACCGCTGTCAGCGGACAATCCCACATCCTTGTCAGGTCGCAATGTTGATATGCATAATTGAACAGCGCGTCCTCTGCGCGAGCAAAGGCGGCGCGGGGTGAGGGCACTACCGCTTTCCGCGGACCATGATGCGCTTCATCTTGGGCGCCTTGGCGCCCTCCTCTGGCGGGCCGAGGCCCTTTTTCTTCGCCTCCTTCTCCGCCTCGAGGTCGCGCTTCACCGAGCTGACGGCCACGCCCGTCGCCGCCGTCGGCGAGTGCACGGGCAAGCGCTCGTCCATACGCGGCAGCGGGACGGGCGCGGCGGGCGGGCGCGTCGCGAACGGCGCAGCCGTTTTGACGGCCTTGCCCTTCGGCGCGGCCTGGGGCTTCGGCCCGTTCCGCGGCTTCATGTCCGCCTCGGCCGGCACGAGCTTCGGGTTCGCGTTCTGCATCTGCCGCGCCAGCTGCGTGTACAGCTGTGTGCCTGGGGTCAGCAGCCGCCAGTCGAGGAGACGCACGGTTCTTCACGATGGGATTGATCGGGCGCCCGTCACGCTCCAGCTGCACCTTAACACGGCCGGGGTTCTCCCAGTCCGCGGGGTGCGTCTTCTCCGGCTCCAGGACCGAGGGGAGGCCGAGCGACGCGCACGCCTGTGCGATGTGCGTCGCTTGAGGCCACCACAGCGCCGACTTGCGCGGCACGCGGCGGCCGTCTGTGACCGACACCTTGGCGTCAAAGTAGCGAGGGTACACCGTGTTCCACCTGGTGTCAGCTGTTTCCTCTTTGCGACCTTAGACCGACCTCAGTGCCGGCGTCCACCTTCCCTCCCCCACCTCCCCTCCTCTTTCCTCCCTTCCTGCATCGATCACACTCACGATTTGTAAACACTCGGGTCCTGCGCGATCTTCGTGTTCCCGAACGTGCGCCGCAGCTTCTCGATCCGCTCCTCCTCGACCTCCTGGAGCTTCATCATGTCGCCCATAAACCCGCCCATGGGAGTGTTGGGGTCCATGCGCGGCTGCTGCGGCCGCTGGACGTCGGCAGCGGTCTCAGGCGCCTTGCCCTTGCCCGGAGAAGACGGAGGAGGTGCACGCGAGTTCGCGCCATACTCGCCACGCCCCTGGTCCTGAAGCTTGTCCATGTCGAGGTCATCGCCGATCTCCTCGAGCAGGGCACCCTGCAGACCCGTGTTGGGGAGATGCCGGCCGCTCGCCGATGGGAGCGGGAGGTCGGTGTCGTCGTCAAAGTAGTCCTCGACCGTTGGCATTGTGATAGGCGTTGAAGGCGGGAAAAGGAGGCAATGAAGATGGATGTGAGAGAGGCACGACTGGCATTGAGGGGAGAGCCACGCGAGCCACGCTGTATACACGTGGGGATTCCGGGGTTAGCGGCGGTATGACGTATGGCGAAGGGCGCGTTGGGTGGAAGAAGTGATCCCGCACCCGCGTCGCGAATGGAGCCTGGGGCGGGGCAGGGCGGCGAGGGCGGGTGAGGGAAGAGAATTAGAATTGGGAGCAGTGCTATTAGCGGCATTAGCTGTGTTAATTAGTGACACAGCGCATACCCATCCATGCGGCTCAGCTCAGGTCACGTCCAACGCCGCCGCCGCCACATCCCTCCTCCCTCCTTCCATCCCTCTCACTCACGTTGTCTCCCTCTCTCTCTCTCCATCACTCATTCTCTCTTCCTCTCTCCCTCTCTCCCTCTCTCCTCTTCTCACTTTCTCTCTCTCCCCCCAACACCCCTCACTCCCCCGTCAACCGGGCCGCCTCGACTCCAGACGCCCGCTTGATTTCTTCGCCACTTACTCAACACCTAGCCTCATCGCCTCCCCGCCATTCACGGGACAGCTCAACCTCGACCCACCCTCCCAATCACAATGGCGTCCCCAACGACTCAGACGGCCAACGCCATCCGAGCAATCACTAACAAGAACTCCATCCCCGTCCCCGAGATCGACTTTACTCAGCACACTTTGGAGAATGGCGAGACAGTCAGCACAACCGAGCGTGTCGTCAAGGATGTGAGTAGCGCTCCGTGCGCTGGGCGCATTCCGCCTCCTCGAGTCGCGTCGTGGAACCCCCTCTGACTCCAGGTGCAAGCGCCAGCAATGTACCTGCCCACCGACGACCAGTTCTGGAGCAAGCAGGACCGGTCTAAGCCTGACATTGCCTTCCTCAAGAACCACTTCTACCGCGAGGGTCGTCTGACCGAGGAGCAGGCCCTGTACATCCTCGAGAAGTAGGCCATCACGACGCAAGCGACGCTGACAGCAGGGGTGGCGAGATCCTGCGCTCCGAGCCCAACCTGTTGGAAGTCGACGCGCCCATCACTGGTACGTGGCAAAGCGCGATCCAAGCTCAAATGCTGACCCTCAGTCTGCGGCGACATCCACGGCCAATATGTGAGCAACGGCGATCGGAGGAGCGATCGAGCACGGACTGACACTTGCAGTATGACCTGATGAAGCTCTTCGAGGTTGGCGGCAACCCCGCCGACACGCGCTACTTGTTCCTCGGCGACTATGTTGACCGTGGATACTTCTCGATCGAGGTGGGTTTAACCGTCACATCATCCTCTGACCCTAGTGTGTGCTCTACCTGTGGTCGCTCAAGATCTGGTACCCCGACACCCTCTTCCTTCTCCGTGGCAACCACGAGTGCCGTCACCTCACCGACTACTTCACCTTCAAGCTCGAGTGCAAGCACAAGTACTCGGAGACGGTCTACAACGCGTGCATGGAGACGTTCTGCAACCTTCCCCTTGCGGCGGTCATGAACAAGCAGTTCCTCTGCATCCACGGCGGTCTGTCGCCTGAGCTGCACACGCTTGATGACCTGCGTGCGGTGAGTAGCCTGAGAGAAACGACAGCTAATCTCAGATCAACCGCTTCCGCGAGCCGCCTACTCACGGCCTCATGTGCGACATTCTCTGGGCCGACCCGTTGGAGGACTTTGGCAATGAGAAGAACCCATCCGAAAACTTCATCCACAACCACGTCCGTGGCTGCTCGTTCTTCTTCACGTACAATGCGGCGTGCCAGTTCCTGGAGCGCAACAACCTGTTGTCGATCATCCGTGCTCACGAGGCACAGGACGCTGGGTACCGCATGTACAAGAAAACCAAGACGACGGGCTTCCCTTCGGTCATGACCATCTTCTCGGCGCCCAACTACCTCGATGTGTACTCGAACAAGGCCGCTGTGCTCAAGTACGAGGCCAACGTTATGAACATCCGCCAGTTCAACTGCACGCCACACCCGTACTGGCTGCCCAACTTCATGGACGTGTTCACTTGGTCGCTGCCATTCGTTGGTGAGAAGATCACCGACATGCTCATTGCGATCCTCAACTGCTGCACCAAGGAAGAGCTCGAGGAGGAGGAGGAGACGCCCATGATCACACCCGACACACCGGAAATGGAGACGGACGACGTGTCTGCCGAACGGCGGCAGGTTATCAAAAACAAGATTCTTGCCGTTGGCCGCATGTCGCGTGTTTTCTCGCTCCTCCGCGAGGAATCGGAACGCGTGTCCGAGCTCAAGTCTCTTACCGGCTCTGGGACGTTGCCCGCCGGTCTGCTTGCTAACGGGGCCGAGGGCATCAAGGAGGCTATCCAAGGCTTTGACGACGCGCGCAAGTCGGACATTGAGAATGAGCGTCTGCCGCCCGACATTATTGACCCGGATGTCAACATGCCCGCGTCGCCATCGAGCAACTCGACTCCCGCGTCGCCCATCGCGTCTGGTGTGCCAGGCTCGCCTGCCTCGCCGGCGTCACCCACGACGCCAGGCAGCTACCGCCGGGGCCACGCTCGCACCACGTCGCTCGGCACAACGCGTACGTCGCCGTCGAACCGCCGCCGTTCGCTCGAGAACACTATGGAGTTGATTCGCGATGTTGTGGATGGCCGCGACGCCAACGCCGACCAGCAGGTGCGCGAGATTGCCGAGGTGATTTCGAGCCCTACGCGCGCTCGCCCCGAGCACTCTCTTGCTTAGATGTGATTGAATGGCCTCCTTCAACGCTTCTTTGACCCCCACCATCTTAATGCAATAAACGCGCCGGCCGGGCGGCCACTATGTAGATACCTGCACCGCGAGGCAAACCCGGTGTGGGAATGTATGTCATGCCTACGAGCGGGGGTGCACCATGTATGTGTGAGGGCGATGTTAACAGATGTGGAGGTTGCCCATTCCACCACGACTTGCAACTTGACTCTGTCAACCTCTCCGACCGCACTTGCATTGGCACTCGCCATGCCCTCCCCCGCCCCAATAACGCTAAACGCGACGCTAAGCACCTCGCTGCATCCGCATCTCCGCCTCTCCGCGCCCTCCGCGCCCGCGCCCTCCTGCCACCTCCATCTGATCCTGCACCTGCCCGACGCATTATTCGTGGACCCCGACGAGCTCGCCGACCTCTGGGGTCCGCCCTCTCCCTTCCCTCTTTCCCTCTCCCCTTCGTCTCCCCCCCACTCTTCCCCCTCCTCTCCTCCCTCTCCCTCCCCCCACTGGTCCCTCTCGCCCGCCCAAATCGACATCGAACGCCCCGTCCACCCCCGCCTCCCGCCTCTCAGCCTGAAAGCCGTGCCCGTACCACAAGCGGTGCTCGACCTCGTCCTCGACGACCTCTGCACTGTCGACGTGCCGCTGCACGCGCGCTACCTCGTCCCGGAGGATTCGGGCGCGACCTCGAGCCCACGCGCGCCCGCGTGGAACAGCGTACGCCGTCTTGCGGCCGCGCTCGCGCACGACACATACGCCGACGTCCCATTCGACGGCGACGGCGACGGCGACGGCTGGGTCGAGGGCGCGTGGGTGTGTCCCGCCGCCGGGGGGACGGGCAGGGCCTCGCGTGTCTCGGTCGGCGTAAGCGCGCACTTGCCTGTGCCCGACGCCGCGTACCGCTTCCCCGTGGAGATTGGGACTGCCGCGGTCGTGTGGGCCGGATGGGCGTGGCTTGTATACGCTGTCATCCGGGCGGCGCGGGTGGGGAAGCGGAAAACGGAGTAGCGGAGGAAGGGATGAATGTTGTACTCGCGTATCTGTTAGCCCTCACCCAGTCTACCACTCTAGCCACTGCTCGCTCCTCCTTCTTCGCTCCTCCGCCCACGCGCGTCCCGTCCCGCTCCGCTAACCCACACGTAAACATGCACATCACAACTACGTAAAGGTATACGACAACATTAACTGGGCCAGTGAAGCCTTGGTCTAGCCTAGCTGGAGCGTGGCGGCTACTTGGCCGGCTCCTTCTCGCCGCGGGCAGCGCGCGACAGCGAACGCAGCATGCTTCCGAACACACTGCCTGTGCTCGCCGTGTGCTGGTGGCCGCTGCTCTCGCGCCCACGTTCCTCCCGTGGGACGATGTTGCCGGCGCCGCTGGGGTCAGCGAGGTCATGAGGGGAAAGAGGTGTGTAATGTTCGTTTCGACATCAGATGCAGCTGCGTGGCAAGATCTTCTCTTGGCACGCGGCCCGCACGGTCGCGAGCTGCGAGGGAGATCCTTTCGCTGCCCGCTGCCCACTGCCTACCGCCCCCCGCGCCACCTTTGCCACCACCACCACTCACCCGCGCCCGCCACGGATCGGCTGCTTGATCTCGTCCTTGTAGAACTTGTCGCGCGCCTCACGCTCCTCGAGGGTAAGCTTGTCGAGGTCGACAGGAGCGAGGTCCTGCGCGACCGAGCCCGCGCCACCGCGGCCGGTCGTCTTACTGGCCGTCAGCCTTCCTTCGTTGCATGGCAACTCACAGAGGAGCCGGCTCGCCCTCCTCATACTTCTTCTTGACCTGGGCCTCGTACAGCTCCTCCTGCCTGCGGCGCGCAAGCTCCTCCTCGGTCGCTTCCTCAGTGATATTGCCGTACCCGCCGCGACCGGCGTGGAAGCCGCGGGTGCGGCTCTCGTCGCGGCCGGCTCTGGTGCGGCTGGATGAGCCGACGCGGGCGAGGGGCGAAGCGGGCGAGGGGCTGGCAACGTCGCGCACGTCGCGCACAGCCGAGCGCGAGCGCGAGCGGTTCTCGATGTTGCCCGCGCCGCCGCGGCCGGTGGTGAACGTCTGGTTTTCGGCGCGGCCGCGACGCTCAGCGATGAGCGCGTCTTGCAGCGCGTCCTCTTGCGCCTCGCATATCGCCTGCGACTTGGGGTCGCGGCTGGGCGAGCGGATGTTGCCTGCGCCGCCGCGGCCGGAGTGGGTGGCCTGGTGTGAGCAAGGATTGAGAGCAGGGTTGGGGTGGTAGCGGGGGCGTGGGGGTCGGTGGGAGAGAGGGGTGGTTGGTGGCGGTGGGAGGGAAGGAGGGTGGGAGGGCGCGCCGTTCAACCCAAGCCACGCCCCGACACAGACGCTGTGTCAGGTGGCGAAGACCACTTGACCCAAGGCCGACCCGAGACCTAAGACCCGAGCCCGAAGCCCGGCCTACATCACTCACTCTGTCAACGGAGCGGTCGCGAATCTCACGACCTCTCTCGACGCCGGCGAGGGCGTCGTCGGGCCCACGCGAGAGCTCGCGGACAATGTTGCCCGCGCCGCCGCGGCCGGTGGAGATGAGCGGGTCGCGCCCGCGGTGTTCGTCGTTCATTGTGTCTGGTGTGAGGGGGTGTGTGGAAGAAGAAGCGTGAAGCGAGATATGAGGGGGGGAGGGAGAGAGGGAGGGGGGTTGGGTGGCAACAGGGCGGCGGGTGAGTGTGGTCAAGGAGGGCCCCGCCAAGCCTTGGAGAGGAGTGGATGATGTGGCGGCGTGATCTGGCGAGGAGGGAGTGCGCGAGGGCCGAGAGAGGCCCGAGGCGAGGAGAGAGAGGGCAGAGAGAGCACCGGAAGATGGAGATGCTCGATGGAGAGCTCGGCACGGGCGCTATCGGAGGGTGGGCGGTGATTGGCCGCTCGGAGAGAAGCATCTGCACCGACTCGTCGCGTCACCGAGCATGCCGCGCCTTATCCAGCGTGGCCGTAGCGGGTGACGGGGAGAGACGGGGAGACTCGGGGCGACGATAGCTGGAGGGGCTGGAGGGTGCTGCTGGCGCTCGCTATCGCCATCTCTCTCGACTCGGATTCGCCCGTGGCCTTATCTCCCACCGCCCAAGCCATCTCCTCTTCCAGTCCTCCCTCTCCTCCTCCTCCTCCTCCTCCTCTCTCGATCACATCCAGCGGGGCCGATAGGCGTCCCCCCCCCCCCCCCCCCCCCCCCCCCCCCTTTCCTCTCCGTTATCGCGCACTCACCAACCATCCCCCGCGGCGCCGGCGCGCGCCCCGGGCTCAACGCGCGGCCCATGCGCGCCATGCTGAATCTGTCGCGCGACGTGGATGACGCGCGCGCCGCCGCGTGTGACGCGAGCTTCAAGTCGCTTTCCGAAGACGTCGTGAGCGCGAGCGTGGCCATGGTGTGATGGAGACTGCAGCTGTCGATGGGCCGGGAGATATGCCCGTATCTCCCGGCCGGGCAGAGGGAGGGCACGGCGGCCAATACGCTGCGAGGAGCCCCGTGAAAAAATCAGGGCGCGTATTGGCGGAGAGCGGGGGCGGAGAGCGGGGCGGAGGCGGAGGGCCTTCTCCACGCTCAGCGATGCTGCGGCCAGCGGAGATGCATGCTGCATTCATGCCACGCCCAACGGCTTGGCTGGCGATCGCTACGAGATGGAAAGGAGATGGAGCGGATGGAGAGGTGAAGAGGGCCAATCAGATGTGTTCAGTTGCCTCGGTAGAGGCTGTCTCAGTGGTGTGCCACTTGGTTGGTGACTAGTGGCACTGCTGGCACTTGGGGTGGCACCAAGCTGCTTGGCATCGGGTATCACTGCCGTCTTCATCAACTCATTGCTGCTCGACTACAACTCTCGTCCTCACCTGCACTTCCTCTCGCGAAGTGCTCCGCGCTCCATACTAGTCTGATCGGCCGCCACGGCTATTGCCCCACACTAGCTCCCCATTCAAGCCCCCCCATTGCAATCCACCTATATGCATATGCGCCCTGAACAACTACCGCACATGGAAAAATTAAGAGAGTGTGTCTGTCTAGTAATGTCGTAATGTCAACGGGAGGGGGGATCTACTCGCGCGGCGAGCTCGGCGCAGCGCTCATGTCGGCCGAGGGTTCGCCCTTCTCCGACGGCGTCTGTACCCGCGTCTGCTCCATCGCCTTCTCATTAGGCGAGAGCGGAGCGCGCCCGCGCTCGGCAGGCGCGTGCTCGTGCTCGAGCTCGAGCTCGCGGTCCATGCCGACATAGTCGTATGCCCACTCGCCGAGGAACGCGTCGTCGATGCCCACAATCTCCTCTTCCTCGCTGCAGCGCAGGCGGAGGCCGGGGATAAAGTGCATCGCCCACAGGATGATCGTGGTCACGACAAACGACCATGCCATGCCAGACACGGCGTCGGCAATCTGCTTGCCGAGCTGCACCCAGTTCTTGTTTATCCAGCCGCCGGCGATGACGGTCGCGCCGTCAAAGCCTGCAACGCGCGAGTCGGCGAACAGACCTGTGAGTATGCAGCCCACAAAGCCGCCGATGCCGTGCGACGCAAACACGTCGAGCGCCTCGTCTATCCGCACAAAGTACTTGATCTTGGTGCCAAAGTTGGCGGCGACAGCGGTGACAAACCCGATCGCGACGGCAGACGGCGAGCCGACAAAGCCAGCGGCGGGGGTAATTCCAACGAGGCCGGCTACGGCACCGGAGCAGAAACCAACGGCGGAGAACTTCTTCTCAAGACGCCAGTCGAGGAGCATCCAGGTGAGGCCACCGACCGAGGCAGCGAGGTTGGTGACGATGCAGGCCTGGACAGCGCGGAGGTTGGCGGAAAGAGCCGAGGCGCCGTTAAAGCCAAACCAACCGAACCAAAGGAAGACTGTGCCGAGGACAACAAAGGTCGTGTTGTGGGGCTTGTAGGCGAGGCGCTCGGTGCCGTAGCCTCTCCGCTTGCCGAGGTAGCAGGCGATGGCGAGAGCAGCAGTGCCCGACGATATGTGGACGGGGGTGCCGCCGGCAAAGTCGAGGCCGCCAAGAATAAAGGTCCAGCCGTTGGCGTTCCAAGTCCAGCATGCGATGGGGCAGTAGACGACGGTAAGCCAGACAAACATAAAGACACCAACGGGGCCGATGCGGGAGCGTTCAGCGAAGCCACCGCATGCGAGGGCCACGGTGATGATGGCGAACATGCACTGATAGGCGCAGAAGACGAGAGCGGGGATTCGAGTGCTGCCCATGCTGGGCGCATCGAGGACGTTCATCAGGCCAAAGTGCTTGAGGTCGCCGATAAAGACGGAAGCAGTGTCGGAGAAAGTAAGGGAGTAGCCCCAGAAGAACCACTGGAACGAGCCGACCGCGATAGCACACATTGAGAGCATGATCATGGAGAGCGCGTTCTTGCGGCGCATGAGGCCGGAATAGAAGAGGCCGACGCCAGGAATCATACTGGAATAAGTGGGGGCACGGGGGGAAGGGGGGATGATGAGAGACAACTACTCACAGCCACACGAGGGCCATGCCTGCCAGCACGAACGCGATATCGCCCAGGTTGTAGAGGGCGGGGTCCGTGTCGGGGGCGTATGTGGCGAGCATGTCGCCCGAGGTCTCTGTGTAGGAGATGTTCTGGAGTTAGGGTGTGCAACTGAGAGGGGGGGAGGTGGTGTTGACGAGGCGGGGAAGGTGGAGGAGGGGCGGCGATGGATAAAGTGGCACGAGAGCAGGGGAGGAGTAATGAGAGACGTTGGCGACGACGGAGACTGGAGGGCGGCGCGCGTCGATGCAAGCGCGAGGCTAGAGACCAACTTACCACCATGGCGGGCGGGCGTGTGTACCGAGGTGAGAAAGAAGAGGAGAGGAAAGTGCTGGAGAGAAAGAATGTCAAGTGACGCGGGATGTGCGTCCTTTATGAGTGTGAGTGTGTAAGCAGAGAGTGACTGCGCGTGAGCCGAGTCGAGAGATCGGACGGGCTAGAGAGAGCAAGGGCTAGAGCAGAGGCCAGAGAGCAGAGGCCAGAGACCCGAGAGATGCATCTCGGCGCGACGGGCATCGCGCTCCTCCGTGTCGTGTCCGTGGCGCAGTGCAGTGGACCTGATGGGCTGATGGGCTAATGGGCTGCATTGGGTGATCGATGGCTCCTCATTGGAAGGGAAAGGTATCGTTGTATCGTTGATACAGCGTATCTTGGGCGTGCGGGGGTACTCGCGATCTTTGTCTAGCGCGTGCGTCTGGAGATGCATTGAGAGCGAGCGAGCGAGAGGAGGAGGAGGAGGAGGAGATGCGAGTGTACAGGAGAGCAACAGCGAGTTGATTGTGGCGCGCTTGGCACCGAGCATCGCGATAAGCATTCTGCCACGCGACATGGATTGCCGCCGCTTTGGGCACTCGACTGTGCTCTTATCAGTCCTTGTCTCACTACTCCGGTCTCTCCCGATGCGCCTGAATACAAGATACGCTTCTCCACAATTCCTGCTCCACTGTCATGTGACGGCTGCCCGGCATGGGCGGCGCCGTCGAAGCGTGACATGACATGCACCAACATGACAACAACCCAGGGCGTCATCAAGGCGTGGAAAAGTTGACCCAGGTTTGGAGCGGAGGCGACAGCCCGCGTTGTTTCTCCCCGTGGCGGCCCCTCGACAAAGAACTAGACTGAGGCTGAGACATTGAGCAGAGCAGCGGACATGACCGAAATAGCCTACCCCTCGGCCCAGGCCATTCCGAGTGTGTCCCCAATGCAAGCGAGTCTCCCACCCTCGCCGCGCGCCGCTCCACTTTTTTGCCCAGTTGCTCGGGCATGTGTCGTCGCAGTCAACCCCTGGGCCACAGTGCGGAATGCACGGGCTATCAGTGGCCAAGGTTGCCTTCGTCAGGCCGCGCATGCCGCGCAGGCCGCGCAGCGAGCGGGGCGGCGGGGCGGCGGAGCGAAGCGAGGGACAGAGAGACATCTCCCCGGCCACCCCCGACTTGTCCGACGTCTCCGCGCTCCACACCCCGTGGTGGCCTCCACCGCGGATGTCGGGCCGGGCCAGATCCGCTTCCGTCGATCAGAGAGCGCGGCGATTCTCCGCATTCCGGCCGCCATCTTTCGAGCACAATGCGGCGGCAAGCTGTTTCCAAGATGCATTCATCTCATCTCATCTCATCTCTTCATCATCGTTCGTCGCTCGCATCGCATCGCATTGCATCGCCAACGCATCGCATCTGATCCAATCTCAGCTGTCTCCCCTCCTCTCCTCAGCTCGCAATCAGCACAGATCCACTTTCGTCACCTGCCAGCCGCCAGCCCCGTCCGCCACGGCCCTGCATTCCACCCACTTCTCACGCCACGGCCCCCGACCCAGGCTCTATCCATCTCTCACTCCATCTCCGACCTCCGACCTCCGACTTCATGAGCGCAAGCAGACTCCAGCGGCGCGCATGTGCGCCCGAGCCACGTGGCCGAGGCCGCTCCGCCGTCCCCAAACGCACGCTCTCGAGCGTCGCGTTCTCCTGTCCATCCCTCGACGCGTGTCTGCACGCATGCGGCTCGACGTCGTTCCCCTCTTCTTCTTCTTCTTCCTCTTCCTCCTCTTCGCCATCGCCCCCGACGTCGCCGGAGGAGGAGCACGAGCTCGAGCTCCCTCCCCCCGCCGGGCCCGAGACGAAGGCCGAGCACGAGCACGAGCACGAGCCTGAGCCGGCGGTCGCGCCGGAGGAGAGGAGGGGACGGCGGAGGGAGCGGGACGCACACCCGTCGCCCGCGACGCGCGCCCACACCACCGCATATCCCCCGCGCGAAGTCGTGCAGAACAAGGACCCGCGCCTCGCGCGCATCGCCGAGCCTTCTGTATGTCTTGGCATCTGGCTGCGCTAACTCCAGACATGTACACCGCGCCCCCGCCCCTTGCGCCGGAGTACGGGCGCGCGCTCGCCGCTCGCCACGACGAGCACGCTGCCGTGTGATTTGGATGTGCCGTAGGGGTTGCTCGACTCAAGTATGGCTCATCAGACTCGACTCTTTGGGTCGACGCTGTCCCCGGCGTGTCTCCTTCCAGCATATCTCCCTCCGACGAGTTTCCCTCTGGCCTCTGGCATGTCCCCCTCGGACGAGTCTCCCTGCGTGTTTCCCCTCGGCCTCCTCTCTTTGGTCTTCCTCCTCGTTGTCTCCGCCCTGCCCCTCAGCCTCTCCATCCGATAGCTGTAAATTGTAGCTCTAGTCCACTATAAATGACGTGCGTGCATCGTCGCGATAAGCCTGTGCCTCGTGCCCCGCGCCCCGTGCCCCGTGCCCCGTGCCGGCGCCCTCTCCCGAAGCCTGAGCCGATGAGACCGTCGAGATCGCGATACGGCGTGGAGAACGATGGAGGGAGCGAGATCGGAGATCGGATGGAGAATTTCGGGCGGAAGTCAGTCGGCCCTGTACCTGCGTTCCTGCTTGCAGCCTGCAGCCGGTTTATGTCTGCCGTTGTCGCCTGTGTCTGTGTCTGCGGTCTGTGTCTGCTGCCTGTGTCCGGTGCCCGTCTGCTATCCGGTCGCCGTGCCGCTCTACACTGCATGCACACTGACACGACGCCATCGCATCCCCACCTGGCCACCCACCACCCACCACCCCGAAAATATGACATCACCGGCTATCATACCCGGTGCGGCATGCGAATCCCGCACGACGCGTTTGTTCATCCTCGAGCCGATCCAGCCCTTCTCCATCTCCATCTCGATCGCTCTCCATGAACAGGACACCCGCGTTGGCGGCGGTACGCTGCTCCTTTGCTAATGCTAACCCCAGCCCCGACACGCGGCGCACGCGCACATGCAGCAGCCGACGGCGTCCACGACGCACCCCGTGCGTCCACTGTCGCGGCCCCCTCTCGCCTCACACGCGCACCCTCGCCACGAAGACGTCCCGCCCCGCCCGCACGCCCACCCCCACGCCCCCCACGCGCGCCAACACGCGTGGCAGCGCCGCCTGGAGGCCGCGCACGCCGCGCTCGTCCGCGACCTCGAGCGCATCGGGGACGACGAAGGCCGGCGCCGGCTGCGTATCGAGGCGCACAACGATCTCGTGTATCGCTGGAGCTGGGAGCGCGAGGTGAATCCCGGTCCGGCGGGCGCGGCGCGGCTCTGACGCCATGTTCACTACATTCGCGTTACACTCGCGCGTACTCGCGCACTCGCACTCGCACTCGCACTCGCACTCGGCCGGCGCACGCGGTCGGCACGCAGCACACCCGTCCACTACACACCGCGCGCCTTCCGAGTCGTACGTGATCGTACGCCGTACGCCGTACGCCCAACTTTTCCACGTGCACCGGCCCTTCTCCTATCCTCGCGAACACGACCACCCGGCCCACTTCTGCCCACTCGGTAACCGCCGGCATCTTCGGCGCATGGTGCCCCGACACCCGACGGACTTCTTGTCCTCGACAGTCTGACATGCCCTCATGCAGGAAACAAGGTGTGGCGCATGGCGCATGGCGCGACTACAAGGGCGCCGCCTCGGCGCCCGCTGATAGACTCTACTTGATGAGCACAGTATGTTACATGACAAAACAGTTTCTACTGCTATACGTCTACCGACGTCTACTTGACCGCTGCCTACTCGCGCTACTCGGCGCGCCCGATGCCCATGCCTACGCGCACCAGCGTCTCAATCGCCGCCGCAGCATTGTCCTGCAGGTCCTGGTCCCAGCTCACCCGGCCAGTCTCGAAAAGCGTAACGATTGTGCTTCCGCCAAACGCGAACCAGCCCAGTTCCTGGCCGCGCTCGACCATCTCACCCTCCTGCACCGTCGTGCCGATACTGCCTACCACTGTCTGTCAGCAATGCCCAGCTCGACGAGTGCCGTTCTGCGGCCCTTGAACTCACTCATCGCTCCAATCCACACCGTCATCACAGTGCCAAACTCCTCGCTCTCAATAGGCACGATTTGCCTCACATTCTCGCCATACACATCCAGCGAGGAGCGGATCGCTTGCGGGTTCACCGTGTAGTACTCGCCGTCGATGAGCGTCATCTTGCCGACACGCCCGCGCACGGGCGAGTGGAAGCGGTGGTAGTCTTGCGGCGCGAGGCGGAAGATGGCCAGCGCACCACCCTCATACTTGTGCGCGACGGGCGCGTAGCGCGGGCCAAGAAGCCGCGAGACCGTAAAGTCACGACCCTTGATCCAGATCTGCGACGCCTGGCTTACAGTGTTGAACGCCATCATGCGGCAGTCGGCCATGGAGACCAGACGGCCAGGGTTGTCCGGCTCGTCAAGAGGGCGTGCGTCGGGCCGAAGCTTGCGGTAGAAGAACTCGTTGAATGTCTTGAACGAGTCCAGCGGGTCCGCGATTTCCGCCACGTTGAGATGGTGGAACGCAATGAAGCCGGGGATATCTGCCGCAGATGCCGGCGAGTCATACTTGATACCCTGCTTGATAGAGAGCGACTTGAGGAGCTTCTTGGCACGCGCGCGTGCCATTTGCGACCCAGCCCCTTTGTACAGCACACGGATACCAATGCGCACATACACCGCCATCTTCTCCTCCTGAAGCTGGCCAGTCAAGCGGTCTTGCACAATAGTGTTCGCAGAGTTGGCGCCGAGCGAGTAGCGCCCGACAGCCACTTTGTTAACCAGCTTGGTGAGCATCTTGCGCTGTGCTTGGCTCGACGTGACATAGCTCGCCGCCATAATGCGGTCAACGCGGTTCCAGTCAGCCGACGCGCAAACAGCCAGATGCGTGATAATGTCCTTCTCGCTGCGCTTGCCCAAGCGCGGGCGCCGACACAGCGGGCACTCCTTGATGTTAATGACGCGCTCCACCTGATCCTCAGTCTGAGGCTCTGAAGAGTCCTCGGCATCTGAACTGGACGGCGAGTGGGCATCCGATGGCGGAAGTGTCGATGTCTTGGACTCGTCCCGCACAGAAACGGTCGAGGCATCACTGCTGTCCGTCGTCGTCTGCGGCTTGGGCCAACCCGCAAGCAGCCGCTCGTTCAGTTCTTGCGTGTCCACGTCGTGCAGAGTGGTCACCTTCCGCTTCTGATCAGGCGGCTTTGTGACCTCCTCCTCAAGCGCGCGCACAACCTCGTCGACTGTGAGCTCGTCGCCATTGTCAGGGTTCTTTCCGACACGGGTAAAGAAGCTCTCGAGCGTCTGGGTTGTCAAAGTCGAGCCGAGCGAGTCGAGCATGGTGGTGAGCTCGACAAAGGACATGGTGCCTGTGTCGTCCGCATCATACTGCAGAGTGTATTGGCGCCAGAAGCGCTGGCGCAGAGCATCATACGGCTCATACTTGGCGCGCACTGTCAACGTGGGCGAGTGACGCGCCTCCCACGACTTGTCCTTGGCAGTCACAACCGGGAGTGTAAACTCCTTGCTCTCATGCTTGCCATCTTCACCCTTGGCGTAAAGCCCAGTCTCCGGGTTGGGCTTTGGTGCAAGCGCCATGAGCTCGGCGAGGGGCAGAGTACAGTGCCCAACCATGTCATTGCCCGACACCTTGTCCCAGTCGAGGACCGCCATTTGAATGGTATAGCTCGTCTCGTGCTCGTGAACGTGGAACAGGAGCTTTTCATCCCATGTGGGGTTGAGCGAGTGCCGAATAACACGCGTGCGGAACACCTTTTTGCCAAAGGAGATGACCACAAAGGGGTCCATGTCCCAACCAACGCGGAGGGCATTCTTGAGCTTGGGCAAGTCGGTGGCGTTGGACACCTCCATCACAACAATGCCCTGCACACCCTTGTCCTGGCCCTGGGCCAGGTGGAACGTCTTGCCCTTTCTACCCTTGCGGCGGAAGATGCGGTGGCGGCGAGACGACGTAGTGGCGCTGGGCGTCGCAGGTGTCGAGCCACCGCTTGAGCGGCGACTACTGAGACCAGCAGAAGGAGAAGTCGACAGCAGCTGCTCGCCAGCGTAGTCCAATGGGCTCTGGTCCATACCCAAAGGTGACTCGCGCAGGTCGCTTTCCTCATCGCCCTCAAGCGCGTCCTCCATCTCATCATCAGAGCTCGACAGCCCATCGTCGCCAAAATCGCACTCGTCAAACACGAGGTGGTTCTTGTCTGCATCCTTCTCGCCAGAGAAGGGGGCAGTCATCGCAGACCCAAGGACCTGGAAGCGCGACTTGCGCTCGCCCTCGCCGTCGCGAGACACCATGACTGTACCGATGCCCTCGTGCTGTCAATGTCAGCGAGGGTACGTTGGCATGCGCAGCAAGTCCCGTCGGACAAATATGACGTACCGCGGGAACACCCAAGACGCTCATGTTTTCGCCAGAGATGAACGCGCGCGACAGCAGAGAGTCATAGATTGATGTCACCTTGCTCAGTGCATCCGCTGAATCCGAACAACCAGGAGGGGGTAGGAACCCAATCTGGAGCGATACACTGCCCGAGACCTTTTGCCGGCGACGCGACGAGATCAGCCCAAACGACTGGACCTGGTTGTCAGCAGCAGCGCAATATGGTTTTGTTTTTCGTCACTCACAGGAAGGTTATCGTTCCAGAGACGAACGTCGTGGCCGCCAAACCAGTGCTCGGCACCAACATTAAACTCGCCCATGTACTCCTTGCGCATGAGGTCCTGACTGTCAGCTTTGACCTCCACTCAAGCCCACCTTGTCCCACATGACGCCCTCGAGGCCACGCCCGCCGATCACCGCGGCCAGACTGAGGTAAAGGGGGTAGTCAAAGGTGCTCGACTCTGGAGGGAAGGAAGGGTTGAGGGTGCGCTTGACCACAGGCGTGGTGAATCGGGTCGCCGGCGCCAAGGTCAGAGACACAAAGCTGTGAGTGAGTGTGGTGTACACGCGTTGTTGCACCTACGGGTCACTGAAGCCATTGCGGTCCTTGGCAACGAGATCCTCGGCACGCACGACGCGCACCCGCAACACGGCAGCCGGTTCCTCACCGTCCAGGGGACGCCGGGGTCCGCGCGCGGCCAAAGCGACCTGCACAGGGTCGAGGGACGCGGCAGGTGACTCCTTCTTGCGGGTAAAGCTGAGTCGCTTGCGAACCTTGGGCTCTGCGTCGAGATGTGCGTCGCTGAGGGAGCCAAAGGAAGACGCGGTACCGGAGCGGTGTGGCTGTGGGCCAAGGCGTGCGTCCAAGACTATGTCTTCCTCGTGGCTGGGCGTACCGGGGATAGGTGTGGAGCCGCCGTGACGCGCAGATGAGATTGCCGACGCGGCGAGCTTGAGGGGCTTGAGTGGTTTGGCTGCGAGACGGCGAAGGCGTGCAGGCTGGGTCTTACCCTGCTGGGGAGGAGGTTCGATAGGAGTGGCTGGGGTCTGTGTGAGGACTGGTGGGACGCCAGTTGTGAGATTGAGTGGGCGAGGGTCGGGGGCTGTTGCAGAGCCGTTGTGGGGTTGGGTAGGGTTGCTCATGGCGTCTGAAGAGGCCGTTGGGGGGTTAGAGAGTGGAGTGGGAGGGAGGAGGGGAGAGAGGGAGGGGTAAGTGGGAGAGGAGACGTGTGTGGTGGTGAGGAGGTGGAGAGGTGGGAGGTGAGGAATGGAGAGTGAGGGGAGAGAGGGTGGATGGAAGCTCGTGTGTGTGTGTGTGTGTATGTGTGCAGAAAAGGAGAGGGAGAGAGAAAGAGAGAAAGAGAAAGAGATGAGGAGATGAGTAGATGAGAGAAAGCAAAAGAGGAGGAGGAGGAGGAGGAGTCGAGGAAGATGAGCTGTGCATTGTGAATCCAGTGGAGGAGACTGCCAACCGCTCTGCCCGCTCTGCCCGCACTGACCCTCGACTCACTCCAGCCCAATATGACGCAGCTCCTCAGCCTGCACTCCCCGCGTCCTATTCAGGAATCTCCCGGTATATCAGGTACACTATGCACTACGCGTATTAGCCCCCATTAGCCCCCCATTAGCCACCGTTTACAACTGTGCTATCTTTGGAATCTCCCACTGCCAGCCAAGCTCCCCCCCGCATCCCATATCGCCCGCCGACAACCCCCAAACGCGTCGGACATACATCATCGCGCGGCCATCAGCCCCCGCTCTACACTCATGCATAAACGCTAATGCCTGCCGCCGGGCATGGACACGAATCCCCGTGGTGGTTTCGGACGCTCAAGCTCCGTGCTGGCCCTGCTCCAGCGCTCCGTGATCAGGTGAGGCGGAGGCAGGATGTGCCATGTGGCGGTGTGGCGGCGGTGTTCCTGCCCCTGTGGCGCAGATCCTAGGCCCCTGCGGACGTCTGACTTTCTGTCAAGCTGTACACGATGTACACGATGTACACGATGTCCACACGGTGCAAGTCCGCGTCGCGTCACCGCAGATATCCTAAGATTACGAACGAGGTATGGGCCAACACGACGCGCTCTCGCTTCCGAGTGCTGTGGCTGTGGGGAATGCTGGTGCAGAGGCGCCGATAGGGGAGGGGGGGGGGGGGGGGGGGGGGGGGATCGGTGGAGGCAAGGCGCATCCAGTGGACAGGACTGCATGACATGGATGCATAGATGCATGGATGCATGGTGCATGGCGCGTAGCGGTGGAATATGATCGCACAGGAAACTGATAATATGCCAGGCGATAGGCGTTCTTGGTCAAGTTATAAGAGTTAGAGCATGACGCAAGAGCTGCAAGGAAAGTGGCGTGAACGTGATGTGAATGGTAACAAGGGGGGGCCGACGACGCCGTGAGCATATCGGTCGGTGGGCGACATGGCCCGGTGGACTCGTCGAGACCGTGGCTTCCAGGTGACTAGTACGACTGGTCATGACAGACCGTGAGATTGTGGGGTAACATTTCGACCATCAAACCTGCGAGCTGCTTGCTTGCATGCTTTGCCCGCAACTCCGTAGAGTAGAAGAGCGCTCTCCGTGAGCTGAGAGAGCTGAGAGCTGAGAGCTGTGGGGTTTTGAGACAATTCAACACGCGAAACGACGAGACGGAATCAAATGAGTTGTGATGGCCGCCGCTCTTTCTCCCACCCCAGCAGAGAGTGCACAGTTGGCCACCCGGAGTCCGGCATGTAAATTACCGGGACCATGTTCGCCTTAATGCGACAACGAGATCATGACCAGTTATAGCCGACTCCACCATCCCCCATCTACAGCCTTTTACTTGTCCTTCCATCTCCAACCCCCACCACTCCTTCTTGATCCCCACTCTCCCTCACCCCTCCTCCTCCCTCCTCAGCAGCAATGGCCCAGCAGCAGCCCCTCACCCCCTTCGGCTCCGCCCTCGCTGGTGCCCTCGGCGCCGTCTTCTCCAATGCGTGAGTCTCGGCTCCACCGGTGCCTTTTCCCCTCCCCGTCATCTCCGCCACCCTCCGCTCCACTTTTCCTATGCCCCTCCCCTCACACCCAGCCTCGTCTACCCCCTCGACACGGCCAAGACGCGTCTCCAGGCATCCACTACCGCCGAGCTGGCCGCGTACGAGCGCGAGGACGAGAAGGCCGCCCGCAAGGCCGGCATGTCGGCCTTCCTCCGCCGCCGCATTAGAAAGTGGCAGCTGATCAACATGGTCCTCCGCATCATCAAGTCCGAGGGCATCTCGGGCGCCTTCAAGGGCTTTAGCGCGAGCATGATCAACTGCTTCTCCATGCGTGAGTAGATGTGTACATGAGCGCGGACGGCGGGGCCGGGAATCGAAAGCCGAGCTCCGGCGAAGCAAAAAGTGCACGTCGGGGGTCAGGCCAGGCGAGTCGTTCATCAGTCACTCCATTCGCTCGCGATCGCTCGACTAAGGCTTGCCGTGGTGTTGAGCCTCCGCTCAGACGGATATGCCATCTCGCCGAAATTCCTGGGGGCCCTCGCTCAAACGCCACCCACTGCCTGCGAGGTGCACAGACCAGGGCCAGGTGTGGAGCGCGATGCGAGATGCCAGGGCGTCGGCTGTCATCTTTCCCCCGACGGGGCGACCGACGGTGGTGTGGGGATGTATGAGCGAGTGCCAGAGGGCTAGACCTAGCGACATGGCGAGAGCGAGCGAGATGGGCTCTCGGATCACATTGCCGGTTGTCCCGTGCAAGGGCATCGAAAGAGGTGTGATGGCGAGATGGGCAGTGCCTGCGCTGCGCCCCGATAGCAATAAGGCGTGGCTTCGGTTGCCTGGCCTTGCCTTGCCGTTGCGCCACGCTGTGTGTGCAGTGGTCTCACATTGTCTCGACTAGTCTTTACCTGTCTCCAATATGCGCTAACGCCCCAGAGTTCGCCTACTTCTTCTTCCACAGCTGGCTGCGCGGGACGGCGGTGAAGAAGGCGGCTGGCGCGGGCCTGAGCACGGGCTCTGAGCTCTCGCTCGGCGCTGCGGCGGGTGCGCTCGCGCAGATCTTCACGATCCCCGTGGCGGTCGTGGCTACGCGGCAGCAGCTGTGGGTGCCGCCGCCGGGCGCGACGGGCAAGGCGGCGCACGAGCCGACGCTGATGGAGACGGCGAAGAGCATCGTCGCCGCGGGCGGCATCACGGCCCTGTGGACGGGCCTCAAGCCGGGCCTCGTGCTGACGGTGAACCCGGCGATCACGTACGGCGTGTTCGAGCGCGGCAAAGCGTGGCTGCTCGAGCGCTCGGGCGAGGCCAAACTCTCGGTCGGCCAGTCCTTCTTCCTCGGCATGGCGTCCAAGACGCTCGCGACCGTCGTGACCTACCCTTACATCTTTGCCAAGGTGCGCCTGCAAGCCGGGCCGGAGGACCACCACTGCGCCGAGCACGTCGGCGAGCTCGAGCACGTGAAAGACGGCGAGAGCTACGCCGACGCCGTCAAGCACGGCGCGCACCGCCGCCCCACCGGCGCCATCGAGCTCCTCAAGCAGGTGTACCGTGAAGAGGGCTTTGCCGGGTGGTACCAGGGCATGTCGGCGCAGATCTTCAAGGCCGTCCTGTGCCAGGGCATTCTGTTTGTCTGCAAGGACAGCTTCGAGGACCAGGCGCGCGTCATCCTCGCCGCCGCAGACAAGCTCAAGGAGAAGCACCGCGTCATCATCGCAAAGGCTTAGCCAAGCCCCTAGTAGCTAGTGGGAGGATATACCCTGTCGCTATCTCGCCATCTCGCCATCTCTACCACACACCCAAAACAAAGTCTAGTATATAGCACATCTTGTATGCAGCAGTCCATGGAGCCGCACGAGCGCCCCAAGGGCGCGAGGGTGTCGGGGTGGCGGGGGGTGCGAAAGGCTTGCAGCCGAGTGAGGACGGCCGGAAGCTGCAAGCGGCAGCCAGAAAATACGTCACCATCCGCAAGTAACGGCTGACCGAGGGCCGGCCGTCGTGCTCTCGATCCGGAATGTGGGCGATATAGGCCCTTCGCCGCGCCGGTCCAGCCATCATTCATGACTCGGCCGTACTGACACGTACAGCGGCGCTCAGCGGCGGCCAGCGGCCAGCGGTGCAGCACGTGCGTAGCGAACGGACATGAGAGGACGAGGATGGGACGCTCGGCCATGGCCAGAGCCTGCCGTCGTCTGCCCCAGTCCTCCTACGTGCGGATACCCCACACAGATCACATATGTCCACTAACTTTGACACACTGATTTCTGTGGACACGGAAGAACGAGCCGAGACTGCGCTGGTGTCTACGCGGCGCTTGTCCAGCGGTGCACGCTGGAGAATGCAGCGGACACGCGCCGGATACGAGGGCATGCCTAACTCACTCGACATCAGCGCACGAAGAGGTTTGTTGCACTGGCTGGCGCGAGCGAATGGCTTGCTGGGCGTGTCGAACGCTGCGCCAACGTCGGTGCACGCCAGCGTCCGGATGCCATGCCGACGTCAAGCCGCCGCAGTGTTCATGCCCAGAGCAACTGCACGTGCGGAACTGCACGCGCCATTGTTCGGATGAGCAACCGGCGTACTCATCGAGTACGCACTCCACGCTGCCTGCACCACTGCTCCATCGCCCGACACCGCTTCCGTACCATTCAGGTCGCCCCAGATCGCATAGCTGAAACAGGACATTATCGACACCCCTCGTTGCTGCAGACGCAGACCAGGAACGGACCGGGACACTGGCAGGCGGGAGCGCACAACACCGAGCGACGGGCGTCGACGTCTCGGTCTTGTCTCGGGCATCATGCCGTCATCGGGTCCAGACAAAGATGTTGTACTCATCTCGGGCGATCATTCGCGAGCCGACATGAAGGCCGGTCGATGGGAGGAGGCATATAGGCAGCTTGGTCAAGCGTTGGGTCTGCACGCCCACAATGCTCACGGACACGCACAACGAGCGCACCTCTAGCGAGTGGGACGACAAGGCGCCGCTGCTCGCGCCGGAGGGCGAGGCGCCCGAGCCCAAGCCCAAGCCGGCGCGCCGGCCACACCTCGTCGCCCTCGCGATCGCCGCCGTCGTCGCCGTAGCCGTCTGCGGGACGTGGGCGTGTTACCCCCACTGGGCGCGATCCACTAACACCCCCAACACCCCGACCGCCACACCCCCCGACACCGATGCCTCAAGGAGCAAGTTCCCGCGCATCTCGCGCTCCGAGCTCGTCGGCTCGCCGGCCCGCTGGCTCGGTTCACACCGGCACTGGGACACGGACGAGCCGCCCACGACGCGATACTACGACTTTGTCGTCTCGGCGGTGCGCGCGCCGCCCGGCGCCATCGAGAAGGACATGATCACCGTGAACGGGCACTCGCCCGGCCCGCTCATCGAAGCCAACATCGGCGACCGCATCGTCATCAACGTCCACAACCACTTGAACGACTCGACCTCGATCCACTGGCACGGCATGTGGCAGCGTGGCACGAACTTTATGGACGGCACGATGTCGATCAACGGGTGCGGGATCCCGCCGGGCACCAACGCCAGCTATGTTTGGTACGCGCAGAACCCCGGCACGGCATGGTACCATTCGCACCGGGGGATGCAGTACACGGACGGGCTGTACGGCGCGATCGTGATCCACTCGCCGAACGAGCCGGCGTCCAAGCAGCCGTACGACGACGAGCTCACGCTCATGATCGGCGACGTGTACAACACGCGCTCGCGCGACCTGCCGACCAAGACGACGGGGCGGCGGCCCGTCGACGCCGTCCCCGACGGCGCGGTCATCAACGGCGTGTCCCAAGCCCGCTGCGCATACCTCTACCCGTCGGACGAGCACCCCGGCGTCAACTGGTGCGGACACGTCCCGACCGCGCAGTACGAGGCCGAGCTCGTCGGCGGCAAGACGTACCGCATCCGCATCGTGAACTCGGGCTCGCTCGTGCCCTACACCTTCTCGATCGACAACCACACGTTCTCCGTCATCGAGGCCGACGGCGTCTCGCTCGCTCCGTACGAGGCGCGCACACTCTCCCTCGACGTCGGCCACCGCTACTCCATCCTCGTGACGCTCGACCAGCCGCCCGCAGCCTACTGGATGCGCGTGCACCTCGAAGTCGAGGCGCAAGTGTACAAAGGCCCGAAGTTTAACGCGACGACCCTCGGCGTGCTGCGGTACAAGGGGGCGCGGGGCGCGCCGCCGGACGTCCCCGGCCCAAAGATCCGGGACGGGGAATACGACGCGGGGCCGCGCACGATCTTCCCCCCCGCGGTGCCGCTCGAGGCCCCGCTGCCGACGCTGCAACACAGCGTAGTGTACGGCGCGTTCCTCAAGCCGGACGGGTCGAGCGGCATGACGTTCAACGACCGGATGTGGCGCCCGCTGCCGGACGGCGTCGCGGCCGTCTACTTTGTGAACGCGAGCAACGCGCACCGGCCGAAAGAGGTCGCGCGCCTCGTCGGGCCCCAGCACAACCTGCTCACGACGCAGCCCGAGGTCGTCGACCTCATCGTGAATGCGCCGCACGACCTCGCGACCCACCCGTTCCACCTCCACGGCCACAGCTTTTGGATCATGTCGCAGGGCCCCGGCGTCTTCGACGGCGACTCGAGCACGCTCAACCGCACCAACCCGATGCGCCGCGACACCTTCGTCGTGCCCCCCGGCGGGCACGCCGTCATCCGCTTCGTCGCGGACAACCCGGGGATCTGGCCCCTCCACTGCCACATCGCGTGGCATCTCGAGGGCGGCCTCCTCATGACCGTCACCGCGATGCCGCGCGAGATGGTCAAGTTCGACATTCCGCCGCACATGAAGCGGCTGTGCTATAAGCAGTATGCGTGATGCAGATGGTGGATTGGGGGATAGGTGGGGTGGGTGTTGGCAGGTCCGACGGCCGAGCCACATTCCGCTTCTGCTTCATTCGTCTCACTTCTTGAGACCGCAAGACGCCTGGGTATGCAGAAATCTTCTCTCCGTCCCGGATGCAGACTGACGGCGATAGGCAGGGTTCAAGTGAAAGAACAATGGCAGGTGCACTGCGCTACGGACCAGCTTCCGTAGGACGCGCAACGCAGCATCGTCAGCTCCCGAGGCACACAGTAAACAGGCAAACGTGCTACAAATATGGACCAGCTTCTTCCAAGCCAGCTCAGCTCCTCCGAACTAGACCCCGCATCCGCCTCCAAACTTCTGTGGATGGTCGTGGTGGATGCGGGCTCCAAGCCCGGGCAGATGGAGGGAACGACTGGCGTCGGCACTCGCCAGAGCTGTCTTTACGTAATCACAATGGCCTCTCCCGCATCAACATCGACCCGCAACGTCGACAGTGCCACTACTACATTCATCAGCTATGCCCATTCTCCCCGCGCCCACTGGCGACCACCTGAGTCCTCCCTCTTCTGAGGGAGAGTCGCTCGTAGGACTCGTGATGCAGGCGTTTGTGTTCTTCGCAATCGTCTTGGCGATTATAGCCTCGCTCTTGAGGGAGTGCACGCAACCCCAGCGGTGTGAGAGATGCAGGCGTCGCGCGGTGCGTTTCCGTCAGACCGCGCTGATGCCAGAACGGTGTTCCAGAATACGGTGCCGTTGTTGTGTATCAGGATTGTGCGCGGTGCCATCGACCGCATCACGAGGCCGAGCATTACTGGCACGACCACCACGACCACCATGACCACCATGACCACCATGGCCACAACAACCACCATGCTCACAACGACCACCACGACCACAACAACCACCACGACCACAACAACCACCACGACCACAACAACCACCACAACCACCACGATCCCGGGCATCATGACTCGGGCAATCACGATGTTGGTCATCATTAGCTGCAGGCAGCAGTTGTATGAACAATGTATTTGGTTGTTTCGCATAGCGGCATTCTCACTCCGGACCTCGCTCGCCCACCACCCCATACATGTCCGCGCGCTTCTGGATCGCGAGCGGAATCTGCTTGCGCGTCTCGCTGACGTCAGCTCCTGTATCTCCTCCCGCATACTTAATGACGTCGTGGTCGATATCGCAGAGAAAGAACTCGCCGCTGCCATCGTAGTCCCCTCCTGGCTCTTCAACGCTGCGCAGCCGCCCGAGTTCCCGTCCCCAGGGGTCGAACGCCAGCGACTCGCCCCAGCTCGACCGCGACGCATGGTGGGCGCCGTACTGCGCAGCCGCGAGCACATAGACCTGGTATTGGATCGCGGCCGCGCGCTGGTCAGTTCTGTCCGTTGTGATCTCACCAGTAGCGTTGCTGCTGTCAGCTCAATCCGGCGCGGACTCACCCCAATGCGCTTTGCCCGTGGGGAGCATGAACGCGCTCGGAAAGGTCAGGACGTCGGCGCCCATGCGCGCCAGGATGATAGACAGCTCGGGGAACCGGAGGTCGTAGCAGATCTCCAAACCGACCTTGAACCCCTCCACGTCGGCGGGGGCCACAATGCTTTGGCCTGGTCGCACCCGATCGGACTCGCCGATCCGCTTCACCCGCCCGTCCTGGATGAGCTCGACGTCGTACAGATGAAGCTGTGGTCAGACGGCACGATAGCGTGAGACTACGCACCTTGCTGTACTTTGCCTTGATCGACCCGTCCTTGTCAATTAGTACGTGTGTGTTGAAAACCCGCAGACTGTCCGGCTCGTCGTCCTGGCCATCCTCTGGCACGTCGTGTACCCCCACGCTGATGGACACGCCCAGCTCCTTCGCCAGCTCCTGCAGGCCGAGGGTATACCCGTGTCGCGACAGCGGGAGCGAAAGGCGGCGGCACTCCTCTGTCGCTTTGACGATAAAGTCTGCTGCTTCGGGAAGGAAACATGCCTGGATCAGCTCGGCAGCCGCGAAGGCTCACGACGGCACCGGCCTTAGCTGCTTCCCGAATGACAGAGGACGAGACCCGGAGGTTGTGCTCCGGGTCGGCAGTCGAGCGGATTTGACAGACGGCAACCTTTGTCATTATGCTGCGATGGAGGGGCCTGAAGTGTCGAGCAAGTTGAGCATGCGCTAGGCGCATTGTACAATGGCAGATCGGTCGGTGTGGGCTGCGACGGAAGGCAACATACCGATGTGGAGACCCCGCAATCATGGTGAAGATGACGGTGTTGATTCTCGGCAACTTGTTCTTCACTTCCACACTTCTTCGTCACGGCAGCCACATCATGTCAAGCCAAGGTGGTCCGGAGGGTATGCTCGCGGCTCGAACTATGCTGACGCCAGGCGAGAGTGCCCTCCGCCTCCGGATCACCCACATCATGACCTCGCAAGCGCCGCCCCTCGCCTCCCTCCGCTCCGACTACGTGCCGCCGACACTGCCCACAGCGGTGCCGCCAGGCGTGGTTCCCTCCTCCTTTCCAGTCCTCCGCATTTTCGGGACAACGACCTCAAGACAGAAAGTCTGCGTCAACGTCCACCTGGCTTATCCCTACTTCTACGTCCCCTTTCCGATGGACAGCCTCGATCCACTGCGGCCAGAACGCGTCGTTCGCCTGTGCCAGCGCTTCGCCGTGTCCCTCAATCATGCCATTTGTCTCGCGCTCCGCCAAAACCCAACAGGTCCGGCCGCCATGACAAACTTCGCCGGTGGAACCGACCCGCGCCACCTCCATGTTGTCAGCGTGGTGCTCGTGAAGGGCGTCCCATTCTACGGCTACCACGTTGGGCACGCATATTGGCTCAAAGTGAGCCTCACTAACCCGGGAAGGGTGCGTGTAGCCGTTGAGCAGCTGCACAAACCTGTCGTGCTCGGCAAGGTGTGGCAGCCGCATGAAGCACACCTCTCCCACGTCCTCCAGTTCATGTGCGACTTTGACCTGTACGGGTGCGGCTTCCTCGATTTGAGCGGGGGCCAGTTCCGCCAGCCTCTTCCCGAGCCAGGAGAGGAAGAGCCCTCGGGGTGGCTCACGTCCGAATCCATACCCGTGCACATGGCGTATCCGCCTAATTTGTCGCCACCGCGCGACACTCGCACTGCGCTCGAGCTGGATGTGCTGCCACATCACATCCTGAACCGGCATCGCTTGGCTCAGCGGGAGTTGCACCACGACTTTATCGAGCTGCTCCACCAGCCCCTGCATCCCGAAGAGAAGCTCGTGCCCGCCATGAAGGAGCTGTGGGAGGATGAGCGACGGCGCCGCTTGGCCAAAGGGCTGGGGACGTCGGAGGGTGCCATGCTCCCCGTCTCTGGTGGAGGCCGAGGGCGAAGCATGGCCGAGTTGGGGTACAAGATCGACGGAGAGGAAGGGGAGAATCGAGGTGGCGACTGGAAGATCTCGGAGGAGCTTTGGGCGATCCTAGAGGAGCGAATGGCGGCCGAACGTCGTCGTCGGGGCCGGCTTACGTTTGACCAGGTCAGCCGCGCACTGCGGACGGGCACGAACGGCGAGCGAAAGAAGTACGACCGGTGGATTATGACGGCGTTTGAGGCCGTATCAGCTGGGTGGCCTAAACGCGCGACGCAGCCTCGAAGAACACAGAAGCGCAGCTCGCCACCAAACTCCCAGGCCCCTCCCTCCCCTCCGCCTGAGGAAGAGATGGAACATAACCCGTTCGAGTTTGCCACTCAGGCATCGCAGGAACATGTCGAGGTGGAGGTCGATGCCGCCGAGGTTCAGGAAGACCACGAAGAGGAGGCGGAGCCCGGCGAAAGACAGCATCTCGCCGCGGTCCGCGAAGCGGAAGCCTTCCGCGCGACGCAGGCCGCGATAGGAGACGATGACATCACGCGTTTTCTGAAGACGCAGGCTGGTGGATCGCCCAGCCGTGCATCGACGCCGTCCCGCGCTGGCTCGATCACGGCGGGAAATACGAGATCTGGGAGCTCTGGAACAACATCGCGCCGCCGCGCCGTCGAGGAAGCGGGCTTCGGCGACTTGAGCAGTCTAGCTTTGTCATCTTTCCGCCTATCCTCGGCATCGTCAAACCCCTTCGCGCCGAGTACGCCTACTCGTGCTCCTAACGAGCAGCAGAGCACCCCGCGGTCTCTCGTGCGCGATTTCTTTGCCCGTCACTCGTCACCCCTGTCGACGCCCACCAAGCCGCGATTGTCGCCCAACACCGTCGTGCTTCCCGCTTCGAAGCGATCGTTCACGAAGTGGACGCCGAGCCCGCAGGAGGCGGAACCCTCCAGTCCTCTCCGCCAGGAAGAGGAGGTAGACATGCCATTGCTCACCGAGATCAAGGTGCGACGCGCGCCTGAACTTCCGCCGCCCAATGCGCAACCTTCACCGCTCCTGCCCAGTTCGATACGCAAGCACGGCATATCACCAACCCTGGTGACACGCAGACCTGGACCCTCGCCGACCATGCTAAACGAGGCGGACGCCACGCCGACGCAGCGGCCGAAGAAACGCGTCCGCCTGTCCAGCCCGACCCAGCCCTTTGTTATTGACCCCTCTCAGTCCTCCAAGCCGGCCAGCGGCGGTGAGACCTCCAACTCGTCCGCCCCTGACCTCGCCATGGACGCGTGGGTGTTCTCCGACCCACCTCCATCAAATAAACATGTTGTCGACACGATGTCGACCTATGGCCTCGACACGGTCGAGTACCCCAGCCCGTTTTACTCAAACCCCGCAGATGTTCCGCCGCGACCCAAGGCGTTTGCCGGCCGCGTGTTCAATGTCAAGACCGACACCGTGAACGACTTGATGCCGTTTGAAGGCGACGCCACACCGCGCCCCTGGCTGCGCACACGCAAGGCCATGACCGGTCGCGCCAAATTCGGGTGGGAGTACGGCGCTCCGCCTCCCTGCAGGCGCGTCGTGCTGGAGTGGTGCGCGAAGGAGGACGCAGAGGAGGCCAGGATCAAACTTGCCGCCTCGCAGCTTGCGGGCCCGACGCAGAAGAACAAGTACGGGTTCAAACTTACGCAAAGGAGCACACGGCGCGAGCAGCAGAACATGAGTGTCTTGCTGCTCGAAGTATTTGGTAAGGAATTCCGATGCTTGTGTCTGACAGCAGCTCCCTCCCGCGGCCAGCTTCTTCCCGATCCCGCTGAGGACGAGATGGCAGCTGTTTTCTTCTGCTTCCAGAATGAAGACGAGACGCTGCCAGACACTGTGAATCATACTGGGTACCACGCCGGCTACGTGCTGGTGGAGAGTGAGCAGACGGCTGAGCGGCGCGCGCGCCTCGACGGTATCCCCTGCCACTATGTTGAGAGTGAGCTCGACCTGATCAACTGGGTTATAGACATCGTGCGCGAATGGGACCCTGACGTGCTGGCCGGGTGGGAACTGCACAACGCGTCGTGGGGATACGTTGCGGCACGCGCAGCACAGGGCTTTGGGACCGATTTCGCCGACGACATCTCGAGGCTGATCTCAACCTCTGGGCCTGCCAGGAAGGACGCGTATGCCGAGCATCACACGAGCGCATTCAAGGTTGCGGGGCGGCACGTGATAAATATCTGGCGCATCCTGCGCTCAGAAGTTACGCTGAACGCCTACACTTTCGAGAACTGCGTCTTTCACGTGCTGCGGCAGCGCGTGCCGCATTACACGGCCGGCGCGCTGACGGCTCTGTGGCGCAGTAAGACGCCGGCGCACACGGCTCGCGTACTGGGCATAATGTTCCAGCGCGTAGTGCTCTATGCGGAGCTCATTGACTCAGCAGAAGTGGTGTCCAAGAACGCCGAGTTTGGGCGGGTCTTCGGCGTCGACTTTGACGCGGTCGTCTTCCGGGGCTCGCAGTTTAAGGTCGAGTCGTTTCTCTTCCGCCTCGCTAAGCCCGAGAGCTTTATCCTCGTTACGCCCAGTCGCGCCCAGGTGGGCCTGCAGAACGCCCCTTTCGCGGTGCCGCTCATCGCGGAGCCCGAAAGCAAGTACTACTCGCACCCGGTGATCGTGCTCGACTTTCAGAGTCTGTACCCGTCAGTCATGATCGCGTACAACATCTGCTACTCGACATGCCTGGGGCGGGTGGAGAAGTTCAAGGGCACAGACAAGTTCGGCTTCTCCGAGCTCAAAGTCTCGGATGGCATGCTGGAGCTGTTGAAAGACTATTTGACGGTCACGCCGAACGGGATGGTGTTTGTTAAGCCGGCCGTGAGGAAGAGCCTGCTCGCGAAGATGCTTGGTGAGATCCTCGATACGCGCGTGATGGTCAAGCATGCAATGAAGGGCGCGCGGGGCGACAAGGTGAGCACAGAGTAGGGTGACGAGCTCACACCAGCCCCTGATGCAGCTACTTAATGCGCGCCAACTTGCACTCAAACTCATGGCCAACGTGACCTACGGCTACACGTCAGCCACGTACTCTGGGCGCATGCCGTGTGTGGAGATCGCCGACTCGATTGTGCAGACAGGCCGCGAGACTCTCGAGAAGGCGCAAGAACTCATTCACTCTCGCCCGGAGTGGGCCGCGACCGTGGTGTACGGTGACACGGACAGTCTGTTCGTGTCTCTTCCCGGCCGATCGAAAGACGAAGCCTTCAAGATCGGGCACGACATCGCGGACGCAGTCACGGCTCTAAACCCGAAGCCTGTCAGGCTCAAGTTCGAGAAGGTCTACATGGGCTGCATCCTGATGGCGAAGAAGCGCTACGTAGGGTTCAAGTACGAGCACCCGGACGAGACGGAGCCCTCGTTCGACGCGAAGGGGATCGAGACGATCCGGCGCGACGGCTGCGCGGCGCAAGCCAAGCTCGAGGAGGTGTGCCTCAAAATGCTGTTCCGCGGCAACGACTTGAGCGCGATCAAAGCGTACTGCCGGGGCGAGTGGGCCAAGATCCTCGCCAGCCGCGTGTCCGTGCAGGACTTCATCATCGCGAAGGAGGTGCGGCTCGGCACGTACTCGAGCAAGGTGCCGCCGCCGCCGGGCGCGGCGGTAGCCTTCCGCCGCATTCTGAAGGACCCGCGCGACGAGCCGCAGTACGCCGAGCGCGTGCCGTACGTCATCAGCAACGCCGAGGGGCGGCGACTGATCGACCGCGCGCGCACGCCCGAAGAGATGCTCGCGTCGCGCGCCCTCGGCATCGACGCAGAGTACTACATCCGCAACATGCTCATCCCGCCGCTCGCGCGCATTTTCAACCTTGTCGGCGGCGACGTCGAGCAGTGGTACGACAGCATGCCGCGCGCGCGCGCGGCCAAGCGCTATGGCGGCGCGGCGGCGCGCATCGATGCGCACTTCGCTTCCTCGCACTGCCGAATTTGCGCGGCAGAGGGCGGGCCGGTGTGCCGCGCGTGCAGGGACGCGCCGGACGAGGCCGCGTACTCCCTCCTCGCGAAGGAGGGGGACGTGCAGCGCCGCGTGCGTGACCTGCATTCTGTTTGCGCCAGCTGCTCAAGCATACCCCCCGGCGAGACGATGCTGTGCGACTCGATCGATTGTCCCATAACGTACGCGAGGGTCGCGGCGGAGCGCGATGCCGCGGACGCTGCTGAGGCGCACGCTTTGCTCGCCCAGCTCGAATGGTAACTCCCTCTGTATCATACGCAAGCACACAACATTTGTCTCCTACAACGTATTGTACTACTTTGGTGGTGTTGTTATGCAGGTTACTTACTACGACACTTCTGACAACTGTTCAGTCCGACACAGACTCTACCGTATCTCATCGCCTACGCCATCGACCACGTCCCGCCCTCGCCGCCGCCATACCGCCGCAGATCCCACTCGACGAGCGTCCGCTCCGTCCCGGCATACAGCCAGTCGCCGGAGGGGTCGAACGCGATCCCCGAGATGCCGTACAGCCCGCCGTCAACGCCGCGGCGCGGGCGGCGTGAGGGCGAGGGCGTGGCCCCCGTCGTCTCGTACGGCACCTCGACGCACACGTGGGTCTGGAACGTGCGCGCGTCGACGATGTGGATGCGCGTCAACTCCTCGCTGAACACGAGCAGGTCGCGCGACGCGCCCTCCGGGCTGAACTTGACGACGCGGGCGGCCTCCAGCCCCGACTGCGAACCCACAGGCGGCTCCATCGACCCATGGTATAGGTCAGTGTCTCTGCTGGCCTGCGGCTGCGTGTGGAAGATGGCCAGGGGGCGCGACGACCGGTGGTCCCATACCGTCACCTGCCCGTCCTGCGAGGCAACGGCGAAGCGGCGCCCGTCCCGGCTCCATGACGTGCTGAAGCCCGAGTCCGTCGCGGCATTGTACACGCCTATGCGGCGGAAGCCCTGGCCGCCGTCCAGCACCTCGTGCAAGTACACGTCGGTCGAGTCGCCGACAGTGACCATCGTTCTCAGGTCGGGAGACAGCGACGAGTGGTTGACTGCGAGCTTAAAGCGTTGCCCTCCGATGCTCGACAGCTTGCAGTCACCCTCCTGCGCAGGCGGCTGCGGCGGCCCAGATGAGAGGCCCACTTGCGCCTCCAGCTCCGCCCGGCGTTGCGCGCGCATACGCGCCCAAAATCGCTCGTTCCGATCACCGCCGGGCATACGTGCGCGGTAGTCCGCCAAACTCTCGCCGAGATACCGTGATCCGCGGAGCGACACTTCCTCAGCACCCCGTGCGCGCGGCGGAGGGCTGGGGGGAGAGTGGAGGTCCTGCGTGAGAATGCCCTCGTTCAACCCTATGCCATCGTAGCCCAATGTGTTGCCAAACAGGGCGCGACGAGGAGGAAGCGGCGGCAGAGGGGGCAACGCGCGCCCGTCACGGTACCCTGGATTGCCGCCTTCGGTGCGTCGAAGCGCGCTGGTTGGTGCGATCTCCCACTCGATGCTGCTTCGTGACCGAACTGGCACGCGCTCATCGTCTTCTCCGAGTCTGCGAAGCGAGAACATTTTCACCGTCTTGTCGTTGTTGCTCACGAGGATGCGTGGCTCGTCCGCCCGTCTCAGACGCGAGCGACTGCTGCCGACGCTAGCCGGGGATGCACGCCCTTGCGTCACTACTTGCGGTGTCGTGCGATGGTACTGGCCCGAGAGGCGACGAAGGCCCGACGGTATCGTGTTGGGATATGTGGCAACACTGCTGGCTGGCGAGAGAGGCTCTTCCTCCTCCTCAAGGTAGTCCATATACTCGTCGTCGTCGTCGCCGTCGTCGCCGTCGTCAGGGTCAGAGTCGTCCATCTCCTCCTCATGCCTGGCGTACCCAGCATATGCTCGCTTCCACTCGGCGCGTCGCGTCGCCCATCCCCCGGGCCACGAAGGAAGGATGGTGATAGCATTGTTGATAGAGCGGCTCGGCAGCGTGAGGGTGAGCTGGAACGACTTGATCGCTGAAGCTTGCTTGCCCTTGCCGCTGACGGGGAGATCGGTCAAGTACAGCTCGCCCTTTTGTCCGCCACACGCAAGGATGCCGTCGCTGGCGTCAGCGGGGCGCTGGGGACAGGCGGGAGGGCGCAGCCTTGCAGCTGGTCACACGCACTTGGCAGTCAGGCATGTTGGGGTGAAGGCCAGCTTCGCGAGGTTGGTCGTTGTGCTGGGTGCTTCTCCGGGGCTGTCATCGTCGTCACTCCATCGCTGTTCTTCAACTACCGTGCCATGGGGATAGAGAACGCGGCCGCGTTCGAGGGGAAGGACGAGGTCTCGCAGCTGCGGGTGTATGATTGTGATGTTGGCGGGGCGGATAGACGCGGGCGCGGTCGACAGGTCGCATAGCTCGGACGACTCGTATCCCGGAGAGTCGCTGGAGTCAGCCGCCACCCAAAGTGGAGGTGGGGGTGAGTGGGACGGGGAGGGGAGGAGGGGAACAGGAGGGTCGAGACGCGAAGGCGGGTGGCGATGACGGCGGCGCGAGGAAGACAGCAGACGGTGGTGCCGTTGTGCTTGTGTGTGGTGGCGGCGGTGGAGCAGATACGAACGACGGAGGCGATGTGACGTACCGAGTCATTGTATTGACAAGACGTTGACAAGAAGAGCAAGAAGAGCAAGAAGAGCAAGAGATGGAGAGGAGACGAGTGATGAGGGGCCGTAGAGATGCGTAGAGGAGAGAATAAATTGCAGTTGATGGCCACGGGAGGATGCGTCACGAGATGGCGCTCAGAAGGCGTCCTCGGATCCTCGGCGCGTGTGGAGCCCAACAACATGTCCGGGGACGGGCTCCGGGGACGCGCGCGGGATCAAACCTCTGAGCGAGACGGTGAATGTGCTGTACATGTACGTCATCATCAATTCCATCCTCGTCTCCAGCTCTCTATCTAGCCTGTCCATCTTCGGGCGAGCGCCTCATCCTCCCCGTCCTCTGCTCTCTCGCTGCCGCCGCCATCTTCACGTGCCTCAGCCTCGCCTCCTTCACCGCGCAACGTCGCGATCGAGGACAGCGCTTCCACCACCGCCCATCTCACACTCGTACATCAGCATGCAAAATGATACAATATGCAGGGTTAAAGACCGTCCACAGCAGCCACAACATGCCAAGCTCGACGCAAGCTCAAGGTACTCTCCATACTCCTGACGTCGGGCTGCTCGCTCGTCATCGTCTATCAGTTCACAATCGGCTATATCGTCAGCACGGACCACGGGCGCACTCACAATCCACGACCCCATAATAGCCACGGGGATGCCGTAACGGTCGCGCCGGATCGTGATGCTAAAGCACGTCTTGATGACCCGGAACTCCTCCTCTATCGTGCCGTGCTGCGGCCCGCTCGGCCCCGTCGACGACGACGACATGGCCAGCGACGACGGCAGGCTCAAGTCCGGCACCGTCGTCATTGCGAGAGTCGGGCCGTGGGCGGGAGTGTTGCCCTGTGTCCGCGCGGGCTGGGCTCGCGTCAACGACAGAGGGATCTTGAGCGTGCAGTGCGTGTAGAGCGAGCTTTGCCCTGGGCGTCAGCGGTCTGTGCACGGTGACAAAAAGAAGTGGATCCAGTCCAGTGGAGCCATCAAGCCAGAAGCCTGCAGGCCTGCCTCCACATCCCGAATCACGTTCGGAGGCCTGAGTGCGCGAGCGTACCCAGCTCATGTCCCAGATCGTCAGACTCACCCTTCTCAAACGCAACCTTTCCGTACCCCTCCCAGAAGCGCACCGCGCTGTCTTCGTCCATCAGCTCGTAGACACACAGCTGGCCACCGCGGAACAGTGGAGCCGGAATGCCCGTGAGCTTGGCGAACTCCTGGTTGGCCTTCTGAATCTCGCCAGTGCGGCGCCAGATGCAGCTTGGTGTGTGGATGGACGCGAGCGCGCGGTCGTACTGGAGCATGAGGCGTTCGTTGGCCTCCTCGACAAATACGAGGTCCAGATCGGTAAGTTCCTTGGCGATTCGCCGGAACTTGGGACGAAACACTTCGAGGGCCGCGAGAATGCGTCGTCGCGATTCTGGGGAGATGCTGCTGCCGCTTGGTGGCGGCGGGGGAACCACTAGCCGCTTGCGCTCGCTGTTGTGCCCCTTGGCGGGACTGCTTGCTCGCGACCCCTCGCGCGCGCCGGCGCGACCGCTGTCCATCCACCTGTTCATGCGCTCGTATCCCTTGATGTAGTCGTACGGCTTAAGTAGCCCAGCCTCGTACTTTGCACGGATGACTTGAGTAAGGCGCGATGCGCGCGAGCCGTCTGGTTGGTCCGCGGCCGCGAGGAGATACTGCTCAATGCGCGAAATACTCGACAGCGGTTCCTTGCCTTTCCCCTTGCCCTTTGGGTCCGTTGAAGGTCCGGCCACTGATTCTGCCGAGTGTTGCTGCTGTTGTTGTTGCTCGTGTTGATTGTCCAGCAACCCCGGGGGTAATTGGTGCGGATCTAATGGCAAGTTGCTGTTGCCGTTGCTGTTGTTGACAACCTGCGAAAGGACGTCGACAAATCCACCCGGCAAACTGGGTACCCGCAAGGTCTTGAGCATATCGCTGGGCGTCAGCAGCAGCGCACGCGAGCACATACGAGAGGATTCCAAACTCGGCGTTGGTGTGCACGCCCCAGCCGTCCGTTAACCCGCTGGATGACTGGCGAGTCAAGGCATCAAGGCTGAGGTCATGTGCGCTTCCGTTAGCATCAGGAAGTAATGGCCAGTTTGACGCGCCGGCGTCGTACAACTGGGGCTGGGGCTGAGGCTGGGGTTGTGGTTGTGGTTGCGGCTGAGGTTGGGGCTGGGGCTGCTGGACCTGCGCCTGGACGTCTGTGAGCGAGGGCTGCGGCGGAGGTGGTGGCGGCGCCTCAGACTGCGACCCTTCCTTCTTGATCGGTGTGGATGCGGGCGGCGTGACGTCTCGACACAGATGCGCAATGTCGCGCTTGATGCTGAGTGTGAGCTAACGTTGCTGGGCGCGATATTACCATCGTTCACATGGTCGTCCGCCTTCACAAACCATGTGGCTGGCGTCAGCGGTCGTTCGATAGCTGCAAGTGGCGCTGAAGTCGTCTGCGGCTTGAACGCACCTGCGCCGACAGTAGACGCATGCCTTGCCGCCCTTGCGTTTGGGTTTCTTGGCCTTTGGGGCCGCTTCGTCTTCTCTGTCGCGCTTGACGGCCATGGGCTTCCAAGCTTGTTGACGTTGTGGAGTGGGACCCTGTGGACGCATGGCGGACATTATGTTTAGGCGAGACAAGGCAGGCAGCAGCGGCGGCGGCGGTCTAAAGAGCGGGCGCTATTAAACCGGCGTCGAGGAGGGGGGGG